AACGTCACAGAACCTGATTGAACCAATTCAGCACAGGTAAAACTACAAGAAGCCCGCCTTTGCTTTTAAATCTTACAAGAAAGGAGCTGGGGATAATGCCTAGAGAAGCCTTTCTCCTCTGTTCTGCTAAGCCAAGGCCTTTGTTGGAGCAGTGCCTCAGATACTATTGAACTCCAGACACATGGATTTAGGCTTTTGTAGGATAATTACCAGGGAGCACCTATTCTAACCACCTTGTCCTAAGATTGTTTATCATTCCTCTGTACTCAGACTCTGTGCCACACCCCCCCAGCTTTGTCTATATTGCGTTCATATATATTTATCCTAAGAAAAGGAAACCAACTTACGTAAGCCGGAGGAGGTGGCAAATGGGGCTTAACATTCTCAACGGTTTTCTACACAAGGCTTTCTGGGAGATGGGTTCTGACCTCTATTCACTAAACCTGATCCCTGCAAGCCATGTGGCACTCAAAAAAAGATAAAAATTTAAGTTTCTAGCAGTGGAGTCTTACGAACAGTTTCCTTATTCCATGTAGGAATGTGTTGCTTTCACATATAGCTATGAAATTCTACATGTGGCCTCTCACATGCAAGCATTTTATACATCGATATTTGGTATATTTCAACTAACTTGGGACAATTTCCTTCTTTCCTATCTCCAGCTTTCCTTACACATATTTCTCCATTAGAGGGAGTCAGGATCTGCAATGACTCAGAACTATTGAGCCACAAACAGAATTATGTTCCTCTCATTTGTTTTTTACAGCTCGCAAGCCCCAATATTATGAAACTACTTAAGAGCCTATAAAATTAGAAGCAAACAGTTACGATTTATGAGCTCAAGTTTAATTTCAGAATTGTAACCTGAACATGTAATTAAAAGGTTAGAAGAGCTTGAAGGTGTTGCGTGGGACGAGGCAAATCTACACTTTCTCAGGACACATTTCCAAATGTAATGAACTTGTTGTGTAAGATTTATGATCAAGTAAAAGGGGGACAGTTGGAGTTCTAAGGTTGCAGATGCTCCATTCCATTGCAGCTTCTCTCACAATTGCAGGGGGTTGGACTAGATGACCCTCGTGTCCCCTTCCAACTCTATGATTCTAAGTGAGAATTCTGAGCTCACTGAGCATGCTCAGTCCTCACTGGGCTACTTTTGGGGTCCTCCCCTTAAGCGGTTTTTTTCTACAAGTGTTTTATACACTGCAAATTTTGGTGTCCTCCCAAGCCCTCTTGTACTTTGATGGCACTATTCTGGCATCGTAAAGAACAACACTGAGAATCAAAATGATTATTAGTATGAATGTGGATCTCCTTTTTTTTCAATTAAAAATGCATTCTGCTTGGTATTGCTATCCCATTCTGAGACTGAGGCAGCAGCAGACTTTCTCCAGTTAGCTTTGATTCACATCTTGGCAGATTTAAATCCACATTAATAACACTGGCAAGTCCTAGAGGTATTACTGCACTATTTCAGGATCTTGCAGTCACTTCATTGATACCGTTTGAAATAATAATCAAGAAAGGGTGCTGTAGAAAAAACACAGAAAAGTTCCATTACCACCAAAAATACTATATTCTCTGCAACAAACAAATTTGTTGAAAAATGGGCTATTATGTGCAACATTTTGGAACTACTTATTTCAAGAAAACATCCACTTAAATGTGTTTTCTTTGCTATTAGTTTTTGTTACAAAACAAAGAAATACATACTTGAGCAAAAAAAACCCAACAACCCCAACAACCTTAAAACAGTAACTTTTGGCGGGTTTGACATGTTTTAACAGCATTGATCAAGTTAAATAATCAGAACAGATGTTTATATCATAAATTGTCATAATGATTTCAGGTAACAACATGGTTTGGACAACTGAGTCAATCTTCCCTCCACCTCATCTGCACATTTATTTATTTGGTATTATTTTGATTCCTTTCTTCAGCTTTAAGATCAGTAATTAAAAGCCTGTCAGTATGCTCTCGCTTCAACAGATGACTGACCTTCATGCTTTTCTCTTAATGCCATTAACTGATATGCCATTGCCCAGTTTTGCACTGACTCTGTGCAGACAAGCATGTGTCACAACTTTTTCTGATATTGCAAACTGGATGGGTAGCTCAAATCTAAAAAACTGAACACTTAGAAGTGAATTCAGATGTCCACAAGCAGTTTTTCTTAAGATTCAAAGCTGCTTCTTTATCATTTAGAAAGGGTCTTTCAAATTACACCACAAAGAACATTGTTTCAGGGCTGAGTTGTCACAGAATCTGCTAGATCCCCTTTTCTCTCTTTCTTTTTTTAAAATATAATTTTCATTATTACAATTTCCAAAATCACATTGACATTCAAATATACATCTCCACTGTTAATATATTTTATACAGTGGTACCTCAGGTTAAGAACTTAATTCGTTCTGGAGGTCCGTTCTTAACCTGAAACTGTTCTTAACCTGAGGTACCACTTTAGCTAATGGGGCCTCCCGCTGCTGCCACCACACGATTTCTGTTCTCATCCTGAAGCAAAGATCTTAACTCGAGGTACTATTTCTGGGTTAGCGGAGTCTGTAACCTGAAGCGTCTGTAATCTGAGGTACCACTGTAATGACTTCCCTTCTTCCCCTTCCATTTAGTTTACTTTCTCCCTTTATTATTCATTATATATTATATATTATACTGTTGAATTTACCTTAATCACTTGTTTAGTTATTTTCCAAATACTCCAAAAATTTCCCACTCCTCTTTATATATATATATACTTGATCTTCTTGCTCTCTTATTTATTAGACCTGCTAACTCTACATATTCTATCATTTTTGATTGCCAATCCTCCTTATCGGGGACCTCACTCACCCACCATTTTGGGGCTAACAAGATCTGAGCTGCTGTAGCAGCATACATAAATTTTTTTTTTCTGATACCTGGGTACTTCCATCTGTACCATTCCCAAAAGGAATGCCTGTGGGGTTTTTTTTAACATTTAGAACCTGCTAGATCCTGAGCTGACCCTGCTGTGACACATGGCAGCAACAGGCCTGATCCAGGTCTCTTTGCTGCAGCAGCCCGGGAGCTGGCACAGCAAAGAAGCATTTTTCCTACATGCCCCACACCCCATGAAACTTCTGTGCATCCAGCACCAGTTGCATCGTTCGATTAAGCCCTGCTGCTCTCAGCCAGCAGCTATTGGGTCATTTTCTTTGGATGAGATAGCACTGGAACTTATAGTAACTTTGCAATATTTCTCTTATTAACAAATGCAGTAGAGCATAAGTAGAGGCATTCAGATTAAATAGCAACTCTGCTCCCCGCCCTAACAACACAAAGTAATTTTTTTTACTGCCAGTTGTTCCACCTTCAGACAACTCTGATGTGCACCTCTTTTAATGGACTGCTTTCCGCACAGTTGCAGCGTCTTCAAAACTACCTTGGTAGATTTCAGACAACAAAGCAATGTACTTTGTGTATGTTCACCATATACAATTTCTTTATTGTTCATTATGGACTGCTCAACAAAAGCAAGAAGACTTTAAATGCTTTTTATGTGCCTCTCTCACAATATCCCATGTCTTCTTAGCTTTCTGTTACAGTGCTGCTGCTTTTTTTCTGGCATTTAGTGCAACATATACCATGTGGTTTAGACCACGCGGGTGGCGCTGTGGTCTAAACCATAGAGCCTAGGGCTTGCCGATCAGAAGGTCAGCAGTTCAAATCCCCGCGACGGGGTGAGCTCCCATTGCTTGGTCCCAGCTCCTGCCAACCTAGCAGTTCGAAAGCACATCAAAGTGCAAGTAGATAAATAGGTACCACTCTGGTGGGAAGGTAAATGGCGTTTCCGTGCGCTGCTCTGGTTTGCCAGAAGTGGCTTAGTCATGCTGGCCACATGACCCGGAAGCTGTACGCCGGCTCCTTCGGCCAGTAAAGCGAGATGAGCGCTGCAACCCCAGAGTCGTTCACGATGGGACCTAATGGTCAGGGGTCCCTTTACCTTTATACCATGATAATATGCCTTTTTGTCAATGAAAACAGCAACATTTATACATGTCAACATTCAGTTGCTTCATGTCCCTTTCAAGGTGTTGTTATTGTTGTTGGGAATATATGTAACTTAATGCTTTCACCCATGGATGAAGGATTCACAATTCTCAGGTCAGGAAATCATGAAAGCTTTATTGATAAAATCACCACACGATCTTAGCATCAACTCCAAGTACAGGTTCAATCGTAAGTAGAGTTCCAGGATATATGGCTAGGCATAAGCAAAACTGTTGTCTCCAAACTGTTGACACATACAGTCCAATACCTAGCTGTTTCCTGCTTCTGATATATTTAATGCAGTGTTTATTGTTTATCTTTTTTGCCATTTATTTCTTACTTTCTTTCCCCTCCCACTTATTGTTACCTGCAATTCTTTTTCCCAGTATTACTGCTTCTTTTCATTCCTCTTGCTTGGACAAGACCTCCAGGCTCCACGGAAGCCTTCTCAACTATTACAGCTTCCCTGACTCTACTTGTAAACGACATTGACAAGCTCTTGGATTTGTTTGCAGCTTTTCAATCAGTAGCATACATGCTAGCCAAGCTTCTGTTATTGTGGTTTTAAATAACTTCCACGCATCCTAAAGAGAATTGGCCCTCTTGACACCCTCTTTTAACCAATTAACTCATTATTTATTTATTTTTCCTACTTTGGAATTAAATGTGGCTATGCCTTCCACTTACATATTTGTTAGCACGGTGGTTACTGTTTCCAATCAGTCTGACAGCACATATATCTCACACCAGATCTTGGGCACCTCTTGGGATGCAATCCTGGACTGAATCCTATGATTAAGTGTTCCAAAGCATTTACTGTATCAAAAGGATGTGGGTCTTTCTAAGAATTCCAATGTGCACTTTCCCAGTAACTGAAAATAAAGAATCATTTCAAGATTATTCTCATAGCTTTGGCGAAGGCATGAAAATACAATTATCATACCAAATCTACCTCCCTCAGAACAAAGCAAAGCATGGCAGGTATGTTGCTGCTACAGTTCTTCCCATAGGCAGCATTCCTCCCCTTTTTCATCTCTGATATGTCATGACTTCTTGCATATTCTGCCCTATTGTTAATTATATGACCTGGAAGACTTACACCATTATTCTTTATGGAAGGATCATCCTGAACCCAATGAGTCTAAGCTCCTGATGGCTTTCAAATAGAAAAGAATTTAAAAGTTGATCTGCAAGCTTTCTGATATCAAGTGGCAGTTTTCCAGTTCTGCAGTGGTTTAACTGTAGATCATCCTACCAGCTTTGCTTCAACCAAAATTTCCCCAGTACCTATGCTATATAAACCCCTTTCCCACACCACCACCCTGTTATCCACTGAAAGTAGCCCCGGATTTGGACATTTTTATCCCTGAAATGCTTCTTTGGAGATCCTGAATTTAAAAATCTTAGCTAAGTTTTCTTCTTCTTCTAGGACTGCAGCACTACTTTTCTCAACAGCACTGGGATCAACGTGCACCAAAGCCATGGATTTCTCTTCTGCATTTTCTAGATGGCATTCAATATCCATATCCTTCACACCTTGCAGGCAAGCCACCTTGCAGTAAGCATGCCTGTTACAGCTCCACCTCATTGCTGTTCATCATCAAATGGACCCCTTTTAAGCAACTCTTCCTCAGTATGATGCCTTCCTATCCCCAAGGCTCCATTCTCCATCACAACAGATTATATTGTGCCATAACCTTGAAGATCTCATATACAGACCTCTCTTAGCTTCTCCAGGTTAGCTACCCTAGCCTCAAAGGAACAAAGAGCCAGGAGCTCATTGTCTTAGGGACACACCAACAATTTGTTCCCTGCCAGCAGATAATCATACATGTGATGCCCTGTACATTACACAGGAAGTTACTTACTCCTGCTGGCTTTCTATTTCCATAACTGATTGATTAAACTGAGTATAAACCTGTTTTAAATTCAAGAGCAAAGGACTAAACCCAACAGAGTTAGGCATGGTTAAGCCTGCTGAAATCAGTGGGATTAAGCATGTCTCCATTGGATTTATGCCTAAGTATTTAAAGGGGCATCATGAATAATATAAATACTGTTGGCTGCAAATATATTGCATAACCTAAGTATAATCAAGGAAAGAATGCCTTCTTGAGAAACGTCTTCCTGAATATCTGAAAACTTTGTAGTTTGTACCTGGAAGAATTGGGTTATTTCCTTCAACAAACACCCTGTATTCTCTTAGAAATCTACTGTGATTTGCAGGGATAAGACGGGATGGACAATCTATTGCTGGACTACAACTTCCTTCATCCCTGGCCATTGATCATGTTAGCTGGGGCTGATGGGAGTCAGACAACATTTGGAGGGCCATAGGTTATCCACTCCTGCCTTAAGACCTATGCTACAAACAAACTTAACAGCCACAGATTCTTTCCAATGAATTTTGGAGTTAGAGTCTTTGAAGTGTGGGAAGCAGGGAAGCAGGAATCTAGCAGCCATGAACACAATTTTACTATCTATAAAACTGAATTCTAACCAAAACTTTTAAAAACAACAACCTATAGTTCTCAGATTTCACTGCAAGAAACCAAATTGATCTTAGTTAAAACACAGTTGGTAGCATACAGATGCCTTAAGACTGGATGTGCTGTAGAGAGCAACTGATCTCTACTGGATGAGGGGTGACCCATGTATTTGCTTCATCTTTCAAATGTCAGGAGATGTGCTGGAAGCATAGCTATATTCATGACAGCTGTGCTTTTAGAGATGACAATGGCCATAAAACATAAGGTAGGAAGAAACACGGAAGAAGCTGGACAGAATACATGTTTTGTTGGTGTGGAGTTCTCTTTTGTAGCCCAGTTTTGATCTGAGAAATAAAAACTGTTAATGTGCTTTACAGAAAATTTGTCTCAGAAGGGGGTGGGGGAACACAAGTTGATAATTAAGAGCAGGAAATTAAGTTTGAATTCTGATTCTGAAATCTCACTTGAAATCAGCCTTTCCTACCACAAGCATTTGCCAGATGTGAAGTGTGGCTGTGAACTGAGCTGTTTTACAAACCTGGCACTAGAAGGCTATATTCCCAAGCAAATTTTGGATTTCCCACTTATGTCCCAGTATTAATCACAGCTTCCGTGAACTCATCCACAGTTCACAGTCTTACATAGTGCTCCTATTACTCAGCTACTTTGAGGACTACACAGCTTGAGCAGTTTTCTCGCCTTAAACCAGTGCACATAGCCTTCCAACTAGAGGGGGGGCAATATAACTTTCCACAAGCAACTACATTTTTTCGAAGTTATAAAGCACATACACTTTAAAGGCATATGAATGGGGTGACTTTCACCAACCAAGCGCGAAAGTCTGTCCCTAAGCAAGTTTACTCCAGAAGAAAACAGCCACTGACTTCAGAATTGCAGCCTGAAACTACTACAAGGCAGTAGGACACAACTACTGAGTTCTCAAGCAGCTGAGAAGTCGGTGGTAAATACAGCAAGTAGGGTTGCCACTTTTGGTTGGGCAAAATATGGGGCAGGTCAGGCAAAGAAAAGGCAGGTTGGGGGGGGATTGGGGGACTTAAAAGTGCAAAAATGATTTCAAAGCAATCTATTACAATGATCAAATGGAAGCCAAGTTCAAACTGTAACAGCAAACATTCCAACAACAATCCTGAAAGGAAATCCTCCCCACCTGCTGAATTTCTGCCTGTAGAAACCCTGAATGTAGAAACCCAAACCAAAAAAAAAAAGAGAAAGGGAGGGGGGAAGGGACGAGAGAGACAGCAACAAGTTCTGCTTTTCTTCCTCACAGAGCTTTGCCTTCAACATCGTAACAAGGTTTGCATAACCCCTCATCGTGGTACAGTGAATTTGAGAGATCGTAAGTTATGGGGAGCAGAGAAAAGCAGCGGTGCCAACTTGAATATAAAAAAATGGGAGGGGGGCTCCCAGGTAAGCCCCGCCCCACATAATCCATCACATGATGCGCTGCACACACACTATGTGAATGGCAATGCCCATCAACTGGGGGTGGAGGGGCTCAGCCCCTTTAAAAATTTGATTGGTGGGGTGAAGACACCCTCGGCCCCAAGGAGTCGGCTGCTATGGAGAAGAGTATTTACACACGCGGGCAGCAAAAGCGAAGTGGGTTTATAAAGCGGAGCCACTGACGGCGCCCTCCCTCACCCCACGAGCCGCAATTCCCACAGACCCCTCGTGACCACTCCACGCGCGCCACAGGCTCCCCGCTTTCTTCCCTCCCGGCAGGCCTGGCGCGGCCCTCTTCTCCTTCTCCCTCCCTCCTCCTGCCTCCTCGCGGCCGCCGACGTCGTCGCCGTCCTGCGCGAGCCGCGCCGCCCGCTTCCCTTCGCCCGTGACTCCTCCCTCCCCTTCCCGCTCTGTCCCAGGGCTGACATCACGCCCGGGGTTTCCATCGGACGAGGGGAGGGGAGGGGGGTGAAGGAAAGAGGAGGAGGAGGAGGACGCTGTACGGAGCGGCTGCGGCAGCGTGATGGCGGCGGCGGCCGGGAGGACTTAAAGCAACGGCGTCGCGCGCCCGCTCACCTCGGGGTGGGTTTTTTTAACCCGTTCTCTTCCCTCCCGCCGCGCTCTTCCCTATTAAACCGCTTCTCTCTGTTTCTGAGGGGGCTCGCGCTGCTTCTCCCTCCCTCCCGCCCTCCTCTTTTTTTTTCGGGTAGGCCAAGAGGGAGGGCCAGAGAAGCGGCAGAGGGAAGAGGAGAGAGGGAAGAGATCCCGGCAGGCCCCGGAGCGCTCCTTCCTTCCTTCCTTCCTTCCTCGAGGCCCGGCTGCAGCGCTCTCCCCCTCGCTGGCTTCTCAGGAGAGGCCCAGGCAGGCCTGGCGGTAAGTGCGGCCCGATGGAGAGTGAAGGAGGAGGGCAGGCTGTGGGGATCGGAGAGAGGCACGCCATACCCGGCCTGGGCGCCTTGTGTAGGCCGCGGTGGGGCAATGGAAGGGCGGAGAGGGAGGGAGCCAGCCAGCCAGCTAGACGGGAGTTGGGAGCCGAAGCTCCGGCTTGAGGGAGGAAGGAAGGAAGGAAAGGGCCCGGCCCAGGCGGTTTTGCTCGGTTCTGTGTGGAAAGCGGGCGAGCTGAGGGGGAGAAACGCCGCTTTTGTTCAGCCGCTGCGCCTCAGGCCGGTCCGTTTGTCCGACCGCCTTCGCTTTCTCGCTCTCAGCCCCCGCCCTCCACCCCCATATAGAGGCTCGCAGGAGCCGACCGCCGTGCTGCTGCTGGTTGTCTTTTTTCCCCTCCTCCGGCTTCCCCCGCCATCTCCCTTTGTTTACCAGGCGGCCGAGGAGAGGCGGTTATGCAGGACGCAGCGAGGCTTTCGCAAGCGGGCGAGGAGGGGAAAGGCGGGAGGACCGCGGCCGGCCTAAAAAAGAAGCGGCGGCGGCGGCAGTAATAGTGGGAAAGGCGCCCCGCGAGGAGCAGCAGGAGACACCCGCCGCGATAAGGGGGGAACCGGAGGGAGGGGAGAAAGCCCATTTGTTTTGGCACCCACTAAATCCACGAGGCCCGCTGCTCATTGGCTGACAGGCTGGCTATCAGGGACTCGGTGCGGTGCCTTCCTGCTGCTCTGATCAGTGGCCCCGCCTTTTGCTTGGGTTCCCTTAAATAAATATATATATAACTGGGTTGATTGAGACCAAGTGGATGATCTTTGCTGCTGTGATATTCCAAGTTAGCTTGTATGATATCCAAAGGACGCAGACTTTCTAAGTAGCTAGAAATTACTCTTGTGCTGGTGGCAATAAGAATTAGCAGCACAAGAGTAATTCCAGCTACTTAACAGAGCTGGCCTTAGTATAGGATTTTGAAAGGGGCAATGCCATAGAAATCATAGTCGGGATCTGTGATTTGTTCAGTCGCTTTGGGTCAGGAAAACAATTTTGTTATAAATCAGTCTTCCCTATGTTTACTTGCAGTTTCCGTTCTCAAGTAAGCAGACAGGAGACTGTAATCTTAACGGGAGTGAGCAAGCTGCATTTTACTGGTGCTGCAAATTTATAAAATGGTTCATGTATGCATGTTGCTTACAACACAGTCCTATGTATGTTTACTCAGAAGTCAGATGAATTGTTATAATAGGACATGCTCTGGTGAGTTGGTTTAGGATTGTAGTTTTACTTTCAGAAGAACAAAGTTCCAGCCTGCACCAGCACTACTTCCTTGCTTTCCCTTGGCACTGCCACTAATGGCACTGCTAATTAGATCAATGTCAAAATGCTTCAGAAAGGATCAAATTGGGTTTTCCAGTGTATGAAGTTACTTAGCCTCTGAAGAATAATACTGACCCTGCTGTATGAACTTACAGGGTAAAGATCACTGAGAGAATCCATTATGAGTGTTCACTGTCAAACTAGGACTGGAGAGACTCAGGTTCAAATCCCCCAATCAGCCACAAAGCAACATTGGGCTAGTCACTCTCATGGGTTTGGTGTAATTAGAAAATGGTTGGGGGATGGGAATGCAGGGTTATAAATGTAACAAATAATTCAAGAATCTGATGAGTTGCACATATCCAGCTAGTTTACTGCAGTATCCTCAAATAGATTACAGATTTGTAAACATTTCACATCTTTATTATTTGTGTATTCATTTTTTAGGGTAACTTGGGAAAAACAATTAACCGCTGAAGTTACATGTGAAATATCTGAAGAGCGAGGAAGACAACTCTCTTAAGTGGACATTTCATATCCAGCTTCCAAACTGGAAGAACTTTATTTATATTTTTATTTTGGTGAATATTTACAATGAATGGGCACAGTGATGAAGAAAGTGCAAGGAACAGTAGTGGAGAATCAAGGTATGTACTTAAAGATTTGTTTCTGGTAAATCTTACATTTTTGTGAAAGTGAAGTCTTTACCATAATTAAATTGTTTATTTTGAAGTATCGGACCAAGCATTCTTATTTCAAATATGGACTCTGGAAACTAATTGAATTTACTTAGAAATCAGAGTGTGCACAAGGCTCAGGACCCAATTCTAGTGAATCCATTAATGGTGTGCCTCAGGCAGTAATAGAATATGGTTAACTAACACTCAAATATGCATGTCTTTGCAGCAACAGTATGCGTAATGGTTTAGATAGGGTGCTTAGCCCAGCCTGTCATATGTATCTGATTACACAGGACTAAGTGATCTCTATAGGATACATTTTGTGACCATCTCTTAGACATATTCCTGCTCCAGAATCATGTTCCTCACTTGCATTTCTCACTTTCTGTCTCAGTGGTATTTCATGTCCTCCTTGTGTTGTGTTTTTAGGGGTGAGAGGAGGGAGTACCACCTCCATATTTGCATGGAACCAAGGAATGGTTTCATCTAGAGTGAGTGCTGGAACTGGAGTAGATAATTCCTGCATTCCATACTTACCTGGTTAAATAAACTTGAATCCAGTTCTTTACCATCTTAAGATTTGAACCTTATTTCAGAGTAAACCCATGTGAAGTAGCACATAGTATCTTGGGACTTGTACCAGTGAGGGTTATGTTCATTCTCCAGTTTTGCAGGCAGTATGCATTTGAATACTGGAAATCACAGGTGGGGAGGCTGCTGTTGTATTCAAATTCTCCTTATGAGATTCACATAGGCATTCAGTTGGCCGCTGAGGACAGGCCTTTGGCCCAGTCCAGCGGAGTTCTTATATACACTTATATACACTTGTGTGTTACCCAGCCTTGCAGATAAAGGAACCAATCCTATGCCGTCTTATTTGCAAGTAAACACTGTTGAATGGGACTTAAGAATATATATATTGAATTGTACTGAATTGCACTACTGTATAATGAATTGAATTGTATATATCATGTAGTTTTCCTTATATGTTCATATCTTATGTTCTGTAGCGTGTCTTGAGCAGTGGTTCTCACAAGCTAGATATCAGAACACTCCCTAGCTGAGTAGCTAGCTGTAAAATTGGACTTGCCTCTGATAAGAAGGCCTGTCTTAGAAGACGACTTAATGTCTCTTTTTGTTCTTCAAGGGATTCCAAAAAAACAAATGGATAGGTTTGTTTGTTCATGTATGTTGAAAACACTACATGTTTATAAATTGGAAGCTTTAGAGAATGTAAGAGGAGCCCTGCTCTAATCCAGCATCCTGATCACAGTGTGGCTATACAGTGGTACCTCAGGTTACAGACGCTTCAGGTTACAGACTCCGCTAACCCAGAAATAGTACCTTTGGTTAAGAACTTTGCTTCAGGATGAGAACAGAAATTGTGCGGTGGCAGCGGGAGGTCCCATTAGCTAAAGTAGTACCTCAGGTTAAGAACAGACCTCCGGAATGAATTAAGTTCTTAACCTGAGGTACCACTGTATGTAGTGAATTCTTGTGGAAAACCCACCAGTAGGACGTGAAAGGAATAGTCCTCTCCCCACAACCCAGTAACTGCTATTCAGTAGCATAGCGCCTCTGAACCTGCATGCACTGCTTAGCGTATATTGATGGCATGCCTCTGAATACCAGTTGCTGGGGAACACAAGTGAGAAGAATGCTGTTGTGCTCATATCTTGCTTGTGGGGTTCTCATAAGCATGTGAGAACGTGATGCCAACTGCTGCTTATTCCTGTACTTCATGACTATCTAATCCTCTTTTAAAGCCATCTCAGGTAGTGGCCACCACACCAAATTTCAGCAGTGAATTCCATAAATTGTGTTGTATGGAAGATGTAGTTTGTTTTTTCTCTCGAACCTACTACCGCTCTGAACTTAAAATGTGAGAAACAGCTCAATTATTTTCATGGTTCTTGTAGATTAAAATTACAAGGTTTCCCTTTGTCCTAACACTCCTGTGAATATTCTGTATTTGGTAATGTTTTGGTACAAAAATAATGTGACCCTCCATTTTTATTGTAGTATGGAAACTCAAGGGCAGCTGTCATTTGAGCCTTAGCTATTATGGCACAGATAGCTGTGTCACAAAGATGGTTGCTTGATTTGTAGATAGGTGATCCCCATCAGTACTAGTTGTAGAAGCAGCCTGCAGTTACTAGTGAGGTTTGGCATTGCCTGTTTCTGCAGCCTGGTGGAATGTGGAGCAGAAGCTACCCAGAAATGCTCCCGCTTTCCATCCCAGCCTTCATCTCCTGCAGACTGCAGATTGGTAGTTTGTCATTTCTCATAATACATCTGGAAATATATTGGAGACTTGGGAGTAGTGCATGAGAGGCAGTATAATTGTGCTTATATGGATACAACTTGGGATGCAGATGAAGTTGCCAGATTATGTTCTGTTTTAAGAATTTTGATAGTTTGAGTATGCCTTTCTATAAGTGTATTTGGTGGAATAATTCATATATTTTCCATATTAGTGGAATATAAAAGAGATTCCCTGGTCATGCTCATTGGCAGGCTAATATGAAACAAGATAAATTTGTAATCAAGCCATTCTTATCTTTTATAAAGATGCTCTATATGTCTGAATAATCAAGTCTGCCTGTCTACTTGCTGTTCTTAACGGCTTTGTTGCATTCGTGGGAAAGTTTTGGTCAGAAAGTTGCAGAATGCAATAGAGTGTCTTTGTGGCATCTGACTTCTCAGCTGTGGAAGTGCCCCTTCAAAACCCTCCCAAAATGTCTATTTCCCTCAGGGAACTACATTGAGTAAAATCACTTTAAGGCACCCTGAGAAGGCTTTGTGATATTGCCAGCCACTACCACTTCAGTTCCATGCTTTCCTATTCTTTCAGCTATTTGTATTCTACTGAGAATGTGTATTAGATACCCAAGGATTAACTGTAGCTGTGTAACACAGGAGGAAAGAAGACATGGAGAGAGGTGGGCTAGGGCTAGTTAGTAGACAGAGGCCAGGAGGCTGAGGGAATGAGATAGGAGGAGGCTGGAACAGTGTCTGTGGAGTGGTGGGGAAACTAGAAAAGCATGAGGTATATCGTTGTATGAGAAAATGAATGTAGGATGCTCGTACTCAGGGATGAGGGAGGGGAAATGGGTTCTGACCAGGGGCATAGCATGGGGGAAGGCTGCTGGAGTGATTGTCCTGGGTGTATTTTTTCAGGGGAGTGGTGCTGCTGCTTACACCGCCCTCCCCAAGCCAGCCCTGCGCTGCTTTGTGAGGCTGGGATCATTCTAGCCTCACAAAATGGCTCAGGGCTGGGCTGGTGTGCAGTGAGCTCCTTTCGCCTCCTGCACCCGTCCCCCCAGCGCATGTGCGCCCCGGGCGCTATTAAAGCATGTTCCGCTTCTGGTTCTGACTCTTGCTTACAGCATTAAAATACATGTTCCCATCTGAAAGTCTCTTCTGTCATGAATTCATAAGATGGTCCCTCTGTCTTAATCCTCATTTGTGAAAGCAGGGCAATACGAACAACCTACCTTATGGGGTTTTCTTTTCTTTTTGAATAGTCTGATATATATGTATGTGTTTGAAACACTCTAGAGACTAAAGAACGGTATAAATGTGTGTGATTATTATTAGCAGTTAGCATGATGATACTACCTTTTCCCTGCTGGGTTTGCCACGCTGATCCTTAGAAGTATGCTTAATTAAAATAATGAAAAATTGTGAAATCTGGGTGTAGCATTTGATATCTCAATTTATTGTTTAGTAAATGATCTAAGCATTTGATTAATCAAAGTAGCATATTGTAAAACTATATTCAAAAGAATAGAATTTATTGTTTGGTTGACAGCCCTAGTAATAAGTACCGGTAAATGTGTCCTATCCAACAAATAGTTTGTTGGGGTAGAGCCTGTTTTAGGTGTCATGGCGCATATTCTCAAAACTGATTCTAGATTCTCAAGTCTCCCCTGGAATCAACAGATTGCAGCCTACTGTCTCTAGTTCTTTTGTCTGAGACAGTTTTAATTATAACTTAATTTATAAATTATAAATCAGGGTGTTTTTTCCCCTCTTGGTACACTGTCCTTTTGCCTCAACACTGCTATGATCCAAATGAGCTGTGACATCTGTAGTTACAAAACTGCTTTGAATTCAACCAACTTGATTTTCAGAGGAGCCTGGGAAGCACTGAGTACTTTTTTCAACTAATACATTGAACAGGCTTTATTAGTTTGGTAGTACTTCAATTCTTTGCAAGGCAGAACAATAAAGCTAGGCTTCAAAGGTCAGTTTAAGGTCTTTAGGAGTCAAATCTGGTCACAGAGGTCATATTGTGGGAGGTATAAATTCTTAACTTGTGAAAATTGGATAAATGTAAAATCTGTAATAAGGATTATTTGAAAGTGCCAATACATGTACAGGAAATAGTTCTTTTCTGAACTTAAAAGATTAATGTGGCATAATTTTTAGACTGAAAATAGTAAGTAGACTCTGTTGGTGTACTTATTTAATGTGCATTTGATCCTGGTCCAACTGCACTGGGTACCAATTAGTTTCCGGGCCCAATTCAAAGTGCTGGTTTTAACTTATAAAGCCTTAAACGGCTCAGGACCACAATACTTCCAGTATCGCTTCTTTCCATATGAACCTACCTGGACCCTGAGATTATCTTCTGAGGCTCTTCTTCGTGTGCCTCCTCCTTGAGAGGTCAGGAGGGTGGCAACATGAGAATGGGCCTTTCCTGCAGTGGTTCCCCATCTGTGGAATGCTCTCCCCAGGGACGTTTGCCTGGCACCTTCACTATACACCTTTAGGCGCCAGGCAAAAATGTTCCTTTTTAACCAGGCCTTTACCTGACCTGATCTACATCCTATACCCTTTTTAAAATGCTGGCTCTTTTTAGGGGTTTTTTTTTATTTGGTTGTTTGTATTTTGATTTTATGTATGTGATCCTATATGTGAACCGCCCTTAGACCTTCAGGTGTAGGGCGGTATAGAAATAAAATTAATAATAATAATTAGGTGTTCTTTTATGAGCAAAAGGTTTTTTAACGTGAGGTTTTTGAGACTTAATTTTGTTGGCGCAGCTGTTAGTATGTAAAATCATTAGCTCTTTGCTTTCAGTGTGACACTGAAATGTATCGTAACATTGTAGATCCTACTATTTTCTGAAATGGTACCATTAGTTGTACGTACTTTGTATTCATTTGAGACAATGTTTTTATTGTTTGATGTTACTTTAAAATGTTTTTATTTTCAAAGGCCTGTTTTCCAATCAAGCTGTGTGTTTGTTTGTTTTTAAAAATTAATAATAACAATCTGCAGCAAATCTTGGCCTCACATATTCCTCCCTTTTCCATTTGCAAGGGGAGGAGATTGAAAGATTCCATGTTAGATTACACTTGTTCAGATTCTGTGAGTTCAGATTTGAGTTTGTTTGAACTAACAATTGGAATAAGCCAGTTTCCTGATTTTGGATATCGCAGAAAACTTACGTACAGTGGTACCTCGGGTTACAGACACTTCAGGTTACAGACTCTGCTAACCCAGATATAGTGCTTTAGGTTAAGAACTTTGCTTCAGGATAAGAACAGAAATCGTGTTTTGGTGGTACGGCGGCAGCAGGAGGCCCCATTAGCTAAAGTGGTGCTTCAGGTTAAGAACAGTTTCATGTTAAGAATGGACCTCCAGAATGAATTAAGTTCTTAACCCGAGGTACTACTGTATTCAAAATTAAAAGTGAAAGCTTTAATATCCCACATTCACAAAGGAAGTACACAGACCTAAGTCTTACCATAGCTCATTTTTGTAATGCAGAACTTTGATAAATTGCCATATTTGTATTGGGGCTTTGTATAATATCCAGTTGTTCCCCTTGTATACGTACAAAGACTTTTGATCCAGTAGGATATGCCAATTAAAGGAAGGTGAGAGGCCATTTTTGTTCCACTTCCCAACATCCTAGCAGTAGCAGCACCCCCAAAAAATGTTCTGAACCTCGAGTTGATGTTGAGGGTGGTATTAGGAGCTACCTAGGGAGGGGACTGGACATGGGTGGCGCTGTGGGTTAAACCACAGAGCCTAGGACTTGCCGATCAGAAGGTCGGCGGTTCAAATCCCCATGACGGGGTGAGCTTCCGTTGCTCGGTCCCTGCTCCTGCCAACCTAGCAGTTCGAAAGCACGTCAAAGTGCAAGTAGATAAATAGGTACCGCTCCGGCGGGAATGTAAACGGCATTTCCGTGCGCTGCTTTGGTTTGCCAGAAGTTGCTTAGTCATGCTGGCCACATGACCTGGAAGCTGTACGCCGGCTCCCTCGGCCAATAAAGCGAGATGAGCACCGCAACCCCAGAGTCGGTCACAACTGGACCTAATGGTCAGGGGTCCCTTTACCTTTACCTTAGGGAGGGGACTTGGCAAAAATCACATTGTCTCTTGAACCAAAATTTCACATAATTCTTTAGAGACAATTGAGGAGCTCGTGAGTTTTCATATTAAAGTTAAGGATTGGATATTATCCTTGCTCCAACAAAGTCCAGTCTTGGCTAATTTAAAATACTGTTTCTGATAGTGTATGAAGTAAATATAGCAAGATACTCGTCTTGTTTGGATGATCATATCTCAAAGGATATATGAATGAGACCTGTTCCTCCTCATGCAGCTATTTCATGTTGCATGAGCAAATGAAAAGCCAGGAAGTTTCAGTTAACTATAGTTTCTCACTATATCCAAACTGGGCACAACAGGTTAATGGTTTCTAAATATGCCATGTTATGAACCTAACTTTAAACTGTGACTTTATATCTTGACCTTTTTTAGAAGCCATAGTTTTCCAGTAAAACTGATCCTGAGAATTCCCGGCTTATTTCCCAACTTGTGAGAAGGAAAGAACAAATTGTCTATGTGGTTTTTTTTTGTTACTAGGCCAAGATGTGATCATCTGAATGCAATCTTATATTCAAATATGAACACAATGATGTCTAATTAGTTTGTCTGAAACACTTACAGATTTAACTGATACTTACATAATTGCTTTTTATTAACTGATTAGTAGGTGAACAGGAAACTGAAAGCTGATAATGAAATGCAATGAGGGAGGGGGAAATGATATTTCAATCTGGAGGCACTTGTGTAGTATGGTCAAATTGAATAAATCAACACCTTAGCTAGCTTGGGAACAGATGAATAATCCTAGCCAATAGAGAAATTGTATATCACTAGCATCAAGTATTAGTAGGGAAATCACATCCATCTAGTTAGAAAAAACATACTGAAATAATAGAAGTTGAGATGTAGCAAATAGTAATGAAGAGATTATTCTGCTACAGATGTGAAAGCTCAAAAAACACATAAAATAAAACCTTTGCATCAACGGACCTAGGGAGCTTATCAGTAGAATGGCCCCCTCCTTGACCTGAAGAAAATCATTGTTTCCAAGACTCAATGTTAATCAATTTAGTATTTGGAAATCATAAATGGAATAGTCTTATCTCAAGTACTCTGCAGACCACCTGATACCTATAAAGATTACTAATGCTAGCTGTGGTGATGAGAGAGAGAGAGAGAGAGAGAGAGAGAGAGAGAGAGAGCTCTATTCAAATGACCATTTGGAGGACACCTCATTTCCATTGGATGTGTAGGTGTGAGAATATTTATAAAAACGTAAAGAGAGCACCTGCTGAAAATAGGCCACCACCCAATTTTCCACAGTGGCATACTAGATGCCCCTTGACAACAATGGCTTTCACCCTTTAATGTTTTCCACCAACAGGTATTCAGAGCCATAGGACCAATAGCTATTGTCACTAATAATTATTAATGGAGACCTTTCTGCAGTGCTATTTTCCCATTAAAAATAGTATAAATGGAAACAGGACCAAGTCAGAAAATTACTTAATGATACTGAGCCAGAGTGGAGTACTAGTGTTATTTCTCTTTTAAATTTACTGCATTCCTGGGAGTTTATGGCGTTCTTCTGCTCGTCAGAGGAGGAAGGGGAGGAACATCCATCCCTTTCAAGACAGGGAGAGTGTGGACACTGTCAACTGCTGTTTCAGTGACCATGTTTTCTCATGAGTACAGTTCTTGATGGTACTCTGCCCACTGCTTCATCTGCTTGTTGCAGCTTGTGATGATCTCTCCCAACTAGGTTTTCAGTGGTGCAGTTTTCCTGACTGTTTGTACAAGGTTTCTTCATGCCTGCGTACATTTTGCAAGTGTTGCCACTGACAGTAGCAAGTTGAATGCTCTGACAGTAGTCATTGGCACATTGTCTGGCGATCCACTGGGCATCACTCCCTACCTGTCTTAGTGCATCTTCTTGCAGGGTGCACCATTGTAGGTCATAAGAGCTCTCACTTTGCAAGCAATAACAGGCTCCATTTCCTTAATGTCAGCCTCAAACCAGTCGGAGATCTGTGTGCATCTCTCCGTTTGAAATATATCAACTATTGGTTGCCAAGCTCCACAACACAAGCCATTCTACATTTTAAATATATGAGTCTGAAGTTTAAAACACATTTTTGTCTGTCTGTTGGAGGAAGTTGCTTGTGTGCAAATGTAAGCAAAAGCATGCAACTGCATGTCCATAGCTCTAAAGCATGTGGCAAGGTCTTGATAGGGTGTTATTAACATTTGAGCAATTGTTATTTGGATGGGGAAACATTAACATTCCTGTGTCCAGCATGCAGTGTTCAGTTACCTAGCAACTAGATGTCTAAGGTCATTCCATTCTGTACTTTATCCTATGTTCTAAGTATGTGTGTTACAAAAAAAAAAAGCATATTCAAGGCTCCTTAATTCATTGACACTCTATTTGAGAGATTTATTGGGAGAACTCCAACTTGCAGATGCAGGCATTACTGCAAAGACTGATAATCAGCTGGGCATACTGTTGAAGCAGCAACATTTACTATCTAAGGCTAATGCTAAGGGGCTTTTAAATGAGGACTGTGCACCTGAATCTGTTCTTTAACCTTCTTATAATATTTACTTTTAACTTAAAATTGCAGCCAGTCAGATGATGATTCTGGTTCAGCATCAGGTTCTGGATCTGGTTCCAGTTCTGGAAGCAGTAGCAATGGAAGTAGCAGCCAGTCGGGAAGCAGCGATTCAGACTCTGGTTCAGAGTCTGGCAGTCAATCAGAATCGGAGTCTGATACATCTAAGGAAAAGAAAGTCCAGGCTAAACCTCCAAAGGTTGATGGAGCTGAGGTAAGGTGGACTCTCTCCACATATGAGAAACTCTATTTAAATGGTTGTTGTATTAAGTGAGCATCTGCATAAATAGTACAAATTAGAAAGTACTTTAGTAATATGAAACATTGGAAATGCTGATAAAAATATCAGATGACAGCAGTGCCAAACTTTCACCTTTCCAAGAAATACCCAGTGTTGACATTAACACTGCCTGGGTTTAGCAACGTGTGTTGTATCCACTGCTGCCATTCCACTTGTGGAGCAGACTTGCGCTTCCACAACTTCACCCTCCTCTCCCATGCACCCTCAAAATCTGCTCCAGAGGATTGGAACACCCTCCAGAGCAGGTCTGGTGGGTGCAAGGATTCAAGAGGAAAGAGAAGTACCACATGTGGAACTCAGTTCATGCAGCAGTGAGTACATTGGAAGTTTGTGACAACCCTTAAGTAAAAGTCTCTTTTACATTTAGAAGGAACTTACAAAATAATATATTAAAGAATCGTGTCTAATTTTTGCCACACAAAAGGCAACAGTATTATAGCCTTCTAGATGCAATTTTGACGATGGCATGATATCCTTAGCATATCAATATAACTGAAACCGTTTCAGTTGTTGAATCAAGTCCCCATGCCACCCCACCTTAAAACATGCACAAATTCAGCATGGCATATTTTAGTTGGAGTGGTTTGAATTTGGTGTATCATGCTGTGATATTTCACCTGAGCCATTCAAAATCTGCAGAGAGGGTGGCTTGCACCTGGCCCTCCCCGCTTTATATAGACTAGGGCTGGGCTAGGTGCAGTCCCCAAGTCTCTGCCCCAATAGGCCCAGAAGGAGATGCCTGTCCCTCACCTGGAAGGTCTGCTGCAGTCGAAGGTGGGCGGGGCCAGGTGGCCATCCCCCCCTCTGGTTGTCTCAGAGGGTTTCCATGAAAGAGCTGTGGCCATTCTGTGCAACAAATGATGCCTCCCCATCCCAGATGAGCGGATATTTTAAAGCCCATATTAGATGTGCCTGCAACCAAACAATGGAATCAGGTTCACAATAGACCCTCCAATATAACATGCCTGGTGAGACAGTGTTTAAAAGTGCTATTTAAAAGTGCCATTTGATGATGTTGCAGTTTGAAATTAATTTGTTATTTCTATGTGGTCAGTGGAAGAAATGTAGATATATTTCAATTGTGTTCATTTGTTTCTTAAGGTAAGGCTTCTGAACAGTAATAAAGATAACCTTTCTTGTATTTTGGATCTACCTGTTACTTGTAAAGTTTGTGGACTTTACTGAAGAATGTATTTTATTGCTTGTGTTTATTGTGACTACATAATATTTTTATTTGAATTCTGCTTTAGTTTTGGAAATCAAACCCAAGTATTCTGGCTGTACAGAGATCAGCAATGCTCAGGAAACAGCAGCAGCAGTCAAAAGCAGCATCTTCAAACAGTGGCTCAGAAGAGGTGAATAGTTAGCTAGTATTTTAAATGTAAATGTAAACACAGATCTTTACTAGCCAGTGCCAGTATTTTAAAAGAGAAATCGGAGTCAAAGTATCCTTTAAGTACCTTTCAAATCATTGACTTCTATACTACTGTAGATGCCAACTGTTACCTTTCTTGGGGCCAGCACAGTATCTTTAAGACTGTATGTTATACTTGCTTTCAGTATTCACAAGATTATAATATATGTAGTTGAATTCCCTTGTAAAAGAAAAAAGGTGTCGAGTTCAAATGGGCTGGAGGACCAATTCAGGGGCTAATTTGACAAGCAGATTTAATGAGGCAACCAGTAGTTGGACTGAGGATCAACTTTTCAAATGTCCCTTGCCATCCAAACTTAATGTGCCATCCTTCCTCATCTTACCTGCAAAATTTCCTGCAACTTTGGTGTTGAAATGGAATAGCAGTGTTAAGAGAATGACTGTTTGTTTGTTTACTTCCTTATGGACCTTATATTTTGTTTTTCTATGCAGGACTCATCAAGTAGTGAAGATTCTGCCGATGACTCATCCAGTGAAATCAAGAGGAAGAAACATAAAGAGTAGGAAATTAAGTATTACATAGCTTGATGTAGTGTTTTAAATTTATCTGATCAGTAGAGCACATGATGTTATCAATGTTATTTTATCTCAGTGGTTGCTTAGTATCCAGTGAATAAACTACTTGCTTATCTGTATACTTGTATGGCTATCCATATAGTGACACGTTAGGATTTCCATGTTTAAGATCTTTGCATGGAAACATTCTCATTTTAGAAACAGACAACTGCAACAGTATTAGGAGTTTAATTGCCCAGAACATATTTCTTTCCAAGAGGTTAAAGCCCCTTAAGCATAATCTGGTGAATGTTTTCTGTGCAATTGGCCAACCAAAATGTTTGCTTTCTATCACCCCATCATTCTCTCACTGAGGCAGATCAGGTCTCTGACATCACACTGTTTTATATACACTCATAAAATGCCTCCAAAGCATATTACTAGCTCAGGACAATTCCATGCCCCTTCCCTCCTGAGCTTGATACTGAAGGGAGAGAGAGTAGTCATCTCTGCAGTCCCACTGCACTTCTGAAGCTTTCAGAACTGCATCTGATGTTGAAGGAGCTCTAACTGTCCTTTTGAATTTGGAATTTGCCCCTGCCCCTTCTCCCACTGTCCTTTCTACTGAGCTTAACCTTATAAATTATCCACCCCAAGGAATTGTCCTTTGGATTATCCAAAGTTGTGCTTTACTTCTAAGGGGCTCAGAGTGCCTCCAAAAAGCAGTACAGTACAATTATAAGGATGATCCCCCTACCTCCAGCTACAGACTTAGAAGGAAGGCTGAGGCTCATCAGGGTTGGGGAGAATTTGGATCATGGCCTGTGCTGCTAACATATTTGTGGACCACAGCAGGTCTCATTAAGGTTCATATATTCAGTTCATATTTTGTTTTTTAAGTAGCCCCTTGCTTCACTGAGATTTGCTTCATTTAAAAGTTTTTCCTAGAATTTACATATTGCTTTGTTTATTTAATATATGAAGGTTTGAGTATTGATGGCAGTGAGAAAAAGTCATTAATGTGGAAAATCTATATAGTTAGCATTTCATTTTAATGAAATTGGAATTATCCCAGATAGTTCTCCTATTGTGTGAAAGCTGTAGAGACAGAATTTTAAAAGAAAGTGGCAAATAACTACTTACTGACATATTCACAAATTCCTGTAAATCATTAACTTCATTTTAGTCATGCAAAGTTAAAGGTTTAACCCTTTTCCTGTAACACCTTCCATCTACATTAATTTTTCTGCTAATTTCAGTTGTTCAACATTGCTGTTTTCAAAATGTGTCAGGATAGTGGCTCACTCCCTTTAACATTTTATACTAAAAAAACTTGATTTTGTAAGATTATTCTTACTTCTTTTGATCTACATTTAGGTATATAAATGTTCTTTTTGTAATTTTAATTTGTGTAGTGAAGACTGGCAAATGTCTGGGTCAGGATCTGTCTCTGGAACTGCTTCAGATTCTGATTTGGAAGAAAGCAGAGATAAAAGTAGTTGTGAAGAGAGCGAATCTGACTATGAGCCAAAAAACAAGGTCAAGAGCAGGAAGCCTCCAAGCAGGTATGTGAAAAATATTTTTGATTGTAAAGTTTCCTCCTTGTTTGGATAAAAAAAATATAAATATCCTCCCTACATGTTGCCATCTATGAGTCCAGTAAGTAGATGAGCTAGTCTTTGTCACTGGGATGCAGAAGAAAGAAAAGTTGTCTTCTTGCTTAGGGGGCATCTCCCATTTTCTCCATATATCTACTATTTTTCTTGCCTCCATTGCAGAATGATCTGCTACCTAGTTTAGACTGCTTTAGGCCAAAGCTTGTCTTTGTTTGCGAACTAGAAAGAAAGAAGGTAGAAGTCTTTTTGAGCATTGAACCTACTTGGGCTGAGTTTCTGTCTTGCAATTTTTGTGTTCCAAGGGCAGGTGGAGTCAGTTTTACAGCTGTCTGTCTTCCTCCTTTATTGAAGATAGTTAAGAAAAATTATGATGATTATGGTAATTATTAGGGTGGTGGTTCACCCTAAAGTGCCAAGGTGGGTTACAGTGCTACAAACAATTTAAACAACTTTTAAAAACAATTTATTAAATTAAAAACAACTTAAAACTTTAAAAACAAGGTGCGTCCTTAAAATATACTAATGGGAGATGCTTCCTAGTTTAGCCGTCAGCTTAGTTTTTCTTCTAAAGAACTTGCTTTCTATTCTATAGAGATATCTCCCTGTGTCTGGATCATATTCAGATGAGACAGAAGGAGAAGGCACATATAAGCTAGTTCTCTATTTTACAGTGTTCAAATGCATTCCTGGGTGCTGTCAATATTATATTTTATTCCTTTTGATTGACTGGAGTGGCAGCAACCAGAGTACAGAAAGCGTTGGGCTGTGGCGAAGTCACCTGATTAGAATGTGGTGACAAAGGCTCGCAATGGCTGTTCTTATTTGGATAGTGTGCAGTTGGGCCCATTGAAGCCTTTGTCCATCTGCTTTGTTTTGCTTTTGGGGAATGTGATGACTTTTTATTTCCCAGTGAGGCCAGGTCCAGTTAAGGCTCTTCCGTGAGAAGCTTGCAACCTCAGGCATGTTAATCCATGCTGATGTGCTTCAATGTGGCCAGAGAAGCCACAATGCTTCTTTAGGGTGGAGCCTAGAAGCCTGACCTAGAACCCAGCTGCTAAAAGAAACCGGACCTGTTCAAGAAGTACCATCTGATAACAGAAGGCTTGGAAAGATGGGAGAAGTGGTTATTGGGAGCTCTTACACCACCCCACCCCACCCACAACCATGTGTTTCCTCCATTTGGAGCATAAAAGTAATAAAACTCAGCAGATTAACTGCGTGGGAAGCTGGCTGTCGAGAGAGAGCATTTTAGATGTTTCCCTGTTGTGGATATCACTGTACTTCAGAATCCGTCCACAGTAAATGCTATGCCAGCAATGTCTGCGGGTTAAAAACAAAACAACCAAGGTTATAATGTGTCTTAATGCCCCAAAGGGCTATTCTTTTCACAACCTTGGCCCTTGCCTTTTGATGTGTTCAGATTCCATTGGGATGGTATAAGAAACTGGCTAGACTCAACTCCTTAATGGTGTTGGGACAGTTAGATATTTTATTTGAATAGACAAACAGTATAATAAAAATCTTTTTAAAATGTCAATAATAATAATAATCTGATAGTCTGCAGATTCAGAAATTTACTACAGGAAGTTAATAAAAATTGGTGCTCCAGCACAACCTACAGGGTTCTCAGCATCTTTGCCTGCCATTTATTCTAGGGCTTTTACTGATGAGTGTTATGAAAGTCTATTTTTCTCTTACTGTTCTTCAAATGTTTAAGAATAAAGCAAAAAAGTGGAAAGAAAAGTGGGGGGCAGAAGAAAAGGCAGCTTGACTCATCAGATGATGATGATGATGACGACGACGATTATGATAAAAGAGGATCTCGCCGCCAGGCAACAGTAAATGTTAGTTACAAAGAAGCTGAAGAAGCAAAGACAGATTCAGATGATCTGCTGGAAGTCTGTGGAGAGGATGTCCCACAACCTGAAGAAGATGAATTTGAGACAATTGAAAAATTTATGGATAGCCGCATTGGACGGAAAGGAGGTAATATCGACTTATATTTTTAAAACTTCTCAAGCTGATGAATAATGCTTAAAATTATTTCTATTGGATGAAATATATGAGAAGTACATGTTGTGAATGATACAGTAACTGATATTTTAACAACCTTGTTAATCAAACTTTTAGGTTTTTTTGTATGTATTACAAAATATTTTGGTTATATATGTTGTTTAGGTGCTGTCCTATTTTTCTCTTTATTTGCTGTAGTTTTGCTGTATATTTTGGTTTCAACACATACTTCTGGCATTAATATAGTTTGTATTGAACTTTTAAATAGCACAGCATTCTAGTACAACTTAATGGAGTGATTATAGATGCTTCTGTCATCTAAAACCAATCTAACAATGTTTGCTGTTCTATCTAAAGCCATTTAGTATTGCAGTTGATGCTGTTGTCATGCTCTTTTTCAGCAACTGGTGCTACAACCACTATCTATGCAGTTGAAGCTGATGGAGATCCAAATGCAGGATTTGATAAAGCAACAGAACCTGGTGACGTGCAGTACTTGATTAAATGGAAAGGTTGGTCTCACATCCATAACACTTGGGAAACGGAAGAAACCCTGAAACAGCAGAATGTTAGAGGAATGAAGAAACTGGACAACTATAAGAAAAAGGATCAAGAAACAAAACGGTGGCAAGTATTGTTTATTGTAAACGTATAATACAAGCACATATTGCATATTATTGAAGTATTCATTTGGCACGTTTCTTTATTCATGCATGAACATAATTAGCAGAATGCTGAATAAGGCAGATGTAATTCATTCATAATGTTTTTTTAAAAAAATCAAAGTACTGTAGTACTGATGATCTGCAGATTTAAGGTTCGGCATTATGCAGGATTCTTAATGGTTACTGTGTGCTGTATCCAGTTGTGGCTTTGTGCCAGCAGAAACGCTTCCACTACAACAAGGTGAGGTACCCCATTTTCACCAGTCCGTCTTCTCAATTGCAGCCCTTTAAGCCATATTACAGGGATAACCAGTGTGGTGCCCTCCAGCTGTTTTGGACTACAGCTCATAGCATCCTGGGCCATGCTAGCAGCGGTGATGGGAGTTGTAGTCCACAGCACTTGGAGACCACTCCATGTAGGCGGTCCTTGCCATATTCCATACTGTTCCAGAAGAATCAATAGCCTTTTGGTAGGATGGAGGGGCTACATTGGGTAAGAAAGAATTAGTGAAAATATGGATTCCAATATATTTCTTCGACTCAAAACACTAATAGTAGTTATTGACTTGTCAGGATTGCCAACAGGATTCATTGGATGCAGTTCACTGAATGCAGATTGAGCTCTCTGCATCTTTAACCCCCCCCCCCCATCCTATTGGCAAGAACCTCTTATGTACATATATCAACTGAACCTCATTTATGTTGTGGGACTGTTGCAAAGATAAAAAGAGGAAGAGGAGAATAATAGAATGTTGCCTCCAGGTTGTGCTTTCTAACTTTATAGATTTCCAGTTTACTTACCTTTCGTCTCTTCCCCCCGCCCCCACAAGAAAAGTTTCTAATCAGTCTTCCTGTACTTCTGTTGAAAGTTAGAAGAATTGTAAACTCTACATTCTACAGGGCTGTAATGAATACGCTGTGTAATTTCATTCCAGGTTAAAAAATGCTTCTCCAGAGGATGTGGAATATTATAACTGCCAGCAAGAACTCACAGATGATTTGCACAAACAGTATCAAATAGTAGAAAGAATAATTGGTAAGTGACAGATTTTGAAACTAGAAATAATGATGATATACCAGCATAATGCATTCATTTAAGTTTTTCTGTGTTCATGTAGTTGGAAAGAAGTTGTATCTCATCGTACTTTATAAACTATTTTAAAGACTTTCAATGTACATGTCAGTGTCCCTACAGCTATATCCATAAGTTGTTCATCTATTCATGAGTTGTTCAGCATAGTGCCTTATTTCAGCCTAATTATGTGTCAGTGTTAAATTTCATTTTAAACATATATTTCCCACAGCTCATTCAAATCAGAAGTCAGCAGCAGGTTATCCAGACTATTATTGTAAATGGCAGGGTCTCCCTTACTCAGAATGCAGCTGGGAAGATGGTGCTCTCATTGCAAAAAAATTCCAGTCACGCATTGACGAGTATTTTAGCAGAAATCAATCCAAGACAACTCCTTTTAAGGACTGTAAGGTGGGTACATTAGTGTTTCTTTTAACAATGTCTCCTTCAGTTGAAGTGGTATCCGGTGTCAGGCTATACCAGTTCCATTTTGCAAATGGCAGCTCAATTCAAAAAGAAGAAACCTGCATAGAATACTATTGGTTAGGAATAAGGGATTAAGCCTAACCTTCTTCCCGACATCTTATTTTCTGTGTCGGAGAATTATTTTGTATAAAGAGGCATTTGACTGAATGATGCCAGGCATAGCTTTACGACTTCATCTGCTGTATGTGAAATCTAATCCAACAAGAAGTAGTATAAGATTTAATAGTTTCAACTATTTAAGAACTACTTTTTTAAGCACGATGCTCAGGGTGGAAGTTGGTCCTTGGCTGTAGTAGATTCAGTTTTCCACTTGCATAACGATTTATCATTTTTTTCTTCCAATTCAAATATAGAAAATTAATTCTCACCACCCCTCTTTTGCCAGGTTTTAAAGCAGAGGCCAAGGTTTGTGGCCCTAAAGAAACAACCATCTTACATTGGAGGGCATGAAGGTTTAGAGCTAAGAGATTATCAGTTAAATGGACTGAACTGGTTAGCTCACTCTTGGTGCAAGTAAGTACATAATAAAATGTTGCGATTATATGTTAAATACACATGCATATTTTTATTATTTTACAAGCTTAACGGGAACACAGTCATACACATTTGCCACTTAATAAATATCTCTGTGTGTGTGGCAGTTATGTTTAATGGATTGTACAAAAATAGTTACTTATATCCCATTCTTATTGCCATGCAGACTTTTTTTTAAAAAAAGCATGATCATCAAAAATTGTAAGCGAGTTAAAATCTGAAGATAGGACTTAAACTGACATGGTTCAGTTTTTATTGTTTGAGATGTGTGTTTAAATGAGCGGTCTGTGTTGATTCTGTGTGTACCCTGAATTACAAGTTGAATGGGAAAAATTTGGGGAAGGTTCTCAGATCCTAGGTCAAATTGTGCCATTAACAAAGCATTTCTGTCCTGTCAGTGACTACCTAAGCTTCTGAATCGCTTTGCTGCACTCGTTGTCCAATGTTACAGATTCCCATGACCTAACCCCACCAGTGACATATGCCGAGGGGGATATTTCCATACACTAGACTTTCTCCTCAGAGTCTGGCCTTTTTTGCCACCTTTTTGCACTATGCAGTGATGAAATTTTGCTATCCTAGAGGCTATATCCCCAAAATTCCTTGTGGGAGGGAACAGAAGCCCCTCTCAAAATCCTTGGGGTAGCAGGGTCTTTGCTAGGCTCTGAAATGTCCTCCTCCAGTCTTTCCTGGGGAACTAATGTCTTTTTCCCACTGCCCCCCCCCCCGATGATTCCTCTTGTACCCACTGCAAAATGGTGAAATCTGCTCTTGTGGGAGAAATACTGCAACTGTCATTCTGAAATTTGCCATGTTTTATATACCTCACTTTACAGGAGCAACAGTTGCATTCTTGCAGATGAAATGGGCTTGGGCAAAACAATACAAACTATCTCCTTTCTGAATTATTTGTTTCATGAACACCAGTTATATGGGCCTTTCTTGCTGGTAGTACCACTTTCCACTTTGACATCTTGGCAAAGAGAAATCCAGATATGGGCTCCCCAGATGAATGCTGTAGTTTATCTGGGGGATATTACTAGCAGAAATGTGGTAAGTGATCAAATTCTACAGTGTCACTGTATTCTTAGTAGATCCAAAATTAGTGCTTATACAGAGATGGTATTGGAAAGATTAAAATTAACCAAATTTCACATTTATTTTAAAGAGTTGCTTGTTTTTGGTAATATTTAATATTTTTGTAAGTAAAATAAAGTGTGTATTCTCCAATATTTTGATACTTTGTTGAATAACAGAGAAATATTAGCCTTTCATTTTTGCCAAATACATTGCTGCTATCTAGGAAATGGTACAGACTCTTCCATTGTCTGCTAAGACAGAGGGAGGCCAAATAACCAAAAAGCAGTGTTCATTCAAGCTTCAATTTACTGAACTCAAGTAGTTAAAATGTAATAATTGATTACTTTCATTAGAGAGGTATTTACAGATAATAGCTTTATTCAGTAATGAAATGGACTGTAAAACATGAAACTATAGGTCTTAGCATGTTTTATGTGGAATTTACATTATGCTTATCAGTTCTTTTGAATCTGCTACAAATGCAACTGAAAATAATACTTCCAATCATTTTGATTTAATCTTCTTTGTTATCCTTGAACTAAGCAATATTTTAACAGTCTTTTGATTTACAAATTTTCTTAATAAAATTCACTGACTGTTTTTTGCTGTTTGTTATGACTTCCTCATAGTTGATCAAGAAGTAAAGTGTTATACTGATCAAGCATTAAGCACATTTAACTCCGGTACCTTAGGAGCTTTAATTCTTGGGAACAAGGCAACAGTTTGAGCTACTTTAAAGTCAGTCTCTCTTTGATGGCAGAATGCAGGATTCAGATTGACAAGTTATTCTCAAAGTAATTTATTTGCAGGGGTGAAATGCTTTCCTGCCTCTAAAGAGAAAGAAGTGTTTGGAGCAAAAGGGAGGGGGAGAAAGAAGGAAGGAAAGCTAGGAAACAAAAAAGAACTGCAGAATAACAGTCCCATCTTTCAGTTCCTCATTTGTACAGTAAAACAGGGCAGGTGTGGGGTGGGGCAGATGACCACTCTGAGAAACAAACCATTCAGGCAAGAACATGATTAACTGTTACTCTTTATCCCTCTTTCTTCCGGGGTAAGATATATTTAGCCAGGTAGCAGTAGTGACTATAGCCGTGCCAGAAACAATCCTGTTCCACAGAACTTCTCCTGTCTGTCACTATCATGATTGAGCCTTCAGGCAGTACTCACCTAGACTCAGAAGGACCTGTTTATAGGATCTCCCAACTCACCAGATACCCATTTTCGAACCAATGAAATGTTTTCATGTGTCTCCCTACAGATCCCCATCACGCCATAGGACCCAACTCTCCTAAAGGCCCAATAGCATAATCTGGATTAGATGTTACTGTCCGAAGAGAAGGGTGGGGTGGGAATTGCGGTAGTGTAGCAACTTCAGGTATCAGAGGATAAAGGGTTTCCCAAGAGCCTGCTAAGTATCTCAGTGTGCTTTCTAATCAGTGGCACTACCCTCCTGTCCTGCTTTGTAAGTGGGCAGTCATTTATAGCCTTTGCAATCTGAGAGATGACAGCATCAGATCAGTTGATCCTGGAAAATGTCAGAGAACAGTGCATGATAGAGTGATGATACTAATCTAGAAATTGGTTTGTGCCCAGTACATGATTGAAAAGCCTTCTCAGGCACTTGTTCAAAATCAGTCATATCTGCTTCAGTTTCAAGCTTTAGAAATGGTTCCAGCCCATGAGGCATTGGGCATATTTTTTCACCATTCTGGAAATCAGTAGGAGGAAACGAGCCATTCTGTCCCTGAAGTACTTCAGCAAATTGCTGGAGAAAAGGTGCTCCAAGTTGTGGATGCTGAAGTTCACAGCAGCACAACCAAGATATTTCCTTGCTTTGTAGATACAACAGAAGTCCGTTGCTGTATTCATCACCACTTGCCTGGGCAAATTGTGTTACAATTTGAATTCCATAGAATTCCTCAGAATTCATTTGAGTCAAAGTATCTGTTGAGCTCTAAGCAGCGCTGTTAAGTCTCCTGGACTTTCAGTATCAGTTGGCAAATAAACAGACGTAATTCATATAAACAGGTGTACTAACAAGGTTTATATTAGCAGGCAGTTGAGCAACAGAAACTTGTCTCATTAGGTTATTTGGCACAGTTCCTAGGTCGGCATCTTGAAAAGGTGGTGGTTGTTTTTTTTACTTACGGACTTCTCATATAGTTATGAACCTTTGCTTATAGTTATCTTTGTAAGCCTACACACACTTCCACAGATAGTTAGATACAGGTTTTACATAGGTAGAGATACATGGATATAAAATGTGTGTTGATAAATAGATATAATGCAGCATTTTAATACCACCAAGGAGGTCTGGGCGACCTACTTGATTCTGGTCCCCATTCCAATTTTATCTTCACAACAACCTTGTGGAAAAGGTTAGGCTGATAAGTTAATAAATTACTTTTCAATGGACCTAAGAGAAAGCCCTTCCCTCATCAATCTTAATCTTGCTTCCTCTCATCCCAGAGGGAATGACTTTGCCACAGTCTGGGCTGTTATCTTGTTTCTCAAGGGAAATAGAGATTTACAAGTAAATAAAAAGACAAAATATGCATTTTCTTTTGTGAAATGTGCTTGTAAATAAAAGCTAGTTCCCTGGCTTCTGCCTCTGGTTAGTGTAAAGGATCTTTCTTCCATAAAGGCTCTCTAGAAGGACCAGAATGAGCAAGGTAATTGCTAGTGTTGTGTACTGCATGTGTGGTTTACACTCAAAGTTGGATCAGTTTCTCTGTTTTGTAACATAGCTGCAAAGGGACAGTTACAAAGAAACAGGTTAAGCTGTGCTGGTGCAGAAGTATATTGTATTGGTTGTGCAGCACTAGCTGCTTTCTCAATAGGTAGCTATTCTAATCCGATCCTACTTACTCACTTTCATATTTATGAGCACTTAGCTTGTGTGTAAGCTAATGTTTAGAAGCTAACAGCATCAAATATTATCAGAATTTGGGTTATTTCATAACCTTAATTTCTCACCAACTTTGTCTGCAGATAAGAACACATGAATGGATGCATCCGCAGACCAAAAGATTGAAATTTAACATCCTTCTGACAACTTACGAGATTTTACTGAAGGATAAGGTAAGTAATTTGACCACCACTCACTTCTCAAAATGAAAGCAGAATACTGAAGGAACTAGACTTGCCTGTCAACAGTTCTTAGGTTCAATAGAAGAAGTGACTTGTGAATTTTATTACTGAAAAAGGCAGTCGTTTTCAATTTTGTGGAAGAAGGTAGAAATTTTTTAATAGATTAGATGCTCATTTTTCTACATCATCACTTAAATTGCCATTTTAAATGCTTAATCTCTGAAACAAAAAGTCATTCATTTGTATTTTATTTGAACAGTCATTCCTTGGTGGTCTGAACTGGGCATTTATAGGAGTAGATGAAGCCCATCGATTAAAAAATGATGATTCCCTCCTGTACAAGACGTTAATAGACTTCAAGTCCAATCATCGCCTCCTTATCACTGGAACACCTCTGCAAAACTCCCTGAAAGAGCTCTGGTCCTTGCTTCACTTCATCATGCCAGATAAGTAGGTAAACTTACTATACTAGCCATGTACAGTTAGTAGAATTATTTAACTAGCACTCCTTGAAAAATGGTAGGGACTGCAGCTTTGCTGGTTTGTCTATTGCTTTGTTTTGGTGCAGAATGTCTGGAGAGTTTATTTGTTTATGTTGTTAGCCGGCTTTAAGTGACACTGGAACCATGTTAAAACAAAACAAAAAGTCCAATGCCTCTGGGAAGCTTACAGGCAGAAGATAATGGTGACAGCCATCAGAGGTCACCTATTTTAGCTGCTTTGGCTTTTGTCTAGCTAAGTTCTGTTATTAATGGGCATGCCCAATTTATGTATATTAATTTCAGTGGGTCTACTCTGAGTAGAATTAAGTTGAGAACAACCCTTTGTTTTGTATATTTTCAATATAGTCTCGCAATAGAGGTAAATAATGGTCTTCTGATATACTGGTTACTTTTATCTGTTTATGTAAACCATACATCTTCAACATAGATTTGCTTTTAGGGTAGCGAAGCAAAATAATAAGAAACAGGAAATTAAAATGATAGTAATGATTATTCTAATAATACAGAAAACTAATACTGCAAATAAAAAACCCTCAAACAGCAACAGCCAGCTTAAATTAATTAAATAGAGACACTTAGACCAGTTTAATTTTAAAGGGTGCTTACGTTAGCAGTTTGTAAATTTGTGTAACTACAGAAAGCTGCTGAAAAGGTGTGTTGTGTTGAGAGAGTGACAACAGCCTAAATATTTCTACTTGCTCTTATTTTTCTTATGGACAAGTATGAACAAAGTGGAAGGAAATTAAAATGGGGATGAACTGTCAGAAAAGAAGGGAGGATAAATTAGCAGAGCTTTTTTTTTTTTTTTTTTGGCATGTCACTCGGAAGTAAGTCCCATTGAATTCAAGTGGGACTTACTCCTAAGTAAGTGTGTATAGGAATGTGTACAGTGCTTAAGCTGCTTTAAAACTAAGTAGCATAGAACTTAGTGAAATGTTTAAAAACAAGGGTCATTTATTTTTCATAATTCAAATTTTCTATTGGCTTACTAACTTGGCTGATTACACGCTTGTTTTTCTCAAGTCTGAGAACTTGTGTGTATGTCCAGGATGTCATGTATAATAGTACAGTAAGAATACTGGCATAGCATATGTGTTTATTTTGAAAATCTGCCACAATGGTTATATTGAAAATTTGCCACAATTTAGAATGTTACATTTTATATTGAAGGTTTTCTTCTTGGGAAGATTTTGAAGAGGAACATGGGAAAGGAAGGGAATTTGGCTACGCAAGTCTTCACAAAGAACTCGAACCATTTCTACTAAGGAGAGTTAAGAAGGACGTAGAAAAATCTCTTCCTGCCAAGGTTGAACAAATTTTAAGAATGGAGATGAGTGCATTGCAAAAGCAATATTATAAGTAAGTAATTTATTGTGGCTGTCAAAATAATTTACACAGTGAAAAGTGAGCAGGTTTCTTTCATACAGTAAAGAGTTTGCCTGTCTGCCTGCAAGCATTTTTTAAAATTTTCTGTTTTCCACAGTTTCATTACTGACAATACACTTTTTTTTTTAATATCAGGTGGATTTTAACTAGGAATTACAAAGCCTTAAGTAAAGGTTCAAAGGGCAGTACCTCAGGCTTTCTGAATGTCATGATGGAGCTCAAAAAGTGTTGCAATCATTGCTACCTCATTAAACCACCAGATGATAATGAATTCTATATTAAACAGGAGGCCTTACAGGTAAAATTTCATGTCTTTGTAAAACTGCTCTGCATATATTGTTCTGTATATGAAACAAATTAAAATGCAACGATCAGATTACTGGGTTTTTAAATGTTAATTAAATAACCTAGGAATGATTATATCTATTATTATTATTACTGTTATTATTACTACCACCACCAAGTAAACATATCTAGGGAGGAAATTCCACAAACATGGTGCTGCAGCTGAGAATGTTCCCCCTGCTTGCCCACTGCCTCACCTTGTTTCATAGCAATATTCTGAATGCGTAGTGTAGCTTTTTAAATCTAAGAATTCTATGCACAGGAATAGATGTAATCGTGTTAGGCATATTCAGACTTCCTTAAATTTTTGATTTGTGGTTTCTGCCTTTGGTTTCTGGTAGTTCCCACAAAATGCATTAACGTTAATGTACAGACATAGTCTTCCATGCAGTCGTTGATTTTTTTATGTCTTGTGTTTTCTTTCAAGAATTTAATCCGGAGTAGTGGGAAGCTCATTCTTTTAGACAAGCTGCTGATTCGCTTACGAGAACGTGGCAGCAGAGTGCTTATATTTTCTCAAATGGTGCGGATGCTGGACATCCTTGCTGAATATTTGAAATACCGTCAGTTTCCCTTTCAGGTAAGAGCTTACTGTTAGATTATATCACTGTGCACACATTTATTTATTGGCCTCACGCTGTTTACAGACTAGCACAGTCTTAGTCTAATTGGTCTTTTTCTCTCCAGAGGCTAGATGGGTCAATAAAAGGAGAACTGAGGAAACAAGCACTGGACCATTTTAATGCAGAAGGTTCTGAGGTAATGTGTTTACTTGCCTGTTTTGTGTTTTGTTTTATCTTTTAAGGAATGTGTTTTGTTTCTAGCAGCAGAAAAGATTATTTGCCGTCTTATAAACAAAAACCTTCATAGTGAAATCCAGGATTTTATGTTACAAAATTGAACTGTAGTACTTTGTTTAAGGTTAGCAGTTTATTTTACAACATTGTTTGTGTTGGAGACAAATGTTTTGGTACAGTTTTGGAATAATTGCATTCTTCAGTAGTTTAAAACTATTTTAATGTATACAGTACTTTGAATGTCAAAATGTATCAGTTAACTCTCCTGTTAGGTATATTTTTACAGTTTTTGTTTCAGTCTTCCCGTCTTTCTTAATTCCAGGACTTCTGCTTTTTACTGTCTACCAGAGCTGGAGGTCTAGGCATAAACTTGGCGTCTGCAGATACTGTTGTTATATTTGATTCTGACTGGAACCCTCAGAATGATCTGCAAGCACAGGCTAGAGCTCATAGGATTGGGCAGAAGAAACAGGTACGTATGTTTTGTTTGATTTAGGTACTTGGTTGGGGACAGGAACAAATTATATGAAATCCAGTTTACATATAAACGTGTGTTTATCTATGTTTATTCCCCCCGCCCCTCAAGTGACGTAGTTTGAATGTCTGGGTCATGTTTTATGGATGTGTTAGTTTACTTGTCTTTATCAATATGTGGTTTGTTTGTTGTGTGTGTGTGTGTCTTACAATTAACTAAAGAATTCAACTTTTTAATAGAAAGACAACTTTAATGTGCCCAGTTCCCAAACTATCAGCCTGACTCCAACAGACACAGTACTAGTATATAAATGTTTATGATAGAGTATATTTAAAAGAGTGCAAGTACACTTCATATACTTTGGCTGCAGTCCACCAGCAGTGAACTGTGTGTGCTCCCATCTCCACAGAAACAGAGGAGCTCTGCTCCCCATAAACTATGCACAAAGCTTTCAGGCTGGCCATGGAATTCTGGAGATGTTCCACCACTGTGATCAGCCTGACATCTCCTTGCATCTGTGCAGTGATGATTCACAAAAGGGGAAGGTGCTGATAGCAAGGCCATAGGAAACTAGATTTGGGTTTCACAGCAGCAACAGCGCTCACATATGAAATTTTATTTATTTATTGCCCACCCTTCACCCTAAGGTGTCAGGGCAGATTGCAACACTAAAACACAGTATGAACACTAGTTATAACAACATAGAATCACAAATGTAAAAGCCAGGGTTAAAAGCTGCATCTTCAGTGTTCACCAGAAGCTGTACATTGAAGGCGCCAGACACACCTTTGTAGGGAGGGAATTCTACAACTTAGCGGCTGCCACAGAGCATATCCTCTCCTGGGCCACTGCCCCCTCTGTTGTTAGAGCAGAAATGGATTCTCACTGCAGAATTGAGGGCTTGCATGGTTTCTTGTTGTAGAATTGCAGCCTCTGGAAGTAGAAACATGTCTCGTTGGAATATACTGTTCATTCAAATACCTCTAAAAGACTGTCACATAATTGCTCCAAGCACATTACACATTTAAGAGGAGTTAAAAATATGAATGCCATTTTAAATTTAATATACAGTCGTACCTTGGAAGTCGAACGGAATCCATTCCGGAGGTCTGTTTAACTTTCGAAACGCTTGAAAACCAAGGCGTGGCTTCCGATTGGTTTCCCTATTGCACAGGCGCGCCAGAAACAATAGCGGAAGCCGTGCCGGACGTTCAGCTTCCAAAAAAGTTCGGAAACCAGAACACTCACTTCCGGTTTTCGATCATTCGGGAGCCGGAAATTTCGACTCCCAAGGCAATCGGGAGTTTTATTTGTGACTAAAACTTCACATTATTTCCTATTACTTCAGTGATTCCCGTAAATCTTTATTTTTTGTTTGGTTTTTCACAGGTAAACATTTATCGGCTAGTCACTAAAGGATCTGTAGAGGAAGATATCCTGGAAAGAGCCAAGAAGAAAATGGTTTTAGATCACCTTGTCATTCAGAGAATGGACACTACAGGAAAGACTGTGCTGCACACAGGTTCTGCTCCTTCTAGGTATACCTTTGGGGATGAACTGTAAGCCTATCTAACAGACAACTTCCCAAAAATGTACAGATAATCCTTCACAATGTTAAGGGAGTTAGGTTGACTTGTCCAAGGTTACAAAACTTGCCAATCATCTTCTTTCCCTCAGGATGTCAGGGCTAAATCTCCTGGCTCATGAAGCTAACAGATAGGCATCACCTGAGATATCACTTGCTTTCCCATCATGCAGTCCTTTCTGCCCTTCTCAAAGATAGAAGATGGCTTCAGACTGATTCCTTCCTCCCTTATTAAAGCAACTGTTCTGAAGGAACCAAACTGAATTGACCCAGAACTGCTGAAAAATACAATAATGGAAAGATAAACATGGGGGAGGGTTGAAGAAAGGAGGGCAGTAACCAAAGGAAGAGAATCCCTCTGCCTGACGTTTTCCCTATTGCTGTGGATTTCAGTGACCTAAGAAGCTTAAGGAACCAAGACACAATTCTAGGAGAAACTCTGAATTTATGTTATTGATTGAATGTGTCAGCTCATTATCTGTGGGCATCTAGTATCTTAGACACACACATTTTTGTGCCTTGTGCTGAGTAAAAGAGTAACATGTTCCCTTTATTTTTAGCTCTACTCCTTTTAACAAAGAGGAGCTGTCAGCTATTTTAAAGTTTGGCGCTGAGGAACTTTTTAAGGAACTGGAAGGTGAAGAACAGGAGCCACAAGTAAGGTTAACATCCTAGCATTTGATTTTTCTGGTCTATTCAAATCAACATTTCACCAGTAAGATTTTATTTTATTTTTTTCAGGAAATGGACATAGATGAAATCTTGAAGAGGGCTGAAACACGGGAAAATGAAACTGGCCCATTAAGTGTCGGAGATGAATTGCTTTCCCAGTTTAAGGTACTGTACTTTTTCATTCCATAATTATGTTAAGCAAAAATTAATAAAAGCAACTCCATTTTAGAAATGCTTTTTGTTAAAAGCTCCAAGATTTGTTTAATTTTTTTAAAGCTCACTAAGAACTTTTGTGCCTCTTCCCTGTATGCAGACCCATAAAGGGGGAGGCAGGTACACTTGCCTCGGAAAGCTAAACTGGCAAGGGCCCCCCCACCAGGGACCAGCTGATTTTTTGTTCGAGTTTATAACTTTATTTTAGCAAGACTCCTGCTCTGGGCCTCAGACAAACTCTGCACGGTCCTACCTGTATGTACTCCAGAGAGAAAAGAGGAAAGCTTATTACTGTTGTTAGAAACTTCCTTGAGTTTCTGGAGACGCATAGTGTGTATAAATAAATATATAATCATCTGACACTGTGGCTGCTATCCTGTGAACATACTTGAGAGTATTTGGAGTCGCTGGAACTTAACTTCCACATTAGCATGCATAAGATTGGTCTGTAAGTTAGGAAGCCCTCAGTAACTTTATGCTAGGGCCTCTAACACAGACAAACAGAAAAGATGACCGAAACACCTTTGGGGAAGAGTGCACAAAGGATAGGATCCCGGATTAATCATGCTTAGAGTTGACCCATTCAAGTCATGATGCTCAGGATAGCCCTGTTTGTTGTATTTGGAGTGTGTGTGCATTTGTAATTACTTTTATCAAAACTACCATTTTAACAGGTGGCAAATTTCTCCAATATGGATGAAGATGACATTGAACTGGAGCCTGAACAAAATTCAAGGAACTGGGAAGAAATCATTCCAGAGGTCCATAGGAGAAGATTAGAAGAAGAGGAAAGGCAAAAGGAACTGGAAGAAATTTATATGTTACCCAGAATGAGAAACTGTGCAAAACAGGTAAAGATTATTTTTGAGAGATTTTTCCTTCCCACTGAGTTTTGTGTTAGAGCAAATTGCACTTGAAATGTTGAAATTTGCTTTGGCTTCACAAATGAAACACTTAAATTTTGCACTTTCTTTTTAATAAAAAATACAGATCAGCTTCAATGGAAGCGAAGGCAGACGTTGTAGAAACAGAAGGTATTCTGGATCAGATAGTGACTCCATCTCGGAAAGAAAACGACCCAAAAAACGTGGAAGACCACGGACTATTCCACGGGAAAACATTAAAGGATTTAGTGATGCAGAGATTCGGCGGTAAGAAATAGGGAAGGGGGAAGATCTACAAGGGGAAAGTAATAGGAAAATTCTCCATTGGAAGCTTGAAATGCTTATATGTTACATGTCTTAAAAATCACGCTTCCTTTTCAATTACTTTGATAAATACTGTTTCACACATTACATTAAGCTATTAAATTGAGGGTACATGTTTGTTTAAATTCAAATGGAGTGGTTACATTTACAGAATTTTGGGTTTATATCGCAGTACCTGCATCTTCCCCACCCCATTTAAAGTTCCACAAGCCATTTTAGAAAGAAAATAAAATTATTTCCTTTTGTTTGGATTGCCAAATAGTATGGATTTTGGATTGAAATAAATTAATATTTATATAATATATAATGGCAATTCAGTATAGAAAAGGTTGTAGTCCAGCATCTCTCTCTCTCTGAGTGGCATCTGGTAGTGTATCGAAATACTTAATAGTATCTATTTTGACAGATTAGACACTGTACTGTAGTAAACATGAATCTGGTTACTTTCATAATTTAAAAAGTGTTCTTACTCTCCATTGCCATATTTTGACAACCTAAAACATTGGTTTCTGAAGTGACTTTGGTTTCAATCCCATCCCCACAAAAAGCTCAGTGGAACCTACATCTGAGTAAATGCATATAGGATCGAGACCTTTTTTATATTATTTGTGGAAGATAGTACAATTTTAAAAAAAGAATTTTGAAACTTAGCTTTGTATTTACACATTATATTCTCTCATAAAGATTCTTTATGGGCACGCTAACTTCAGTAGAATATCCTATATAGATTGTCTTTATTCACTGACGTTACCAAATATTTTCCCTTCTTAACTTTACCTAGTGTATTTTTCTTGCGTGCATATTTTACTGGTTTATCTTGAAAAAGATATGATATAAGGACCACGTACTTAACATAACGCTTTTTGTTTTTACAAAAAAGGTTTATCAAGAGTTACAAGAAATTTGGGGGACCTCTTGAAAGGTAAGCTTTCCTACCTAGCAGCTGGGAACTTTTTAAATTGTAATGAAGTATTTCAGCACTGCATTTTTTAAAAGGCAAAAACAGCTTTGAAGTTTCGGTGATCATTCATTGAAATGGTGATGGATAGATTTTTCCAATGCAAATATGATTGTAGGTATTAAAATCCATTTATTCATGGGAAAGTATAATTATTAATACTGCTCCTTGCATGTTCAAGGAGCACAGATAAGGTGGCTCTGCTATTTTGGGGGGAGTCAGTAAACTGAGTGGTGCAGTTCAAACAAACAAAACATAGCTTAGTGCAAGCCTTGCCTCAAACCATGGCATCTTCTTTCTGCTTGGCCCTCCATGATAAATCAGGAAATCTATTTCTTGGTTTGAAGTTGGATGAAGACCCTGGCTTGTTCTGAGCTTGGTGACCATAGTTGCCATGTTTGGACATAACAGGAGACTTGCACTCCAAAGATGTAAGAGGCAGCAAGCAAAGTCAGACCTGAGATGTTCAGTAGTGTGATATTTTTCTAACACAGAGAGAGCAGGTGTGTGTTTTAGAAAGGGAGAAAAATTGTCCTAAAGCTAATTTACATTACTCACTTAGCAAGGGACTATGTCTAATCAAACCCTCTTTCTCTGAAACTAGCAGCGGGCTCCTACTGGGTGTGTTAGAAGCTTGGGGTGGGAGGAATCTACTCATATTTCTGAGGGGAGATCAGCCGCTGCTAGAACAATGGATAAGGAATTTGCCAGTGCAGTATGCTGAGTGACCAAATAACAAGTGTGCCTTGTTAGAGCACCTGGTGAGGCTAGGGTAGAACAGGTATTTTTTTAAAAAATATATATGCATCCATTGCCTGCTGTGACCACCAGGGAATGCTACCACAAGAGGCTATTGGGGAGGGTTGACGTCTTGAATTTCCTCAATAAGAAGGTTGTATAAATATCTAGCATTAATGCATATTCTGTTTTTCATTTCTCACATACTGATACGAGAGCTATGATACTTCTGCTCTGTTGCAGGTTAGATGCCATAGCAAGAGATGCTGAATTAGTTGATAAATCTGAGACAGACCTCAGACGGCTTGGAGAGCTGGTACATAATGGATGTATCAAGGCTTTAAAGGACATCTCATCTGGACAAGAAAGAGCAGGTACAGCTTCCAGGGGGCGGAGGGAGAGATTGCTTATAACCCATGCCAAGAACTAAAGAAGTGAGCTCCTGTGAGACTTCTTTTTCTGCCCATACAAGCAGTCCCAACCTTCCTTGGCCATGTTCCTGAGTGGACAAACACAGCCTTTGAACAGAGATATGGGATTGGCAGTAGTTCCCATGATTGTTCTGGTGCTTCTTCCTAGCTCCAAACCAGCTATACTCATAACTGTACAAATAAATACAATTTCCAGTAGCACCTTAGAGACCAACTAAGTTTGTTCTGGGTATAAGCTTTTGTGTGTATGCACACTTCTTCAGATGCATGCAGGAGAGAGCATGAGATGGGATGCAGAGCCCTCCATTAACTGCCTAGAGACCAGCTCCTTTTGTTCCTGAACTGTTTCCAAATCAGCCTGTTTTCATAAGCACTTTAAAAACTGGAACCCGGTCTTACTTCCCCACCCCCCAATCTCTCTCCCCATTCCTTTTTCATTTTCTGTTGTGTCTGTTTAGATCAGTGGTTTTCAACCAGTGTGCCATGGCACCATGGGGTATCTTGAATGATGGTCAGGGGTGCCACGGGCAACACTGGCCTCTGTCCCTCTTTCCTTCCCTCCCTCCTCTGATGCCCTCTTGCATCTCTGCCTTCCAAAGGCTTACACAGCTATTAGTTGCAGCAGCGGCTGCCCGGCGGTCTCCCAAGGAGAGGAGATAGGAGGCTGAGGGAACACTCCACAAGGGAGGGTGTTCAATAAAAGGGTGAGAAGCTGCCAGCTCTGCAGGCAAGGGGTGACATAACTGGGCTCCTGAGCCCCACAGGGGTGCCACAGAAAGAATGTAGATGGTCAAGGGAGCCGTGAACTCAAAAAGGTTGAAAACCTCTGGTGTAGATTATAAACCTCAGGACAGTAACTTGCTTGTTTTTAAAACTGCTCTGGGTGTCTTTTTGGCTCAATCACAAAAGCTGGATGTTACCAATTAATGGATTAAGTTATGTTGTGATAAGATTTATGTAGATGTGTGAGGTATAAATGAGGCCATATTCTTCACTTGACCTGAAACTGTTAGTCCATGTCAGCAGCACTCCTTGTTGCTTTTTTTCTATCTGGCACAGTGTTGGTTCATGCCCTTGAAGCACATTTGTATTGATTACCTCTTCCTTCTAAGTGACCTCATGTTGAAAGGGCATCTTGTTCCTTCACATTTTGGAGTAGTGATGCATAAAACTGATCTAACATTTACCTGTTTTATATTCTTATTTGAAAGGGGGCAGACTTGGAAAAGTTAAAGGCCCAACGTTCCGAATATCAGGAGTGCAGGTAAATGCAAAACTAGTCATCTCTCATGAAGAAGAGCTGGAACCGTTGCATAAATCCATTCCTTCCGATCCAGAGGAAAGGAAGAGGTTTGTTACATTTGTTTTATTTTGATTTGGGGGGGGGGCAGTATGTTGCTAGGGAGTTCTGACCACATCATTGCTCAGGAGTTTGAATATCTCCATTCACATAACAGCACCCTCTGCTTTTGCCACAGCTGAACTAGCTTTTTTCCCGTTCTAGCCACTCTTATGCACAGATCGGAGGAGTGAGACCCATGAAGAGCAGAGCAAGTGTCATATAGTGGTTGGAGTGCCTGATAGTTCAGGAACTCATGGCCTTTTTGGTAGAGCCCCCTTTCTGATACCAGCATTGTTGCAACTTACCTGGGAGGGGGTTGGGCGGAGGCGTGGTGAGGTCAAGGCTATGCAGATGGACCAACAGAGTCAGTATGGCACTCTCACCAGTGTGCCTTCACAGTTTTGTCACCATGCTCCCCCCCTCCCCAGCCCTTCCAGGTAATCTGCAGCAGTACCAGAGGGTAGCTCCATGGCTTGCCCCACACATGGGTCACTATTGCTCATAGCACTGATGTAAAAAATAAAATGGGAGGGAACCATGTGTTCTACACTGAACTCTTTAGGAGAAGAGTGCCATTAAACGTCTGTTTTTGCTTCCTTTTTTAATGATTATATTGTATCTAGCTGCCAGTAGAGGTAATACAAATAGCTTGTGAACTTACTGTTTTTCATTTAGATACACCATTCCTTGTCACACTAAGGCTGCTCATTTTGATATAGACTGGGGCAGGGAAGATGACTCTAATCTTCTAATAGGCATCTATGAATATGGATATGGTAGTTGGGAAATGATCAAAATGGACCCAGATCTCAACTTGACACACAAGGTAAGCCCTCTGTCTGTCTGAACATAATGTTATTCAGGAGATCAAAAATTGCTGGTTGAATGGTTACAGGGGTAGCCAAGTGGACTGTATTCTGATTTGAGACATTTAGATGAGACTGACTGTTGTATCTCATTTCTCACACTCTGCATTCCCACTTTAGTCTTTTATATTTTTAGTTATTCCATGGTATCCCTGGAAAATTTTACAGAGGGCTTCCTTTGTTACTGGTGCATTATTATTGTCTTTCCTTTCTAATGGACAGCATGAGAGCCAACAAATTGAAGCTCCATCTAGATAAGATTGCGGCACTTATTGGGCGGTTCCCTAGACAGTGTGGGTGGGAGGTTGCCTGCTCTTGATGGGGTTACACGCCTTCTGAAGAAGCGAGTATGTAGCTTGAGGGTACTTCTGGATCCATTGCTGTTGCTTGAGGCTCATGTGGCCTCTTCAGCTAGTGACCCAGCTGCCCCCCTATCTGGACAGGGATAGCCTAACTTCTGTTATCAATGCTCTGGTAACTTGTAGGATAGATTACTTCAATGCATTATACGTGGGGCTGCCTCTGAAGATGGTTCAGAAACTTCAGCTTGTGCAGAATTCGGCAGCCAGGTTGCTCACCAGGGCAAGACAGTTTGGGTATATTACCACGATCCTGGGTCAACTGCACTGGCTGCCAATTAGCTTCCAGTGCTGGTTTTTACCTTGAAAGTCTTAAATGGCTCAGGACTGCAGTACCTCAAGAAACCCCCTCTCTCCATATGAACTGACTCACCCTGCGATCATCATCTGAGGCTGTTCTTTGTGTGCCTCCTCCATGAGAGGTGCAGAGGGTGGCAAGATGAGAACAGGCCTTTTCTGTGATGGCTCCCTGTTTGTGGAATGCTCTCTTTGGGGAGCCTTTCCTGGCACCTTCATTAGATATCTTTAGGGATGGGGTGAAAACCAGGCCTTTTAAGAACTCTTGTGTTCCATTTTTGGTAAGAAAAAGAAAGTTGTGCTGAAAAAATCTAGATTCAGACAGCTTTTCCCAGTTTAGTGAATCTTTTCTTATCCATCAAGCTGATAAAACTCTCTGTACTTGGAAAAAAAGCATCTTAAATTGCCCTTTCAGATTCTACCAGATGATCCAGATAAGAAACCCCAAGCCAAACAGTTGCAGACCCGTGCAGACTACCTCATAAAATTACTCAGTAAGGATCTTGCAAGGAAGGAAGCACAAAGACTATCTGGGGCAGTAAGTTATTTTCTGTGTATTATCTTTTTAAGTGCACCTACTTGAACTTGAATAAATATCTAACATGGCACTTTTCTGATATTCAGGGTGGCTCAAAAAGAAGGAAAATGAGAACTAAGAAAAGTAAGACCATAAAAGCAGCAAAAATTAAGGAGGAGACAAAGAGTGATACATCACCACCACCTTCAGATAAGTCTGAAGAAGAAGAAGAGGAAGATAGTAAGGTGAATATCGAGAAGTTTGAATTTGTGCAAAAAGTAATAATTTTTAAGTGTTATATTTATTTGTTCGATTGGCCGTTTTGAAGTTTTATTCAGATAGCCCCCATATTTCAGCCAGGGGGCTGTAGTGGAGGAAATAGTGGTTTTCTTCAGACCACAACAAATTCAGATGACATTTTATCTCATGACTTCACCCCTCTGGTGAACTAGCTCTCTTGACTTGAACCAATAGCAACTGAAATAGGGCCAGAGTATAATTTATTGGGCAAATGATAGACATCTTGCAACTTGCATGCTAATTAGGTTCCAGGGATTGAGCGTACAGCTAAAACCGTGCATAGCCAGAACAACCCCAGAACCCCCACCCCACCTTTCTGGAGCCGAGAGGGCCTTGCCTCCCACATGAGGCAGAGAGTTTCTAAGCTCTGCCTGTCTTCTTACCCAGCTCTGGGAGGCTCCCATGAGAGACTGGCAGTAAGTGGAACAAACTGAACATTGAATTTAAATTGGAAGTGGGTGCACCAGTCTGCTGAAGCTCTCCTTTCCATCTACCTCTGCTCCATTGAATGTGTAGGTGAAAAAGGAGCAGCTGTGGCAAACAAAAGTTTGGCAATAGAACTGAATGGAGGGCTATGTCACCAAAAGAAATGACCAAGTACTAAATGATTCTAATATTTATATCTGAACTCCTTAAATTAGCATTTTGATGTACATGTGTGTATGTTTCAGGATGAAATGGCTGCAGTAAAACATCCAAGCAAAAAGATAAAAGCAGAAAAAGAAAATGAAGAAAAATCTGATGCAGATATTGTCCTGAAGAAGGAGGCTGATGACAAAAGAGAGGCCAAGGAAAACAAGAGGGAGCTGAAAAGGGAGAGAAAAGAAAAAGAGGACAAAAAAGAATTAAGGGAAAAGGATGCAAAAGAGAAGAAGGAAAGTAAAGCAAAAGAGTACATGCAGAGAGAGAAAGAAGTAAAAGAAGAGAAGGTAATTAAGTCGGAGCTTTATTAGACCACTTCGTGCTCATAATAAGGATGCTGTGTTTTTAGTTCCTCTCCCGCGGGGGGGGGGGGTATGAAGGGGGGGGGTAGGCCTGATGTTCCTGGTGGAACTTCCTTGCTCTCCTGTATTCTTCACATGGATTGTGATTAAGCCTTGTATGCACATGGATTGTGACTAAGCCTTGTATGCTTCATTTTGCTCTCTAGTAACACCATTGTGTACCCAGTCTATATATGTTATGTGTAAAATGCTGCTTTATCTTAATGTACATCACTCTGCTTCGGTGGTGGTTTTTGGTTTCTTCGCAATCAAGCAGTATATGTTTTTTTTAATGAAGTGAATATTTAGCGTATCAAGAAATTTTGAATCTCTTAATTTCTAGATGAATGAGTCCAAATCTGAAAGCAAAGACAAAAGCAAGAAATCTCCTTCGGCAGACACTCCTGTTCATATAACAGCAAGTAGTGAGCCAGTTCCTATATCTGAAGAATCTGAAGAACTGGATCAGAAGACATTCAGTATTGTAAGACTTCTTCAGAATACTTTGTCATTTGGTCATACTAATTGGCATGAGGCATGTGATTCTCTGTTAGCAGAAAAAGCGTTCATTAGGCCGTCGGTTAAATATGGCTCTTGAAAGATGATGGCTACCCAGTTTGTACTCTGCAAACTGTGTTTAAAAAGTTTTAAACCATTCTTTATATGTTTATATGGATTATTAAGTTTGATGCTCCATATAAAATTTAAATATTATTTTATTTGTACCCCGCCCATCCATCTGGTTTGCCCCAGCCACTTTGGGCAGCTTCCAACAAATACAAAAGCATAATAAAACATCAGACATTAAAAACTTCCCTATACAGGGCTGCCTTCAGATGTTTTCTAAAAGTTGTATATTTATCTCCTTAACCTCTGATGGGAGGGCGGTCCACAGGGTGGGTGCCACTACCAGAAGGCTAAATTGGAGATAAATGGCATTTTCTTAGAAAACAGTAAAAGCAAGAGCAGAATCTTCATGTTATAGATGTCTAGTGTCTATAAATGTCACGTTATGTTGATAGAATGTAAGATCTCTGAATATTTTTTTATTTTTACAGTGTAAAGAAAGAATGAGGCCTGTCAAAGCAGCACTGAAACAGCTGGATAGACCAGAGAAAGGTCTTTCAGAAAGGGAACAACTAGAACATACTAGACAGTGTCTTATCAAAATTGGAGATCATATTACGGAGTGTCTAAAAGAATACACAAATCCTGAACAAATAAAGCAGTGGCGAAAGTAAGTAATCTCTGAGGAAGGAAAAAAAATCTGTCTTCTAAGTGCCCCTGTTGGCACCTATGGGCAAAACCTCTATTTTGCAAAAAATATATTTCCCAACCTGTGGAAAAGCACTTGGAAGTGTTGTGATATCATGAGAGAGAGAGGCTAACCTTTTGCCAGCCGTTTCTTTGATCAGGACCAGCCACTTCTCTCTGTTATGAGGTGAAAAGCAGCCTTTGTAATTATGACGGTGGAGGTGGGGAAGGAGTGTCAGAGCCTGTCATGGAGATTCCTAATAGCATATTTAATTTACAAATTAATGAAACCTATTGAGAAGGTTCAGCATCGGTTCATACATCTGAAATTCCTGCAGTTACCGGAGAGAAGAGATCCAGAAAAACAGTCTTCTGAAAACGCTTATGTGTACAAATGCCCCATTTGTACATAAGGTTCAACTATTCAGTTTTTATGGGTGTACTGGAAAAGCAGTATGGTTTGCTGCCTAGCTAGCTTTTTTAATGCCTAGGCACTTTCTTTTTAATTGCCTACTCTTTATGGCCACATGGAGGGAAAAGTAGTAAATATGGCTTAAAGAAAATGTGTTCAGCCCATTTACAGTTTGCAAGATGATAGCTAAATTATATTTTAATTTAAAGTTATGTGAACCAACAGAGCTACATATCTGCTATATCATAGTGCAGTCTGTATACTAACCACTAGATGGAGGCTCAATTCTGTTATATCTCGGACTAGCTTGAGGTATATATGTGTAACTATTTCAGAGTTACTTATAAAATTATTTTTTGTTTTTAATATGATGCAATTCACTTCATAATAGTAAAAGCAATAACAGTGATAGTGCCATACAAGTAAAATAACGTACTGTAGAACCAGGAACATGACCTGCTAATGATCTTTTAGAAAACTAAACCACTTTTTCCTCTTCCGTTCTAGAAACCTGTGGATTTTTGTTTCCAAGTTTACAGAATTTGATGCCAGAAAGCTACACAAATTGTACAAACATGCAATTAAAAAACGCCAAGAGACACAGGTATTAATAGACTGCCAAGTAGTACAGAACAAATAAGCTTTTGCCTGTGTTATTCTAACATTGGTATTAGTACTTCATGCAAATGAGACATATTTGGAACTTTATTATTTCAGTTTAATTTGGTAATAAAAAATTTCCTTATTTTTTTCCCCAGCAGCACAATGACCAGAATATCAGCAGCAGTGTGAATACACATTTGATTAGAAATCCAGGTAAGAACCTCAGTGTTGGGATGCTAAATTTTATACAATAAACAAATAGTTCCCGTTCTAGATAGTAGGTTCGATGTAGAGAAAATTGCATGAATGGAGCTGCTAGAAACTGACTTCCCCACTCCTCACCCCAGCAGCTCTCCAACCCAAAGAATTGGGGACTGGAGGTGGGAAGGACTGAGGGGAAAGGAGTAGTCCCTGAAAGACAGGCGTGTTCTCTGAATGAAACCTGGGGGGCTGTGAGAGCTGCCTAAACATGCATATATGTATGTGAGTGAAGCAGGGACGCGGGTGGCGCTGTGGATTAAACCACAGATCCTAGTACTTGCCGATCAGAAGGTTGGCGGTTCGAATCCCCGCAACAGAGTGAGCTCCCGTTGCTCGGTCCCTGCTCCTGCCACCTAGCAGTTCGAAAGCATGTCAAGTGCAAGTAGATAAATAGGTACCGCTCTGGCGGGAAGGTAAACGGCATTTCCGTGTGCTGCTCTGGTTTGCCAGAAGCGGCTTAGTCATGCCGGCCACATGACCCGGAAGCTGTATGCCGGCTCCCTCGGCCAGTAAAGCGAGATGAGCGCCACAACCCCAGAGTCGGTCACGACTGGACCTAATGGTCAGGGGTCCTTTTACCTTTACCTATGTGAATGAAGCTAGCATCATATCAGTGTGTAGCGATGTACTGCTATCTCAGTTGTCATGTATAAATTATTTGAGCAACAAGTCTTGAGATTAGCCTGCAATTTACTCAAATCATTAAAATGCATGGAAATTGGTAGTTCTCATTATGAATTTCAGTTTATTACAGCCAGCCATGAGAACATTGGGAATTGGTGAGACTTCTTTACAACTAAGGGTGTTAAGGCTCAGGCTGCAAGTTTCAGTGAATCAGGCTTAGAATGTGTGGGAAAAGCAAAAGCCTTCTGTTTAAATGTTGTCAAATGGATTATTTAAATACATTTCTTTAGTTCTTCACTTTTCAGCCCATTTGCTGATCTTGAAAACATTCACCTGGTAATTTATGTTGCCTATTTACAGCTAAACAAATCTCTGTACTTTCATTTAAGCAGATGTGGAACGCCTAAAAGAGAATACGAATCATGACGATAGTAGCAGAGACAGTTATTCCTCTGACAGACACTTATCACAATATCACGATCATCACAAAGACAGACTTCACGGAGATACCTACAAGAAAAGTGACTCTAGGAAAAGGCCTTATTCTAGCTTCAGCAATGGAAAAGATCATAGAGATTGGGATCACTATAAACAGGATAGCAGGTGAGTTCGTGACAGCCATCCACAGAACCCCCTTTTCCCAATTACTTCACAATTCTTGTGCAATATTTCTCACTAACGAGATGATTAGGACTTTTTGCTCAGAAACTGTTGGCTGTGTGTAGGGCAAAAACATGCATGATGATAATACATGTCTGAACGCACTGCTATTTTTGGTTTTATATTTGGAAAAAGGGGTGGCCAGGAGTGTGATAGGGCTGCAGTTTGTTGGTGTAAAAACCCCACAACTGATGCAGTTTGCATTTTAAAAGAACAGCAGGTTAGATGCAAAGATCTATTTCATGCAAGATCCCTCAAACTGGTCCGCAAGCTTCAATCCTGGCGATCTGTGGCATGTCTGTAAAAATATGAATAAAAGTCATACATAGGACATTACAGTTTCAGCAACAGGCAGATATAACATTAAAAGGTCCGTCGCTCCCATAGCATTTTTAAGTGGTCCATGCAGGGGGAAGTTTAATGTCACCTGTAGTTTGGTTCACAGTTGCATTGCTGAGAGAGAAAAGTGATGCAATGCTACGCTGTGCTATCCTGTCCACCTCACAGAGCACACCAGGATGCTAGAATCAGTTGGTTTTTCCCCTTAGTTTTCAGGAATCTTTTATTGTTTTGTTCTTAGAAGAACAAGTGTGTGTGTGTGTGTGTGTGTGTGTGTGTGTTTAAAAAAATCCTGTTGCGTTTCTACAAGGCCTACTCTTTTAAGATAGCTTCTACTAGTATTTATTTTGTGTTTCAGATACTACAGTGATGGAAAGCACAGAAAGCTAGATGACCATAGGAACAGAGATCACAGGTCCAGTCTGGAAGGAAGCTTAAAAGACAGTCGGTCACACTCCGATCATCGGATACACTTAGACCATCGATCCAGTTCAGACTACAGCCATCATAAATCTTCGAGGGACTATAGGTATCACTCGGACTGGCAAATGGACCACAGAGCTTCCAGCAGCGGTCCTAGGTCACCATTAGATCAGAGAGCTTATGACTCCAGATCTCCCTTAGGACACAGATCTCCTTTTGAACATTCATCAGATCACAAAAGTACACCGGAACATATGTGGAGTAGCCGGAAGACATAGCAAAGACTAACATTTCCTGGACTTTTTTTTTTTTACCATACACAATAAACTAACACAGCAATTGCCTTACATGACTTGAAAGACATGGACCGTATGTGCTATGAGTAGCAGTATTGTTACTACTTTCCAGTATGCTAGGTCTATTATCCCAACAGAAGAGAAAATATTTTTGTATTTAAAGTTTTAATGCTGCACTGTGCTACAAATGTTGTAGCGCATTTTTTTAAAGAAAATATGTTTACTTTTTACAGGGACCTCAACACTGCCCCACTCAGACTGGATCTTAATCTGAACTCCTCCTCATCGAAGTGGTTTTATTCTGAACACAATTTAAATTATGTTTTTAGATGAGCATTTACATGTTGACCTGTGATCATATTTCAGGAAAGAATCAAGAGGTGGTTGTTTTTTTTAAAAAAATAAAGATTCAAGGACTCTGTTCACTTTCCAAAGCTACTTGTTTACATTGTACACTGCGACCACCTTGCCGCTTTTTCATCACAAGCTTGAATATTTAAATTCTGTACCTAGAATTGTAAAATAGCCACATGTTCCCCAGTTTGATCAGTTGTAATGCCCTTTTACAAAATGGCTGTAAATTATTGTAAATTAATTAAGTGAGCTTCTCCTCCCCCCTCCCCCAGACATTTCCGTTCAGACTTGGCCTACCTTCCTCAAATGTGAAAAAGTATTAATTTCTAAAATAAAATATCTGATGCGGAGTCATTGTTCAGACTAAAACGGAGAAAAAGTAACCTCTTTATCATAGCTATATAATAAGATATTTTATTTAAATTATTGGTTAGCCTTTTAAAAACTAAAATTCTGCTTTGATGTTGTAGTGTGAGAACTTCGAGTGATGCTTGGATATTGTTTTTATAACATAAACAAGTCTCACTAAGTGAGCATGGATTTGAAGATTGCATATGCATAGTCATTTCAATAAATTTTCATCAGTGTTTAAACACTGGCCATCACAATTTCAATTAGTTTGAGATAATTCATTTTAGCAAGACTAAGCAGTACATAGTTACTTTAGATTTCTATTTCTGCTGTTCCCTAAGGACTGAGATTGACAACTTGTTCAGTACCAAAATGCAACTTCGAAATGTATCCTGAATCAGAGGACCCTGGCTAATGTTTTTACTTTACCCTCAGTGCCAATTTATAAATATGCTCTGGTTCGATGCAGCAATTTTACTGGTTGGTACAGTACTGATTATATTCATACTACTTGAAGGTCAAATGAATATTTTAAAAGCATATGTAGTCACCATAGATGCTTACCATTACGGAGCAGGCACGTTCCAGAATTAACAGGTTGAATCAACAATGTTAATTTAATCCATGGTACTTCTGAACTGGAGCAAGGAGAAGACTACAACCCAGATGTTTCACTACTCTGCTATAAACATGGAGACGCAATCAAAGGGGGCGTGGGGTTCCTTGCTTCTAATTCTGGAAGACAGTGACCAAGTCCCGGCAGATGAGTACCATATTTTTTGCTCTATAACACGCACCCGACCATAACACGCACGTAGTTTTTAGAGGAGGAAAACAAGAAGAAAAAAATTCTAAACGAAACAGTGCATGTATGATTTTTGTGGTTCATGCTGTGGCCACAGACATGTGATCTGACAGTGAGTTTGGAGTAGCCCAATGCAAAAATCCTGAGGTTCCATGCTTTGTAACCACGTTTTTGCACCACTGCGGCCCCAGGCAACAGTGGGTGCGTGATTTTTTGGGTGCAAGATGTAGCCATGGACATGCTATGTGATCTGATGGTGAATTTGGGGTGCCCAGTGCAAAAATCCTGAGGATCCATGTGGATCCGTGCTTTGTAACCATGTTTCAAGTGGGGAGGGAAGGAAAAGCACTCAAGGGACAAGGAGAAGGATGCTGCTAATAATGCATAAGAGGGGTTTAAGGGGAGAAGAAGCATGCGTGGGGTGGGTGGAGAAGGATGCTGCTAATAATGAAGAAGAGGGGTATAAGGGGAGAAGGCTCCTCTCCCGCTTTGCTCCTTTGAAGCAAGCAGGCTCTGCTTTTCTCCCTCCTCCCCGCTCATCCCTGGCTTAGCGAGCTGAAAACTTTGCTGCTATTTAGCGAGCTGAGTGGGGAGGAGAGAGGGACAGAGAGCCTGCTTGCTTTAAAGGAACCAACCGGACAGGAGCCGCTTACACACGAGTGTAAGCGGCTCCTCTCCTCTCCCGCTTTGCTCCTTTAAAGCAAGCAGGCTCTCTGTCCCTCTCTCCTCCCCACTCAGCGGCTCTTCTCCCGCTTTGCTGTTTCAAAGCAAGCCACGGAGGAGGGAAGAAAGGGGAACCATGGCTCCTCTGCTCACGACTGCAGCAGATCCCCCCCCCGCCATCCGTAGGCATTCCCTCCATAACACACACAGACATTTCCCCTTACTTTCTAGGAGGAAAAAAGTGAGTGTTATGGTGCAAAAAATACGGTATTTGAGTTTTGTTCTGCACGGCTTGTGTTAACATCCTTGCTGAATTATGAATATACTGAATAGTCTCTGGCCCTTTCGAGTTCATGCTTGTGAAATGGGAGTAAGAGTGACGCTGGAAGCTCATGTAGTTTGCGAAATGCTGTATGAAGGGTTTAGCAGGGGTGCCGTGCCAATTATATAGCAAATATAAGATGACACATCATCCTTAGTAGTCCCTGTGTTTTAATGCACATGGAGTATGTATGCAGCAAACTGGATTCAGAATGTTCTGTCAAGCTACTGAAGAGGGTTTGGCTTCTACTACTGTAGATACATTTTAATTTAACTGTCGCCTCAGCCACTGCTGCTGAGATGGATGGAATTTCTTGAGTGCTTAAAACCTGAAAATATTTCTCATTAGCTGAGACGTAATTGGCAAATTTTGCTTTATTCAAACTCAAAATTCCTACCTTTTGGATTCACAGGTTCTTGCAAGCCGCTGCTTTTTACTGACCTGCAGTTTGATGAGCTATGATTGTGTTGGCAACAGGTGAACTTTGGTAAATTCAGCACAGATTCAGCAACATGAGTGACGTGGGGGGGGGGGGGGACCGGGATATCGAAATGATTTATCCAAGTGAAACCAAGAACAAAGAGAATCTGCGAAGAAAAGCATAAAACCAACTGAGGTGTGTAATTTTGAAGTCAATTTTATCTATACAACTTGTCCACGTTGAATGGAGAGGACAGGTTGTTCGGGGAGTTCACTGAAGCCGAGCAGCTACACAAGGAATTGGCTGCAGGAGGATTTGTCAGATGGTACCAAGAATTCTCCATCCCGGGAGAATGGATGAAACTAGTCCAGGCTAACTTGCTTGTAGTGTCACAAGCAGAACAGCAGGTGGCAGTAGTGATAGGGCAGCTAAGCTGTGGCTTGCCATCTTTGAAATGCTGTCTGCCAGCTCTTTGCATTTTTTAAATCACTTGGGGAAGAGCATTTTATTTGCCTAAACCTTTAAAGACCTTCCCCCCTTTTCTACTTGCTTTCATAATTTTGTTGATTTTAAATTCTTACGTTGCTCTAGGAATCCAAGCTGAAAAGCTGGTTGTTACGATTTGGCAACAATGCAAACTTTGGATGGTAGCGCTATGTGATTATTGCAAAGTGAAATTGGAGATTCCCCAGGAGATCTTGCAATCTGTAAGAATATGAAGGGATCCAGTGTTCTTGCTGAGCGGAATGCTGTTGAACAGAGTCAAAAACAAGAGGAGTCGCAGATGTGTTAAAGCATGCATTACATCGAACTATAAATGGACGTTAGGGAAATGATCTGAATTGCTACAAATGTTTTAGAAGCAAAGGTGATAAAAGTGAGTAACGGCATTGTTCTCTTCTTTCCGGTTGTGAGAGACAATGCTGTGGAACCCAAATCCTATGTCTGTCTGAGATGCAGTAATACTGGTTGCCACTGGGCTTTTGAACCCAGGCAATCCTCATATATAAGGCAGTGGGGATTGGGCCCCTGTATAAGGGCTCCCCACATTATCAGGATTTTCTGGTGCTTCACCATGACTGAAGAATTAGTGACTGAAGCTAGTCCCTGCAGAGGCCATGAGTAGGCCTGTGCGTTCGTAAGACTGATGTGAGGCAGCCCTTGGTTTAATCCAAGACTTCGTTCAACCGAACGTGTCAAAAATCGTGTTACAGTGGTACCTCGGGTTAAGTACTTAATTCGTTCCGGAGGTCCGTTCTTAACCTGAACTGTTCTTAACCTGAAGCACCACTTTAGATAATGGGGCCTCCCACTGCTGCCGCCATGCGATTTCTGTTCTCATCCTGAGGTAAAGTTCTTAACCCGAGGTACTATTTCTGGGTTAGCGGAGTCTGTAACCTGAAGTGTGTGTAACCCGAGGTACCACTGTACATTACATTGAGCATACATTCATGTTTACTGTTGTCCAGGGATACAGTATAAGAGCCTGCTTGGATGAGGCTGATGGCCCAACTAGTTCAGCATCTTAATTCTCAGAGTGGCCAACCAGATGCCTGTGGGAATCCAGCAAGGAATCTGCTTGTCATCTAATGGGGGGCGGGGAGTGAAATCCTACTTGGTTCAAGCAGTCTAGAGAAAGCATGGGGAAGGCCCGGAATCACAGGTTTTCTTGTCTTGATCCCAATGAGTTGTGGCAAAAAGAACCATGTTCTCTCTGCAATTCTCTGCACATGTAGAGGCCTTTTGTAGACCTAGCTGAAGCAGTCTAAAGGTAAAGCTCATCTTGTCCTTAGCGCAAACAAATGAGTTATTGTCAATCAACAATCACAAAAAGAGGTTGCATGGTGCCACTGCCCTTTCATTTCCACCATTCTTCTTTGCAGTATAGTATGTGCAAGATAACAGCCTTGTTTCAAGCATCTTTTTATAACGACAAATAAAGTTTTGCTGAGAAAGGTGGAACCAAAAAACACAACAAAGTGATTCCATGTCCTTTTTTTTTTTTTTTAGAATGACTTTGAATCATGAAAAATAAAACACAATTATGGTATTTTTTTAAAAAAGCAATTTACGTACTGCTGAGGAGTTGTAATTCTTACTGACGCCTGCAGTATCTTTTTTTACTTTAGTGTGCTGACCTTTATAGCAAGACATTGTAATCCTATGAATTTGTAGTGGAAGGGGATGTAGCTCAGTGATGGGGCCCTTTGCATGGGAAGGATCTGTTCAATTCTCCACCTCTCCAGGTAGGGCTGAGGAAAGATCCCTGTGCGAGACCCTGAACAGTCACTGCCAGGCAATGTCAACAAAACTGAGCCAGAACGACTAATGGCCTGACTCTATATAAAGAGAGACTCCTACATGTGCAGCAGTGAATCACATTGGAAAGCTGGCTGCTCCTGGGAAAGGGGACCAGGGTGGTGCTGTGGTCTTAACCACTGAGCCTCTTGGAAGGTTGGTGGTTCAAATCCCCATGACGGGTGAGCTCCCATTGCTCTGTCCCAGCTCCTGCCAACCTAGCACTTTGAAAGCACACCAGTGCAAGTAGATAAATAGGTACTGCTGCAGTGGGAAGGTAAACGGCGTTTCCGTGCACTCTGGTTTCCATCGTGGTGTTCCGATGCTCCAGAAGCGGTTTAGTCATGCTGGCCACATGACCCAGAAAGCTGTCTGCGGACAAACAGCAGCTCCCTTAGCCTCAAAGTGAGATGAGCGCAGCAACCCCATAGTCGCCTTTGATGGGTCCTTTACCTTTTACCTTACTAGGAAAGGCCATAATGCAGCAGCAGAGAACATGCTTTGCACACTAGAACAAAAAACAGGTCCAAATCCCTGGGATCACAAGACCCATTGAGATCCTGGGGCAACAGAGACAGTGCGGAACAAAACTGCCCTATGCCTTGGCTCAGGATAAGGCTGTGTTCCATCTTCTTAACACGCAGGAGGGCAGAAGTTGCCTTGGCACAATGGAGCTGGCACTAGAAAAAACCTTTGTAGCCCAGCCACATCACACAGGGCTTATGAGCATTACCCATCGTCTCGTGTGTCATATACTGGTGTCCACCAGGGGTCAGTAAAACCACATTACAAACATTCCACAACATGGTATGTAGCTTTATTCTATCATAATAATTTAAAAGTATTTGTACACTGCATGGTCACTTTGTTTTTCTTTGTTTTTACACAAATGTATACTTATTCGTATATCCATGAACCACATCTAAAGGGGGCTTTGCAAAGACTGGGCACACTGTGGGTTCTTTCTTTCTTTCTTTCTTTCTTTCTTTCTTTCTTTCTTTCTTTCTTTCTTTCTCCCCCTTTCTTTCAAGCATAAAAATAAGTTTGAAGCCTTCAGGGAGAGAGAGAGACAGCCAGCCGTTTGGAGTGTCTGTGAAAACTAGTGTTCCTTCTAAGCGCAAGCTGTCCCCAGACACCACTCGCTCGCTTCAAACTATCCATATGTTTGGCATTAACCAAAGCTCTCTTGACTGTGATGGACTTCGAGAGCCAACATGTGCAAATAACATTTTCTCAAGAAATCCCACAGCAGGAACAAGAAAGAAAGAAAAGAGAAGAAAAACCCCACACACTCCAGGTTCTAACATTTCTGAAATATTACTTATCTCTGGACTTTATGATTTAGATATTAGTGTACATAGATACTCGCGGGGCTTGGGAACACAGGAAATTAGCTAGCACACAGCTGCTCTTTACGATGGGCTCACACAGCAGTTACACCTCTAAGCTTGTCTATCGGGCTTCTTCCACAAATACCTTTCCACTTGGCACACAAAAAAATGGGAAAATCCAACTATTCTAAGACCATCAACGCTTCTCTCCAGACAAGATTCAGGGGGAGGGGGAGGAGGAGGTTTTGCTTCAAATTCTGTGCTGCCCTGACCAACAAAAAAAAAAAAGGACAGCTTTACACAAAATTGCCATTTTAAAACCATTCTGGCAGTGGGGAAAAGAGGACTAAGCGGCAAATTCAGCGCTATACTTCCGAGTGCCAGCCCAATTCATTTGCACAGTGGCCAGCATTTTCACCTCACTTAGGAACTTTTCCGAAAGCATTTCCAACTTTTTCCACAATTATATAAAAAAGGACGTAAATATTCTTCTCCCAAAACTGATCAGGATTCCCACGAAGGGAACCAAATATTATTAAGCTTTTGTTTGGCTTTATTCCGGTACTTCTTACTTCCTGAACTGGTCCTGCAATGCAGGCCAATTTTATTATGGCCAAGTTTTAGATTTGAGGCAAATCTAAAAAGGAGCATCTTTTCCAAGGGCGTCAGTAGGTGCACAGCTCATTCTGCTGAACAAATGGCATTTAGCCTCATCCCAACAAGGCAATCCTCACCTGTATCCCCTAGCCTAACCCAAGGCTAGTCAACATGGCTCCCTCCCAGTGTTGCTGACTACAACTCTCATGCCTTTGTCATTGCCATCTGCGTTTCAGACAGAGGAAATCTGGCCCAGGACCACAAAAGCCAAAGAAACAGGTGGATGGAGCCACAGGTCTGTGTCAGGTTGCACCTCTGGGTACTCCAGTTAAAATGGCCTGGGCAAAATTCTTCATGTTCATCTAGGACTAGGTTATTTTGCCAAAAATTATCCAGAAGCAAAAATTATCAGAGTTCAGAAGTTTGTTTCTTTTGAAAAAAATATTTCGGGAAGTTTCAGCTAAGCCCTAGCTCCATACCTTCCTTTACTTAGCAATTTCAGCTACCCCTCTGCTCACTAAATCTGGAATGAGGTTGGCACTTCGATGCTATGCGAGTTTTGCTACCCGCCTAGATGCCAACCTAGAGCTCAAAGATTCTCCCAAGTGTCCCAGTGGGCTTTCCTAGGTAAAAAGGGAGAGGGGGGAAGTACTCTTAGCTTCCTCACCCCCAGGATGATCAAGAGGTCATAGGGGGGAGGAAAAACGTTGGCAGAGAGCCTTTTGAAAAAGAGCTGGGTGTAGGTCCAACTGCAGCTGCAATATGCCACAGGGTCCTCTAGCAAAACACAGGAGTGGGAATTGAGCCTCTAAACATGAAATGTGTATATGATTGCCTGCGCCGTATGAAAGGAACAATCTTGGGGCACCTCAAAAATTTAACATGACGTACACTTTCACAGCTGCACCCCGAGACACAAAAGCTGCGGTTCTCCAGTTGTTGTTGCAATGTCATCCGCTTCTGCCAGCATGGCCGACGTCAGGAATGGTGGGAGGTAGAATCCAGACATGTTTAAGGTGGACTGCGGCTTTGTGGGTTACCGCTTGCATCACCAATCTGGTAAAATCAGTCAGATCTTTAAAGGTGCCTCAATGTTCTCTTTCGGTGCCTGAATTTTGTAACAGAAGAAGCTACTGCACTTTAGCAAGTTGCAAACACAAAAACAAAAAACTAGATCTGGGAATGGTGACCAGGCAATCTTTGAGCAAATGTTCCAGTTGCCTTAGGCTGCTCAGGCTCCAAACGTAAAATACAGGCCGGCACAGCAAGCTTTTTGGACCAAACTGTGGGGGTTCCCTTATTTTCTCCTTTTTTTAGACAAACACCAAAGTCAGAATTCTAAAAGGTTTATCTCCAAAGCTTTGGGATTATTATTTTTTGTAGTTGTTGCAAAAAACTTATTTAGGTAGGCTGAAGGTGCCTACATTTTTTGGGGGGTGGGGGGCAAAGAGGAGAGAGAGAAATCAGACATGATTAACCCAGTGAGGCCTACCACTATCATAGGGAACACACTTAATACAAACCACTTGAAGATATCCATATAATCGATATATATTAAGAGACCAAGCCCCAAAAACCTCGGTGAGTTTTGGGTTTCACACGTGTACGTTTGGGAAGGAGACAGAGACACTGTTTTCTACGTTCGTGCCCTTCATGACCCGAGGCGAGAAATGCATTTTGCACTTGGCGAGTCAATACCAGAGCACAAAATACCACCTCCCCATCACACACAAGAAAGCAGTCCTCAGGAGAAGGGGGCGGGAAACATCTGCATCAGGAATGATGCAGCAAGGGGCGGTTCCAATTGTGAGGATCAATATCAAATGACCTTTTTGTTCTTATGGAACACAGGCTGGCTACTGGCCCAGGGTCCAAAAGGAAGAATTAGCTCATCCCAGGCCTGCACCTATCTTCCCCCCTCCAGCCAACTTCTTGTGTTTGCCTCAAAAGGCGAAGCAGAGAGAGGAGGGGGAAAGGACCGCAGAAGCTCGTGAGTTCAGCTAGGTAATACTTAGAGGGAGCACTGGGTATGATGTATGTACACGTGGCTAAATGCTTTACATATTACCTAGATACACATAAATATTCAATATATAAAAAATAAAGTGCTTTCTATCGGGTCCTGATGAAAGGACATTATAAAACATTTCACCAACTGCAAAGCAAAAAATTATTACAATCAAAAAAAGAATATTACATCCAACGTACATGAGGAAAGAAAAACTAACACAATATGTACAATCCGCTGGGCGTCCCAGGAGGAGGGGGTGGGAAAGGCGGAAGCATCCCTTCATATACATGGTATATACATATATAATCTTTAAGTCAATATATTATGACAATATATATTTTTAAACCTTTGTTCTCGGGGATGGGGGAACCCAACACAACCCTACAAAAACACAACAAGCATCAAGCACACGAGTCCAAGACTAAGACACAAAAGCTGCTGCCCTTGGCCAGCCGCCCCGTTGTCGGGGAAGATGTGCCACCGCTCCTTCCTGGGGTGCAGAGCCTCGACGTCTTGCAAGGCACTGTGGGCAGCTGCCGTGAAGTTGGCATCGCCGGTGGTCAACAAATCGAACACACAAGAGTAAAAATAGATGTCTTTCAGAAGCATCTTCTCGTGGCATTTGGCCGTGGCGCTCTCCAAGGTGTACACGGACCGGGTCTGGCTGGAAGCGCCCGGAGGGAGGAGCTGCCCCATCACGGGCAAAGGGAGGTGCCCGCTGTCGTCAATGCGCTCGCTGGAGGGGCAGCCGTTCACACAGAGCTGGAGGTCTTGGCTCTCTTCATAAGCCATGGCGAGCTCTTCCGGCATGCGTATGGCGAGCGTTAGGTAGCGGCCCAGCTGGCGCACAAAGACCGTGGTCCCAATGTACCGGGCGTGCATCTCCACATACTTGCCGCTCACTCGCTCTACGATGTGCAAGCTCTTGGTGTCACCGTCGCCACCGCTGGTCGTGCCGTCGACAAAGGCGGCAGGCAAATCGTCGGTCACGGCCTGGTACACTTTCTGATCTGTGCAGTCTTGGTAAGATTTGAAGATGATGGTGATCTGCAGAAGGAAAGGGGAGCCAAGAAGAGCAGAATTAGAGCAGGGAACGACACGACACACCTCTTGGCTACGTGCAGCTGTTTAAATTCCACTCAAAAAGACTCCATTCGCTGCCGGGCACCAAATTCAACACCCACTAGGATGCTACCATTAGCACCGTCCAATTATCAGCATGCAACATTCAATGAAACAGAAACCAACCTTGCCCCAAAGTAGTCTTGGAGCATCACAAAATGGTGTATCTGAATTGTATGTCACGGTGCAAACAACACCTTCTACCAGTTTTTCCTCAAACTTGGGTCTCCAGCTGTTTTGGGACTACAACTCCCATCATCCCTAGCTAGCAGGAGCAGTGGCCAGGGATGATGGGAGTTGTAGTCCCACAACAGCAGGAGACCCAAGTTTGAAAAACACTTTCAGATGATCCTTTCCCCCAACCTGATGCCTTCCAGATTTTTTGGACTGCAGACACCAGGCTGAGGAAGGCTGTCCTAAATTCTAGAAATCACAAGCAGGTTAACATGCTACCTTTCTAAAGGTTCGTTCCCAGCGCTTGGGCTTCCTACTCCAAGACGGAGCAGTTCATGAGGGAAAGAAGAATTAGCAACTCACTGTATTGTTAAGTTCTAGCTGAATTGCCAGTTAATGGACCGAGAGTATGCTCAAACTCCAGAACTATTGAATGATACTTTTACAGAGTGATAAAAAGAGAGTTTTATGCCACAGTAAAGATGGCATGAAATAAATGTGCATTAGTGTGCTTATAGTGAAGACAAACTCCTCAGGTTTCGCTACAGGCCAGGAGTCAACTGTAGGAAAAACAACACCCCTTCAGAGTGGTCAAAAGAGTTTGGGGACACTGAGGGACGAAGCAGCAAGTTTTGTTTTTTTTCTGAGGGCAACCACCTGTCCCATGCTGAGCAACCAAGAAAGATTCACTGCAATGATTGTGAGACAGGCTCCCCCGCTCCCACAAATGTTCCATGAAGAATTTTCTGACTGTAAAAGCTGTTCAATGGTAGAATGGTCTCCCTCGGGAGGTTGTGGGCAAATTTCCATCCTTGGAGGTTTTTAAGCAGCGGTTGGAGGGGCTTCTGTTTAAACTACTTTAGCTGAGATTCCTTCAATGACCCTCGGGGGCCGAGACCACATAACACCGGTCTTGAAAGACCTACATTGGCTCCCAGTACATTTCCGAGCTCAATTCAAAGTGTTGGTGCTGACCTTTAAAGCCCTAAATGGCCTCAGCCCTGTATACCTGAAGGAGTGTCTCCACCCCCCATCGTTCTGCCCGGACACTGAGGTCCAGTGCCGAGGGCCTTCTGGCGGTTCCCTCACTGCGAGAAGTGAAGTTACAGGGAACCAGGCGGAGGGCCTTCTTGGTAGTGGCGCCTGCCCTGTGGAACGCCCTCCCATCAGATGTCAAAGAGATAAACAACTACCTGACATTCAAAAGACATCTGAAGGCAGCCCTGTTCAGGGAAGTTTTTAATGTGTGACATTTTAATGTATTTTTAATCGTTGTTGGAAGCCGCCCAGAGTGGCTGGGGAAACCTAGCCAGATGGGCGGGGTAGAAATAAATAAATAATAATAATAATAATAATAATAATAATAATTCCAACTCCCCATCCCTGCGGAAGTGGATTGGGAAGCTCTTAGTTCTTTGTGAAGTACTGGTTTGAACATTAAAGCTTGGGGAAGCTTCCTTCAGGTATTCCTATACAGACAAGTTGCCTGAACCCTGAGTTTTCAGAGAGCTACGCAGCAGTAAGAACTTTAGCAGATGGTGGGGGACCAAGAAATAATGTTGAAGGCAAGTAACGTGTTGCACTGAAATACGCTGCCTGGAGAGAAAGAGAGAGAGACGTGCAGCCCATAGGAACCCTAGGAAAAGCACTCTGAGAAACATGCAGACTTTGCAATGCCTGAGGGTCCCAGACCAGGCCTGCAGGCCCAATTTCGGCACACTGAAAGCGACAGAATTGGGGTGTCGCCAAAATCCAGGAAGCCAAAGTCGGGGAGGGAGAAGAAGTAAACCCTCCAAACTCAGAAACAGAAAGTTACAAAATGCCCTTCCACTTTTCAGCCTATGCTCATTCACAGGGGCAAAGGGATTTTCAGATCCTTCCATTGAAGCCTTTCTTATTTCTGAGCTCTTTCTTTGGTGTGCTGGAGGAGTCTGGACTCAGCCTGGGGGGACTGGCTGTTCTCTGTTATTGCCCTCCCCTCCTTAGCTGTCCAAGATGGCTGCAGAAGACAGGACACTCCTCCTGGGGAAGGCCACAGATCTACACAAGTATTCCAGGGCAAGATTACAAAGAAATCGAGGAAAGAGGTACGCAGGAGGGCTCCCCCACCATGACATTAAAACAAAAGCCTTATTCCACAAAAGACCAAATTTTCCCATTTTGCTTTCGCCACCCCATTTGTGCTACAAGGAAAGTAGGTCCTCGGCACAAGATAAATGCAAGGTTGCCTATTAGTCTGCACAACTTATCCAGACCTTTGCAGAAGACAGGACATTGAAAGAAGTGAAATGTGAATTCACCAGGAGAGTTTTAAACACCCCTTTGCCCTGACATCCGCCCTGCCCCCCCAACCCCCTCCCTCCTCTCCACCCCAAAACACACACCCTCATTATTTCAGCACCACATGTTCCCACCGGTGCTGGGTGACTGGAATTTTCCAATGGTTTCCTTCGGTTTAATCACTTCGACGGCTATCTGCAGACCAGCTGCAGCCAAGCAATCTGTTAAATGCATAGCCGGGGGCCACAGCTGAGACCAGCGGGGATTTTTCCCCCCCTTTGGGGGGTGGGGGGAAGAGAGCAGTTGGCTTTGAGTGTTGTCTGGATTGGAGCAAGAATTCAGCCCCTTTCTACTCCACTGGAGCAACTCACAATCCCTCTTTTGGCATTAATCATGTTAAAGCTCCGTTTGAGAACCCTGAGGGAGGATATGCTGGAGATTGTCTCTCTGAGTAATTTGTTGTGTAGCCAACTCCTCTGCCGAGGAGTTCTCTCTGAAGAGAGAAAAAGAGCAATCTGAAAACAGCTGCTTTGCCCCAGAACAGGAAGCAGAATGATCTAGCAGCTCCAAACACAAAAAGCAACATGACTTCGGGCCCTTCTCTGCAGCCTTGCCAGTGCCGCTCAGCGAGGGAAAGTTAATTTTGGCAGGCCGGATGAAATAAGTGCAAGTCTGCTCACACTGAAGTGAGAGATTAGCAGGACAAATCACTTCTAATGAGAGACAGAACTCTCTCCCCCACTGCCATCTTCGCTTTGCATGTGCCATAAAATTGACACCAGCCATGATGAAGGGGAACATCTCTCCGAGAAATCACAGAAAGGGGCTTGTTTTCTTTTATCAATCAGCTAGTTCTATCCTTGGGAGGAACTTGATTTACAGTGGTACCTCAGGTTAAGAACTTAATTCGTTCTGGAGGTCTGTTCTTAACCTGAAACTGTTCTTAACCTGAACCACCATTTTAGTTAAGGGGCCTCCTGCTGCTGACGCGCTGCGGCCGCACCATTTCTGTTCTCATCCTGAAGCAAAGTTCTTAACCCGAGGTAATATTTCTGGGTTAGCGGAGTCTGTAACCTGAAGCATCTGTAACCTGAGGTACCACTGTATAAGAATTTTGGGGGTGTGGGGTAAAAACAGAACAAAAACCCAAACACCGTTGCTCCCAATATATGCCTAATAGGGCTGGCATGGTGAAACTGTGTCCCTCCGAATGTTGCTAGAACACAATTCAGATCCTTCCTGACTATTGATGATGCAGGCTTGGCCAGCAAGATTGCGAGGGTGAGGATCATCCAGTCCAGTGTTTCCCCAACTTGGCTCTCCATTTGGACTACAATTCCCACCATTCCTGACCACTGGTCCTGCTAGCTAGGGATGGTGGGAGTTGTAGTCCAAAAACAGCTGGAGACTTAAGCTGAGGAAACACTGAGCTCGCCCAACAGCCTGGCACCGCAGTCCCACTAAATGGGGGGATGCGTGTACCATGAAAAGGACAATAAAAGGTCACCTGCTCTCTTTTGGTTTCTGCATCTCCACCCCCATTGTTCAGCCCGGACACTGAGGTCCAGCTCCGAGGGCTTTCTGGCGGTTCCCTCACTGCGAGATGTGAGGTTATAGGGAACCAGGCAGAGGGCCTTCTCGGTGGTGGTGCCCACCCTGTGGAATGCCCTCCCATCAGATGTCAAGGAAATAAAACAACTATTTGACTTTTAGAAGACATCTGAAGGCAGGCCTGTTTAGGGAAGTTTTAAATATGTGATGTTTTATTCTGTTTTTAATCTGTTGGGAGCTGCCCAGAGTGGCTGGGGAAACCCAGCCGGATGGGCAGGGTATAAATAATAAAAAATATTATTATTACTACTACTACTATTCATGAACTAAAGGGAAACTTTGGCCCTCCAGATGTGGCTGAACTACAACTCCCATCAACCATTGGGCCATGATTGCTAGGACTGATGGGAGTTCCACAACTTCAAGGAGCAGCACATGTTCCCCACTCCTGGTATTCACCAACAAATGCAAGGGTGAGAATTAAGCCTAAACAAGACCCAGGGAAGTAGAGCTTTGTCCACAGACCACTTAGCCTTGAAAAGGTGCCAAGCAATTGTCTGCCTTCCTGCTGCCCTGAGTGCAGCACTGATCTGCAGCTGGTCTCTACAGGCCACACAACTCCTATTAAAAGGCAGCAAAGTTTTCCAAAGTCTGTATTAAGTAGGGTAGTTTTTTATAAAAAGAAATGGATGCATTATGCAAGGCAATGTAAACATCTCTCTCTCAATTTAGAAACCATAATGCAATATAATCTGAAACGTATTAGTATTCTTGGCTTTGGGATAAGGACCTTTTAAAAAATATATTAAACCACACATTTCAAGTTGCTGCTTTCCAGCAAGGCCAGGATCAAGCAGATAAATAATCATCTTTCATGGATTTAACTTTTAAATCAGGCGCAGAGCTCCATTATTAACAGGTCTACAGAATATCCTCAAACTGCCCTAAGGTATTAGGGAAGTCGCAGATTGTGACTCAACTGGCTAACCATTTCTCAGCTCAAGGACAGCATTCCCTTCTAAGCAATCTTGCAGGAGCTACATGCCAGTGGGCGATGGGGCCAGAGGCAAAAGTGTGGTTAAACTATGGAAATTGCTGTAGTGGTCCCCAACCTGGACGGTTTTTTGAAGAGGAGCAGACAAATTCAGAGAGGAGAAAGCTAGCCAAGGTTACTAGCCGTGATGGATATGCTGTGCCTCCATGGATTGGAGAATACCATTTCTGAAAACCACAGCAGAGAAGAGTGTTCTTGTTTCCTACAAGGCTTCCACAGTTAGCAGTCACTGCAAGAACAGGATGCTGGACCAGGTGGACCTTTGGCCTGATCCAGCAGATTCTTATGTTCTTATCATTTTTACCTTTGTACAGTACAGTGGTACCTCGGGTTAAGTACTTAATTCTTTCCGGAGGTCTGTACTTAACCCGAAACTGTTCTTAACCTGAAGCACCACTTTAGCTAATGGGGCCTCCTGCTGCTGCCACACTGCCAGAGCACAATTTCTGTTCTCATCCTGAAGCAAAGTTCTTAACACGAGGTACTATTTCTGGGTTGGCGGAGTCTTTAACCTGAAGCGTATGTAACCTGAAGCGTACGTAACCCGAGGTACCACTGTAGAGGGACGCGGGTGGTGCTGTGGGTTAAACCACTGTGCCGCTTGGGCTTGCCGATCGAAAGTCGGCGGTTCGAATCCCCGCGACGGGGTGAGCTCCTGTTGCTCGGTCCCTGCTCCTGCCAACCTAGCAGTTCGAAAGCACGTCAAAGTGCAAGTAGATAAATAGGTACTGCTGTGGTGGGAAGGTAAGCGGTTTTCCATGCGCTGCTCTGGTTTCACCAGAAGCAGCTTAATCATGCTAGCCACATGACCCGGGAAAAACTGTCTGAGGAAGAAGACAAACGCCGGCTCCCCCGGCCTGTAAAGCGAGATGAGTGCTGCAACCCCAGAGTCGTTCGCAACTGGATTTAATTGTCAGGGGTCCTTTTACTTTTACGGTGGACTAACTTATACACACACTCCTAACCTCTATTCAGGAAAAGAAAAGGCATTATAAGAGTTCAAAATGGCATTCTAGCCAAGTAGCAACTTCTCAAGGAGGGTGCAAAGTAGGACAGGTAAGGAATATGACATATGGAGAATTCACGGGTTAGTTGGAGGGATGCTTTTGGCCCCCGGATCTGAAGTTTTCCATCCCTGCTTCAGGGCAGTGTCCAACGTCAGTCATACTCAGAATACCACCCGCTGAAAACCATAGACTTAAGGCCATTCATTTCAACGGCTCTACTCCAAGTAACATTGGACACTGTCTAGTAACCAACTGCAACATCCACTCCTATCACAATTTCTATTTCTATGCAAGGATGCTTCAGACTAGACCATAAAAACAGCCTTCTCCAACACTATACAGTGGTACCGCAGGTTACATACGCTTCAGGTTACAGACTCCGCTAACCCAGAAATAGTGCTTCAGGTTAAGAACTTTGCTTCAGGATGAGAACAGAAATTGTGCTCCGGCGGCGCGGCAGCAGCAAGAGGCCCCATTAGCTAAAGTGGTGCTTCAGGTTAAGAACAGTTTCAGGTTAAGTACGGACCTCCAGAACAAATTAAGTACTTAACCCGAGGTACCACTGTACTCTCAACACAATGTTGTTGGGTCAACACACTCCAGACTCCCCAGCCGGCATCACAAATTGTCAGAGATGACAGGAGTTGTAGTCATATACTGTAGTTACCTCTATTAGTTTTTAAGGGTTTTGCTGATTTTATCTGTGCTTTACAGACAGTGTTTTTATGTATATTTGTTTTTTCAACAGCTTTGTGTATTTTAGCTTGGCTGCAATCTTTTTACTTAGAAAGCTTTGTGATCAAGCAGCTTATGAATCTTTCTAAATAAATAAATAGCCCAACAACATTTCAGGAGAAAAAGGCTGGTTGTAGACCCTCCAAATGTCCGTATTTTCCAGGGACAGTCCAGGATTTACAGAAGCCATCCCAGTTCTGACTTGATCCTGGAATGTCCCGCTTTTCCTTAGGGCGTCCCTAATTTCATCGGAGAAATGTTGGAGGGTATGGTGTTATGCGACCCCCGAGCCAAGGAGATAAGTGACTATACAACCTTTAGAAGACACCTGAAGGCAGCCCTGTATAGGGAAGTTTTCTAAATGTTGAATGCTTTATTATGTTTTCATATACAGTCAAACCTCAGTTGTCGAAAATAATCCGTTCCGCAGCCCATTCGGCTTCCGAAATGTTCGACAACCAAGGCGCAGCTTCAGATTGGTTGCAGGAACTTCCTGCACTCAAGCGGAAGCCGCGCTGGACGCTCGACTTCCAAAAAACATTTGGAAACCGGAGCATTTACTTCCGGGTTTTCAGTGTTCGGGAGCCGAAACCGGAGGCATTCAGGATCCAAGGTTTGACTGTACCATATGTTGGAAGCCACCCAGAGTGGCTTGGGGCAACCCATTCAGATGGGTGGGGTATAAATATTAGTAGTAGTACTAGTAATAGCAGTAGTAGCAGCAGTATTGAACAGAACGTTCCTATTTTCATCAGAGAAATGTTGGAGAGTATGGGGTCTTGGCAGAGGCAGCCAGCCACTACTGTAGCAGACCCGCCGGCGAACGTGCTGTTTCGGTCTTTGCTATGAAAGAGAATCAAGGTATGATTTACTGCTCTCCAGGTAGCATTCAAAGTCCTCCAATGGTCACTAACTGCTTTCCAAATTTAGCTAGCAGGCTCCCAATGCAGGTAGGCCCAGCCCTGGATGAGCTATGAAAGCACATCCATCTTGGATGTAACTGCAATACACAGGAACTGCAAATGCATTTTTCCCCAGGATGCTATTCTTCGACACAGTGGGGGAGGTATCCCCTCAGGACAACCCCATCCAAGCTACAGACTAAGCTGCTGTGTCAATTACTGCCCCTTAAATGTTTCTTCCCACACACCCCACGCTGGCCCACCTTGAGGAGGCTCATGCAAATGTTTTTTTAGTCACTGAACCTCTAGACACCATCCGCATTGCTTACTTGTTTCTCTGACCTAATCCATAAACTGCAATAACTTACTCTGGCACATTTGGTCTCTTACCACACCATTTATTATTAATAGGTAATATTGTTGTGCATTTAAAACATCAATGCCTTTGTTAAACATTTCGCCTCTCTCCCCCCCACCCCACCCCGCCCCAACTTTCCTTCCGAACTACTTTGGCTCATTCATTTTTAATACTTCCATTCCACTCGATCCTCTCAGCTCACCAGTAAGGAGCACTTGCCATAAATCCCAGCTCTCCTAAGACAACCTACGCCACACAAACACCTGAGTTCTATACTTAATGCGCAAAGTTCAAAGCTCTACTCAGTGTCACCTCACTGGGTGGTGCTAAGCAACCTCACTCGCTCTCAGCCTGTCAAAGGTTACCTATGAAAGAGTGTTCGAAGCTCAGGTATACAGTGGTACCTCGGTTGTCAAACATAATGCGTTCTGGAAGACCATTCGACTTCTGAAATGTTCGTTAACCAAGGCGCAATGGGCGGTCAGCAAATTCCTTTGAGAAAAAGGAGAAATGCGCCTTGGAAGCCATTCAACTTCTGAGGCGCGTGCGAAAACGGAAGAATTTCCTTCCGGTTTTCGGTGTTTGAAAACCAAAACGTTCGGCTTACGAGAGGCTCAAAATCCGAGGTTCCACTGTATCAGCGAATCGCCAAATGGCACCGTAAACCTTTGTTGCAGTGGCCACAATGGAACGTCTAGGCACCTTTCCCACCAATGGGATTTATTTTTTATTGTTATTTTCTTTTCATTTCCATACTGCTTTATATTTTAAGGGGGGAGTGGATCTCAGAAGTGGTTTACAATGCATCGAAACATCCAATAAAACAATCCAGAATCCAACAAATTCAAACTTCAAGGAAAGTATTTTGAATGCTTCTCTCTAAGGGAGATTTGGCTTTCCCTATATACCTCCTCAATTTATAGAGCTGCCCTGCAGGAGAAGTACTCTAGGAAGTCCATGTGGTATAGTAGCTAGTGTGTCGGACTAGGACCTGGGAGATCAGGGTTCGAATCCCCACTCACGCATGACCAGAGAGAAAAGATCTATTGCACAAGGAAAATCTCTTGCGCTGGTGGAAGGAGTTAGTTGGATATGACCCATGTATGTTCCTATTGCATGGGTTCAAATTTAAAACTGGATACTGGGACACCAATTCAGCATCCCATAGCAGAGTTTCTAGGCCTCATGGGTTTCAAAAGTATGTTTTGATAATACAGAGGCAACTTCTAATGCCACAGGTGGGTTTGTGCATGATTCACAGGACCCAGAGATTGAAGCTCCAGTGCCCCATGGAGCACATTGTCCCTGCACATCAGTAGGCGAATCAGACTATAAATTACAGAAATTTTCCATAAATTTGCTTATGTTTACATAATCCATGCAAGCCAACAGTCTCAACGCCGGTGCTTTGTTTCCAAAAAATAAAACACAAAAGTTGTCCTGGTGAAAGTTTTTGTTTTCCTGTGCTCTTAGGAAACTGCCATTTTCATGGGCACAAGCTGCCCAGTCTGAGACCCGCCTCCAAGGTACATCAACATCTTTTAAGTCCCAGCTCCTATTTTCCACCGAGGAAGAACATCAGGCAACAGGAAGGAACCGTGCCCATTAGAACAGGGAGTGCTGGCCTAGATGGGCTAATTGCCTACCTCAATATAAGGCAACCTCTCACAACTACAATCAAGGAGACATTAGCTCTGAAGTGGTTTATTTCCTTGACATCTGATGGGAGGGCGTTCCACAGGGAGGGCGCCACTACCGAGAAGGCTCTCTGCCTAAGTTTTTCCAGGCATCCTCTAAGCCATAGCAAAGAGCCAGCAGCACCTCGCCTATCGCTACGGAAAGGTAAGTTTGCGCTTAAACTTGAAAAGAGAGAGGCAGCCGTCTCATGCACCTGATGAGGGGCAGAGTGAGGGCAGAGTGACCTGCTGCTCTGAGATGCAGCGTAGGATACTGTCCCATCAAAAGTAAAGTAAGTAAAGGACTCCTAGACAGTTAAGTCCAGTCAAAGGCGACTATGGAGTTGTGGCGCCCATCTCGCTTCAGGCCAAGGGAGCCGGTGTTTGTCCAAAGACAGCTTTCCGAGTCATGTGGCCAGCACGCCTAAACCACTTCTGGTGCAACGGAACACTGTGACGGAAACCAGAGCACACGGAAGCGCCATTTACCTTCCCGCTGCAGTGGTACCTATTTATCTACTTGCACTGGCGTGCTTTCGAACTGCTAGGTTGGCAGGAGCTGGGACAGAGCAACAGGAGCTCAGCCCGTCGCAGGGATTCGAACTGCCGACCTTCTGATCAGCAAGCCCAAGGGGCTCAGTGGTTTAGACCACAGTGCCACCCTGTTGTCCCTACTGTCCCATCAACAGTATCAAAGATCCACCACTAGCCTGTTCTGCTTTTGTATGAAGAACCAGATGGTGCAGGAGTTATATTGCCATCTGACCCAGAAAGCCTTATGCATTCAAAATGGTTCTGTGCACAAGGACTAAATCCAGGTGCATTTTCTAACTACAGAGGTAGGTAAGCAATGCAAATTCCATTTCCTGCTGATGAACACAAAGTTGTTTTCTCGCCGTACCCAAGAAGGCCTACTGTATATTTTACTGTACCAAATTCTCTTCCGGAAATGTGGCTGGCATACAAGTCAAAGGCAATCCCAAAACAGGTCTGTCTAGCTAGCATATCTATCTATCTTTTCAAAAGCAGAGTCGTCATGCAGGCTGCTGAAATGGCACTCTGACTCAACAGGAGGCCCACATATGACTTTTTTTGTTTGTTTTTTTACTCCTTGCATTTTTCTGACAGATATTTTCAAAAAAGATGCCTGTGGCCCAATGCCATTTTTGAAGTACAGAACCTATGGATGTTACTTACCAGAACAGATGGTTACCTGGATTTACCTGAAATAAGCAATCTCTTGAGAAGAGCGAAAAGTGAGGAAGGATGGAAAAGAACAAGATCCCATCAAGAATGCTGCTGAAATTCCTGCTGCTTAAACCCACAACCAAAGTGAGCAGTCTGCTCTGGGGGAGGTGGGGGATATTTATTCCAATCTAAATTCTGCCTGTTCTCTTTTTAATGAGTAATATATACTGCTTAGCAGAACTTGCAATATGCAGACTTTAATTCCGAAGCCTCGTCCTTCCAAACAAAAGGTGATAGTTCTTGTTCGCTAGATGTCCTGTTTGAGGAGATCACTTTTGACAGCAAAAAAATAATTTCACGGGTGGGGGGGCGTGTCTTGTTAAAAAGATGAGAAGTGACTGACTTGTTGTCATTAAGCTAGGTACGAGGCCACCCTGAAAATGGTGGACGCTTTATGCAACTTTGCATGGGTAAACATGAGAAAAGAACTATAAAAAATGGAAGACTTCTCCATAACGCATCTTTAAAAAGGGAATGTTTAAGCAACAGAACTCAAAGGGTTTCAAGTAAATGCATTAAGGCTTTCAGAGGTATGTCATGCACGGCTTCCATGACAGCACAAAGGTATTCTGATAAAAGCCTAATTGCCTGGCAGTGGAAGCAAAACCTCAAGGTCTGTGTAGCATCCAATAGAATCACCAGTGCCAAGAAACCTCTTTCAGACATCCTACAGTCGAAGTCTCTTTAATGAACACACCCACATCCCATTAGTTGCTTCTGCCTATTTGAACATCCCTGTGGATGCAGATGCACGCTTTGGATCAATCACCTCTTAACATTGACGATGGTATTTTCATTTTCCATTTTCATTTTTTGTGCTTGCCGGCTTCTGTTGTTAAAAGGCAGGGTGTTGAACGCAGCGCTTTCCCCAGGATTGCGAGCCTGGGCGATGCAGCTTCAAAACCACATTAAATAGCAACAAAAGACAGCACCACTCAGAAGAGCATCCACTTCGGTATCTGACAGCTCACTTATTCAAACCTCTCTATCCAAGAGAACTAAACGTCACACAGAAATTTATTTATTTTAATTTCACCTTTAGCTCAGCTTTCGTCAGCAAGAGATCCTGGGGTGGGTGACATAGTTTAAGATAAAAAAATTACCAAAAGCCAGTGGTTAGAGCAGGGTTTCCCAAACCTGGGTCTCCAGCTGTTGCTAGACTACAACTCCCATCACTCCTAGTTAGCAGGACAAATGGTCAGGGATGATGGGATCTGTAGTCCAAAACAGTTGGAGACCCAAGTTTGAGGAACCCTGGGTTGGAGTGCTGAACTAAGAGCTGGGGAGACCAGATTTCAAATCCCTACTTGGCCATGAAGCCCAGTGGGTGATTTGGGGGTCAATCATTCTCTCACAGCCTAGCTGACCCGCAGGGCTGTTGTGAGGATGAGAGAAGGAGGGAGGGAGGGAGGTGTACAACGCCTTAAGGTGCTTTGAGAAATGGTGGAATAGAAATTCAGGGTTGTGGGCTCGAGCCCCATGTTAGGGGAAAAATTCCTGCACTGCAGGGGGTTGGACTAAATGACCCCCATGGTCCCTTCCAACTCTACGATTCTATGAAAAACTACCACCACAAATATCGCAACTGCTCTTCTTCAATATCACTATTGCTGGCCTGACAAATTAAGCACCTGGTGGAAAAGGTAAGTTCGTAGCCAGCGTGCAATACTACGTAATATTGGTGGCAGCCATTTTACAAAGGGGAGGGCATTCCACAGCTGGGGTACCACCCAGGAGAAGGCCTCTCTCGAGTTGCTGAACTATGAGCATCATTCAGAGATGGTGTCAAGAGCCTTCCCAGTAGAACTTTAATCCCAGACAGGATGGATAATAATAATAATAATAATTTTATTATTTATACCCCACCCATCTGGCTGAGTTTCCCCAGCCACTCTGGGCTGCTCCCAATCGAGTGTTAAAAACAATGCAGCAATACAGACAATACAGACAGAGTAAGAAGAAGGGGGCCTTTGGATAACTGGGTTCCAAGCAATTCAGGGCCTTAAAAGTCACCATTAAGATCTTGAACTGGGCTTGATAGCATGTTGAATACTTAGGTCATAAAATGACTCCATGGCTACACTACACACACACACACACACACACACACACACACACAGAGCACCTTGGAAGGTCATGAGGATTTTTTTGTTTTAAAAAAACATTAACACACTCCAGATCAAATTGTGTGTGCAGCTTGGAGCTGATATGCAGGCAGGAATTTTTTTTGGGGGGGGGAGGGGGACAGGGGCTGCGGTGGGATCCTCGACACCAAATTACAGGCATTAAGGGTCAATTATGCATAGAAAAGGACCAAACATATTGTTCTTCCCAAAATACTTATCTTACAAATTGCTAATTGTATGCTTCCCCTGGCACTCTGAAAGCAGAATTACGTCACTTTTGTGTTGTTGTTTTTAATAACCACCCTGCACTTCAGATTGCTCTTTAGCCCAAAAGCCCAGAGGCACTAACAGCATTTCCTTAATGAAGTCATTCTCAGAAGCAACTTCTAAGACAAATCTCCATTTCTCCCTCCTTGGGTCTTAGCATTTGAACTCAGGTCTCTTAAGATTCATTGAACTTAATGGGACTACAACACTGGCTCAATATGGGCCAAAGCCATCTTTGAGTCAAGAGGGAAGTTCCCCACCCACTAGAATAATGTCAGACTAAATCTGCCAAGAGCAGTGACCCAGAGCCTCCACCTTTTGAATTCATACAAACAAGTCACGTCTTTCATACAGCTCTTCTCAGTCGGAAATATTCCTCATGGGGGGGGGGGGTTCTTTTCAGTGTTTTAATCCTACTACTCACAAAATTTAAGACAACAGATGCCAGAAGTGCCATTTAGCCCACTAGCATCAGCACTGTATAATTTAATTTGAATGTATTTATTTTAATAATGCTAATAATAAACATTTAAAAAGAAAACTTAGAATTCTCATAGTCCAGCACACTTTACATTTACAAGAGTGCGGTTTCAGGATCTCTTTAACAGTTGGCATTAACACATCTCTGTTGTGTGATCCCAAGTATGTACTCTTGCTAAAGAACAGAATAATTTGTAGAATCACAGAACTGTACACTTGGACACCAAAGATCATCTAGTCCAACCCGCTGCAATGCAGGGATATGCAGCTGTTCCTTATGGACATCGAACCTGCGACCTTGGCCTTATCAGCACCATGCTCTACCGTGTCAAAATCCATCTCCTGTTGCACTCAGCCGCCAGGCACAACATAGCCAATCGAAAACTAGCTAGTAGAGCTCAATCTCCTTTCCACCAAACCTTATTTACAGACTGTAAACCAACAAATGCGCTTCACCACAATGCAATTCCTTCCACGTTATTCCCAACCCCACCTTTCCTTCGGGATTTGGATAATTTTCATGCTGCTCATAAACCCTCCATTCTTCATCAACTCTCAGCCAATGTTCTCTGCCCACAGCACAAGAGACCTTCCATCGGTCTCTGCATAGCATAGCAGGTGAGCTGCTCCTTAAAACCAGCTGTCTCTTCTTGGCCACCTATCTGTGAGCATGCTCTGATTACATGTTCTCTAGTCTGAAAGAATTAAACATGCATTCACATGCAACAGCTCTGCTTTCTCGCCACCATCACCAAAAAGGGGGAGGGAGGAAAGTTTCAGATTTAAAATATTGTTACAAAAATCGTGTGCCGCCACCGCCACTCTCTGCAAGATCCCAGGGGGTTCCAGGCACTCACCCCGGGTCGGTGTTCCTTTGCAGAACTGAGACACGTCAGAGACTGCCGTAGCTTTAAGAAATCTCGTTTATTCACCTATTTACCAATTCAGTCTGCATGGAGGAAGCCCAGATCTCACAGCATGGTCACTTCAAGAGGGGCTTGTCCCCCACAGCAGTGAAGCCAGCCTTCAGCTGGCCTGCCCAAGATGGATCCCAATCTTTCTTCTCCCTTCTTCTTCCGAGAACACCTTGCTATAAAAAAACCCAACACCTCTCTTTCCCTGTCGCCTCAAAAACACACCCCATCACCTCAGCAACACCTGTCTCTCCAGGCCAAAGGATTCCTCTGGGGTGACCCATCAACAGCCTTTCATCATGTTAACAGATTTGCTCTTCCGCTAGGCCAGCCAGGCTGGTTTGCATAAGCCACCCCAGGGATTCCCTGCGAGCACAGCTCTGCGGCTTGTCCTTTCTTCCATATCCCAATTCATCAAAATCCTGCCATCTATAAATTTCAAATTCCACTGTAACTTTTTAAAGAGGAAAATAAGGCGTGTGCCTTGTACGCACCTTATTTGTGGCAGTGGCGCTGGATCTGGGGACCACGGGCACATTTGTCACCTGCACCGACAAGTAGTTGTTATCTATGAGGGGCCACGCCCCTTCCACTTTGCACGTCTGAAAGTGATCCTTAAAGGTCCGCAGGTGGGGGTCCCCAAACAGGCCACAGAAAAAGTACGTGGGCGGAGTCTGCTCTCCTCCCCCGCGAAGTTCGCCGGCTCCCTGGCGACCGCTGTAATTACACGGGTCGTGGGTGATTTCGGGGTTTGTCGAGGAGGTCGGGCCATCCTTAGAGCAGTTCCTCTGGCTCATGAGATCGCTGATCCCCAGCACAGCCGAATGGTAGACCAGGTTCCCGCGGCAGACTTTGGAGTTGCGGTAGGTGCAGGCGGAATAGGCACGCAGGGCTTTGCAGAATTCCAAATCAAAGCCATCAAGGGCAGAGTTCAGGTGAGAAGTCAGCGCCACAAAGTCCGTGGTGCACTTCTGGATTCGACACGGCGTCTGCAGCTGGCAATCGCCTGGGCAAAAGAAGAGCGGACATTACTGGGCGTGATTCGTTTTCATAAAACAAACAAGCAAACATACATACATCAGCAACATTATTTATGTAACACCCAACATCATCATCAACAACAACATTTATATACCACCCATCTGACTGCCCCAGCCACTCTGTGCAGTTGCCAACAAAATATTTAAAAACACAATAAAACATCAACCATTAAAAACTTCCCTTCAGATGTCTTCTAAAAGTCAAATAGTTCCACAGTGAGGGTGCCACTACAGAGAAGGCCCTCCGCCTGGTTCCCTGTAACTTCACTTCGCGCACTGAGGGAACTGCCAGAAGGCCCTTGGATTATATATATGATATGCTCAAATAGACGCATCAGAAGGACTTTCAGCAAAACTTCTTTTATTATTCCATGTGAGCATGCTCCAAAAGGGCTTTATCTTATCCATGCTCAGTCAGAAGAAAACACCAGCGACTTCAGTGAGACTAACTCCAGATGAGTGAGTTGCAGCTTCCATTGTCATCTGGCTCAGTCGGTAGAGCATGAGACTCTTAATTGCAGGGCAGTGCGTTCAAGTCCCACATTGGGCAAAAAGATTCCTGCAGTGCAGGGGGTTGGACTGGATAATCCTTGGAGTTCCTTTCCAACTCTACGATTCTATTAATATTCAACCTGGCTGAAGGCTGGCCAAGATGCAATTCCCAGAGTTCCCTGTGAAAGAGGGATTGACTATTGAACCAGTCTGGAAATTGTTGCTCTGCAAGGGGAACAGGGGACTCCTAAGAACTCTCTGTACCTTTAACAAACTACAACTCGCAGAATTTGGTGGGGGCACGACTGAATAAAGTGGCGTCACAGTGTTTTAAACATCTGGTGTGAATGTGACCATGCACATAACCTGCACATATTCTACAAAGCAGAAAGAAAAGAGCCTGTTAAGTCACACTCTTTATTTGGGAGAGTCCAGATTTTAGTTTTACTTTCCTTCATGGCTGAAAGCTGAGTACTTGGGGTTTATTCTTTTTTAACAGAGATTTTGCCCCACCTTTCCCTATCGACCACAGTCCCATAATTATGTAAAACTACACTTAATATTTGTTAACTACGGAAACCACATGCTGCAGCTACGCCTGGCTAGCCTAAGGGGGAGACGGGCTATGGAATGCAGGTGGTAAATTTACAATTCAATTCACATTTAAATAAAATTTAAAAAAAACCAGACTCTCCCAACTTCACACTATTTCATGACTGCCTGGGTTTTTTGAGGGGGGCAGGAGTCTGGCTCAGTGAGTGCCTGGAAAAGTGTTTTCTCTCTCTGTCATTCCCAGTTATTAAGGAAACTCATAGAATAATAGAATTGTAGAGCTGGGCTGGAAGGGACCCTGATGATTATCCAGTCCAACCCCCTTCAATGCAGGAATTTGCAGTTGTCCCACATAGGGATTGAACCTGCAACCTTGACATTATCAGTACCACACTCTAATTCATGGGTAGGCAAACTAAGGCAGGATCCAGCGCAATCGCCTTCTCAATCCGGCCCGCAGACGGTCCAGGAATCAGCATGTTTTTACATGAGTAGAATGTGTCCTTTGATTTAAAATGCATCGTTGGGTTATTTGTGGGGCATAGGAATTCATTCATTTCCCGCCAAAAAAATATAGTCCGGCCCCCCAAAAGGTCTGAGGGACAGTGGACCAGCCCCCTGCTGAAAAAGTTTGCTGACCCCTGCTCTAATTCAACTGAAAGCCCACAAGCCAGGACAGCCCTAGTAAAATCAACACAATAGGCCATCTCCATTTGCACTCTGGGACCGCTATGCACATAATGCTTTCGACAGGCGCATGCAGAGCACATGGCCAAACCATAATGCGCAAGGAAGCTCCCGACCCGACAGAGGTCCCCTGTTGCGCATATGCTTCTTTAAAGCACGTTTGCCAAGAGCATGGAAGACGCCAACTAACAATATGTACCTCAGCCACAGAACAGCAGGGAAATCTTGCAGCTGAACAGCGCTAGTTTTCTAGCTGCCCTCCCAGAGGTGCTTAATGCTAGTCCCTCAAGGGTATCTTGCTCACTCCCTGATGATGCAGCCTAGCAAAACAGGCCTAGTGGGGCCTCAACCTGGCCTACCTCATAGGGTTGTTGCAAATATAAAATGGAAGGGTGGGGAGGGGAAAAGAAAAGAGAGCCGCATGCCATCTTGAGCGCTTTGCAGGAAAAGTGAGGTACAGTGGTACCTTGGTACTCAAACACCTTGGTACTCAAACAACTTGGAACCCAAACACTGCAAACCCAGAAGTGTTCTGGTTTGCAAACTTTTTTCAGAAGCCAAACGTGCTCCATTTTGAGGGCCACACTTCCGTTTTGAGTGTTATGCTTCCATTTTGAGTGCCACACTTCCGTTTTGGGCGTTACGCTGAGGTTTGTCTGTTTTTTTGCTATTTATTTTGCATTTTTGTGGCTTTATTGTTTTGTTTTTGTGACTGTGTGGAACCCAGTTCAGCTACTGACTGATTGTGTGACTGCAGTACATTGTTTATTGCTTCCATTTTATGGATCAATGGTCTAGCGAGATAGCAAAATTCATGTTAAATTGCTGTTTTAGGGGTTGTTTTTAAAAGTCTGGAATGGATTAATCCATTTTGCCCTACTTTCTATGGGTTTTGGAACGCTTTGGTTTTGGAACGCACTTCTGGAACAGATTAAGTTTGAGAACCAAGGTACAACTGTATACATGAAATAGTAAAGTGAGCAGGGAAGGAACTCGCTTTAGGATCCTGGGGCAACTCCCGCCCCCTTAAAAATACAGTGGCACCTCGGGTTAAGTACTTAATTCATTCCGGAGGTCCGTTCTTAACCTGAAACTGTTCTTAACCTGAAGCACCACTTTAGCTAATGGGGCCTCCCGCTGCCGCTGCACCGCCGGAGCATGATTTCTGTTCTCATCCTGAAGCAAAGTTCTTAATCCGAGGTACTATTTCTGGGTTAGCGGAGTCTGTAACCTGAAGTGTATGTAACCTGAAGCGAATGTAACCCGAGGTACCACTGTACATAATGCCCGCATTTAACCCTAGTATCAGACACAATGCTTTTCTTGTAGAAAAAAGATACTGGTACTGCGTACCCAGTGCTTTTTTCCAGCTGGAACTCTCCGGAACTTAGTTCCAGCACCTCTCAGGTGAGCCTCAGTGTCATTCTAAGAGTTCATGGTGAGTTTTTCTAGAAAAATAGCACTGTGCGTACCCCCTGAGTACCTCCAGAACAAAAGTACTGATCCAAAGCTAAGTAATTTAGAAAAGCTAGCATTCTTTGTGGGGCTAACAGAAATATGTTATGCATAAGCTTTAAAAGACAGATTTTTTTTAAAAAAGAACTTAATTATGATAAAGAATATAATTTCATGGCTCACTTGTCGTGAATGTTAGGGCTTTTATCATGTTACTTGAATACATGTTTCAGTTAAACCAGTTTGCAGATGCAAGACTTGATGGGCTGTGTCCACAAGTGGGGGAAGGGAGAGAATTAAGAACATGCCCTTTTAAAAATAAAAGAGAATTTATCATGCTAATTTGAAACCAAAGAAGGCTGCAAGGGAATTAAGCTTTCCGCCACAAACTGATGAAATCTTGAGTGTTTTTCTGCATCTTTTAATGCAAACTTTACACATGTAATTCTGACATGTTTAGTTTTTTAAAAGGATACTTGAAAAGAAATCGGAATGTCCTAGACCTGTGGAATTATCTTCAAACCTCCCAAAAATAAAGCTGGCTAACACACATACAAACGTATGATGGAGAAGGGAAGGAATAAAATGATCTTTTCTCCATTATAAAGTTGGATAGCTTTTCACATTTGGAGGGTTGGTGAGGAGGCAGTTTAGAGGAGAGAGAAACGAGAGAAGTGCTCTGGAAGTGCTATGCACCGACATAATTAAATCCAGTTTTTTGCATGCTCACTGCGCAGCTAAAGGGTGTAGTCTCAAATATCTTGAACACTTGTCTTTTCATACTCTCCAGCATTCCACCCAGGATAAACTTCTGAAGAGTCTAAAACAGCATTCCACACACAAAGCCTTGCCACTTTTCAAAACAGATTTAATTACATTGCCCAGTGAAAAGCTAGCCATATTAAATTGCCCTGCATTTTGTGCTAAGGATATGCTCATTTAGCGAAAGCTATTTCTAAGCCATATACCATGGATTTTGCTTGAGCATCACGCGGGAGCATTTCAAAGTAGTGCCATAAAGTGCTTTGCTCTCTTAAGAAAGGATGGTGTCTTGGGAACTGTAGAATCATACAATTCCTAGTCCAAACTCCCTGCAATGCAGGAATCTCAACTAAAGCATCCATGACAGATGGCCATCCAAACTCTTCTTAAAAACCTCCAAGGAAGGAGAATCCACCACTGCAAGCTGTAAAATTCAGTTGTGCTCACATTAGTAAGCAATTTCCCAACTAATCAAAATGCCAAGATGAAGAGCAACACAGAAACAGTAGGGCATCTGTGTTTGGTTGTAAATGGAGAAAGCAACCGAAATAAATGACAATAGCATTCATTTCCCCCTTTTAATTAACTGGTTTCCATGGACACCAGAATGCAACGGCTCTTGTTTTCAAACTCAGATTAAACACAAAAGTGCACCAGGGAATAAAAACCCTTATTAGGGTAACGCATGACGTTGAGGGGTTTTGTTGCTGTTGTTGGTTTCCCTGTTCACTGGGAAAGAAAATCAGTGTTGCCGACTTCATGTCCTTCTGCATTACGATTTATAGATCGACCTGTTTCGTCACATCAACAGAAATAAAGAAATAGACAGTCTCTGATTGCATGGCAATAAAAGCACTTGTTTCTGAGAAGAATCTGCTTTCTAAGAAACTGGGGGGGGAGAGATTTGAGGGAGGGAAAGAAAAAGAAAGAAAGAAAGAAAGAAAGAAAGAAAGAAAGAAAGAAAGAAGCATTTTAGGAGCTTGGTCTAGTGGGGATTTGAACCCTGGTCTCCCAGGTCCCAGTTCAACCGTCTAGGCACTGCACTCACAATAGTCCCTTTAAGACCTGTTATAGCACTCCAGCAGAGAGCCTACTTCCTATTGCTGAGGGAGGAGTGTTGCAAGCTTGCAGCCAGAGCCTTTTATGAAATTATTGTGAGGTTTAATAAGTTCACTGTTTATATTTGGACAACTTTTCTGCTGTACCTTATTGGAAGGAGAAAAAGAATCATTTCCTTAATAACAATTCAAACCATTTATTTAACTAATACAATAACATTACAGCATATGTATCCATGTTTGTTAACTGATGTGGTTAATTTTTTTTTAAAAAAAAACTTAGACTGAGTTTTAGCACACATGAAAAACTGAAAAGAAATCCTTATTTCCTGATGAGTAGCCTTTGGACTATAATGTAACTTAAATAGAAAACTATCTTTAGGAAGACTTTTCCTCCAAAAGCATTTTATTTTAAAAATCCAATCTGATTTAAATCAAACAAATCCAATTTAAATTTTAAAAAATCTGATTTAAATTTAAAAAATCACACACACACACACACACACACACACATATATAATTGATTTTTATCCACCCTGGTGTGTACTGAAAATAATAAAAGATTACAGGCCTACAACTTCATGACTAAGTACAGGACAAGGCCAGCAGCAGGTCACAACTGGAAGACCTGCGAGACTGAGCCTCAGGAAGCAGAAAGAAGCTCTGCCAGAAGGGGGTTGGAATTGGGTGGAGGTACTCACCCTGATCCTTACTCCCTTATCCCCATGTATGAAAAAACCTGGTGTACCTACCTTTCTGCTTGAGCTTTAACACGTTGAAACATCAAATAAAACAATCCAGACTATAACAAACTCAAGCTTCCAAGGAAAGTATTTCAGATCCTTCTCTAAGGGACATTTGGCTTTCCCCATATTTATTTGCCTACTTAATTTATAGAGCAGAAGTACTCTAGGGAGCCAGTGTGGCATAGTGGTTAGAGTGCCGGACTAAGACACAGGGTATCAGGGTTCAAATCCCCATTGAGGCATAAAGCTCGCTGGGTGACGTTGGGCCAGTCACTTACCTCTTAGCCTACCTCACTGGGTCTTTGTAGGGATTAACTGAGGAGGGGGTGAACCATGTACCCCTTGAAGGAAAAGATGGGGCGCAAAAGCAAAAAAAAAAAAAAAAAAAAGCTCTTCTGTTTAAGAAAGCTGGAGGGGCCAGCCAGATGGAGATGTCAGTCGCCATCCTGGCATCCAGAGATCTGCACATGGTTATAAAACGCGCTTGGCACCTGGCTAATGTCGAACACTGGGTTCTTTTATAAATCAAAACATGTTATAAATATAATACTGTACTTTTCCTGCGTTGAGCTCTTCCAACAACTGGTGGCATTGATCCGTCGTGGCACATGAGGGGGCAGAACTGCAGTGGTGGGGCTGAGAGGGTGGGCAGCTTGTAGGTGTGCGCCCACCTGCTCCAAGATGGCAATGTAACCAGCCTTGAACTCACAGGTGCTTCAATCCATTGCAACCCACTGAGTTGGTATTGTCTTGGAGTAGCCACAGTCAACATTTTGCTTCTTTCTGCACATGTTCGCATTTACAGTGCTATCTGTAAAAACTTGTTTACTTGTGCAGTGGTACCTTGGGTTAAGAACTTAATTCGTTCTGGAGGTCCGTTCTTAACCTGAAACTGTTCTTAACCTGATGCACCACTTTAGCTAATGGGGCCTCCCACTGTGCGATTTCTGTTCTCATCCTGAAGCAAAGTTCTTAACCCGAGGTACTATTTCTGGGTTAGCAGAGTCTATAGCCTGAAGTGTCTGTAACCCGAGGTACCACTGTATATCAGACCTCCTGGGGTGCAATCGGACTTACTCCCAGGTAAACGTACCTAGATTTGCAACCTTAGCATAGGATTTCTCATCAGGTCCCAGTTGGAAAATCTTAACAGGGGTTCCTGGTGTCTTTAATGTACGTTTTTTTAATATTCACTAACCCGCAGAAGTATGTCTATTTTGGATGCAGTTCTGTATATTTAACATGCCCCCAAGAGGCAATCAGAGATACCATGTTGGAAAAATAATTTCCAGTTCAAATGCTATTTTAAGCAGCTTGGTGTTTTTGTTGCAGCCCCATCATCCTCAAAATGTAAATATTCAATGCATTTAAGGCTGCAGTTATACAGATTAATCCCACTGAACTCTATAGGGCTTGCATCTATGTAGATGTGTCTAGGATGGTGCTGTATGTAAATTAAAGAAAGCCATACATACTTTTAGGAATAACAGACACTGAGAATTTTGTATTTACAGTATTTTAGTAACTAAAATTATGATGTTACAGAAGTTGGGGTTTTTCATTTTAAAAATTGATGTTTTGGTTAAAGATTAAGAAAATGCAGAATAGATAAAAAGGGTAGGTCTACATTCCACTTTCTACCACAACTCTTTCCACTGAATGTTAATCTTGGTAGGGAACAGGAAGTGTAGCAGACCCAGCATACCTTGCCTTGTTGCCAGTAAAAGGAATTGCTTCAGTGATGCACTTAATAAGCGTCACTGAAGCCATTTTCTTTTGATGGCAGCAAACATGTATGTATACATACTGGAGATGTACCCTCATTGAATATTGTACAGTGGTACCTCGGGTTATATACGCTTCAGATTACATACGCTTCAGGTTACAGATTCCGCTAACCCAGAAATATTACCTCGGGTTAAGAACTTTGCTTCAGGATGAGAACAGAAATCGTGCTCTGGCGGCGCAGCAGCAGTGGGAGGCCCCATTAGCTAAAGTGGTGCTTCAGGTTAAGAACAGTTTCAAGTTAAGAACGGACCTCCAGAACGAATTAAGTACTTAACCCGAGGTACCACTGTATGTGAGTTTACAACTCAACTACTGCATACCAATGGGACATAAGAGTGTACACCTGTTGAATGCAGCAAGTGTGTGGTGTACATTTAAGAGTGCTTGTTGGGAGCCCAGGGTTCAAATTCCCCCCTTGGCCATAAAACTCACTGCATGACCTTGTGCCACTGCCAGTCACCATCTCTCAGTCTAGCCTACCTCACAAGATTGTTGTGAAAAAATAAAATGGAGGCAGAAGAACCATGTACACCACATTTAACCCCTTGGGGAAGGGGGCAATGTGGATAGTTCAGTTGGCTAGAGTGTGGTGCTGATAACACCAAGGTTGCAGGTCCGATCCAGTTGCATATCCCTGCATTGCGGGGGGTTTGACTAGAAGATCTTCATGGACCCTTCCAACTCTACAGTTCTATGATTCTAAAGTGTAATAAATAAACTGAATTTAAAACAAAACAAAACACCATATGAACTCTCCCTTACTGTTTTGGTTCATAGTATTTGTTACAAAGTTCCAAAAGAGACAGGACTTTGCTGTAGGGCCTCTTTGTAAACAGAAAGAGAAGTTCTGGATCCAAAGAAACAATATTTCTGAATATTTCATAAAGGAAGTCACAAAGAGAATTTGTTCTTTGTTCAGTACTGACTTGTCAGAGCTACACCTTCTGCAAACAAAAACCTCACACATTCTATGGCTGCTGGTTGGTAACCTACACACAAGAATCAAAAGCCACAAACACGAGTTCGCTTTTGATTAAGGACAATCGCGTCTCTCGGTGGACCACTGGGAGCATGAAGCCTATTGAAAGCTAAGCTACTCTACACCCGGAATCCTAAATTTAGCTGGTGCTCTCAGATTGGGACAGGAGCCAATTTGTCAACATATTCTTCCTTAAAATTCGAGCAATGTTGGCCTCTAGTACTTCAATAAGTAGAAGAAGAAGAAGAAGAGTTTGGATTTGATATCCCGCCTTTCACTCCCTTTAAGGAGTCTCAAAGCGGCTAACATTCTCCTTTCCCTTCCTCCCCCACAACAAACACTCTGTGAGGTGAGTGGGGCTGAGAGACTTCAAAGAAGTGTGACTAGCCCAAGATCACCCAGCAGCTGCATGTGGAGGAGCGGGGACGCGAACCCGGTTCCCCAGATTACGAGACTACCGCTCTTAACCACTACACCACACTGGCTGTGGTGTGCTCTGTCAGAAGCTATATAATACAGTTTCATATAGTTAAATCTCATTGGGAAAACTAAAATCAACTCTTTCCTTAAAACAACCACAGTAATACCACTCTCTTATGCCTTGGACAGACCACATGTGGAATACTGTGTCCAGTTCTCAGCGCCACCATTTAAGAAGAATATCAACAAACTGGAATGTGTGCAGAAGAGGGTGACCAAGATGATCAAGGGTCTGGAAACCAAGCCTTATGAGGAATGGTCGAGGGAGTTGGGTATGTTTAGCCTGGTAAAGAAGAGACTGAGAGGAAACACGATTGCCATCTTCAAACATCTAAAGGACTGTCACATAGAAGATGAAACAAGCTTGTTTTCTCCTGCTCCAGAGGCTAGGACCTCTATCAATCAATTCAAGTTACAAGAAAGGTGATTCCAACTAAACAACGGGAAGAACTTTCTGATGGTAAGAGCTGTTTGACAGTGGAACAGACTGCCACAAGTGGTGGACTCTCCTTCCTTAGAGATTTTAAAGCACAGGTTGGATGGACATCTGTTATGTATGATCTAGCTGAGATTCCTCCATTGCAGGAGGTTGGACTAGATGATTGACCCCTTCTAACTCTACAATTCTACAAATCTCTGACACGGTGATCTCACTCTGTGAAATGTCTCTAGTAAGCTCTTCTCACAGCAGTCCAAGGTTGTATTACTGCATAATTTTGTGCAATCTAGAACTTCACAAAATACGTCTGTGTAGATTTTCATTGAGACTCTTGTATCTGATCTCTGCATTTGCACCAAGGAACACCAAGAGTGGGCCTCTCTCAGTTTCTTTCTACTGACTGAACAATATTTTCAAGTATTTCTACTAACTGTTGTAGTTTTAAATAGTTTCTAAATTGATATTGTATCATATCACCGCTGTCACCTTCAGAGCACGTTGTCCAGAAAGGGGGCCTACAAATATTTAAAACTGTATGCCTGACCAAATATCCCAGCACAAAATCCTATTGAATTCAGAGACTTTTCATTTTTAGGAAACTTCTTGGGTGCTCCCTCCGAAATAAAGAAAAGCAGTAATAAAATCTTTAAAAGCAAGACATTCAGAAGCTGAAAATTGCTATGGTGTGTCAATATTACAGGAAAAGGTCTTACTTGATTGGTAAGCAAAAGTGTGAAAGGCACAGAAGCCCTATCAGAAAAACAGTTGGGGACCCAGATCCCCTTCACACACTGATGTAAGAAGCTTTGCTAGGAAGAACAGACGAAATCTGCCTTATACGGAGTCAGGCAGTGGTCCATCTAGCTCTGCACTGCCTAACACTGACTGGCAGAATCCCACCAGGATTTTGGACTCTCCCATCCCTAACCTGGGGATGGCCGAGGATTGAAGCTGGGACCTGCTGCACACAAACCAGACTCTGCCCTTCCCCAATGCACACCATAAAGTCCCCCCACCCACCCAAGCCATGTTACAAACCCAACCTTTGTTCATGAGTTTGCCTGAGCCGGAGGAGTCCTTTGCCCAGCAAGCTTCCCTGGGCGAAATGAAAAGGAAAAGGCTACAACGCAGCAAGGTTTGGGCTCCTACAGGAAGGCCAACAGAAATACAATTTTTTAAAAAAGTATGACAGCTGACAAGACAAAGGCATCTTGCAGAAAACAAAACAGGAGCAGCAAGCCTCATCAAGTTGCACCATTGGAGCAAAGAAAAGAAAAAGTGAGAATTCCAGCCGCGCAAACAGATCCGCATTCAAAGTTCAGCCGCTGGGAAGAAGGGAAAGCGACGACTTTTCACCGAGATCGCCTCGCCTTCTCCTCCCAAAATCCTTCAACGCCAGCTGCAGATTAGGAGAGCCCAGGCGCTCTCTTTCCTGCGTCGCGAAGGAGGAGGAGGAGGCGGCGGCGAGGAGAAGAGAAACCTGATCTCGGCGCTCACTTAGTAAACACCCGGGCAGGGAGGGAGCGGTGCCAATCAAACTCACCCAGACACGGCAGCCCCCTCCCCCGCTCCGTCGAGCGGGGCCAGCTCCGCGCCCCCGCCTTGCTGGGGAGAGAAGGCTCGCAGCCTTGCTTTTTAAAAGCAGAGACCGCGGAAAGGAAAGGAGAGGAGGAGGAGGAGGGAGAAGCCTTCGCGTGTGTGTCAGATTCCTCCGGGCTGCAAAACAAGCGTTTTGGCACAAGCGACTCCCACTTGCAAGAGCAGCCTCGGAACACCACGCTCCTTCAGCAAGGAGCCGTCCGCCCCGCCTGCGACGCTCCAGGTGGGTCGCGCAGAAACTTCAGATTCCTCTACACACACATATAAATACGCGCGCGCGTACTTTCCGCGATCGCGGGCTTTCCACTTGCTCCCGAGGAAGTAAACTCCGAATCTGGGCCGCCCAGCTCGCCCACCAAACGTCCCGTTAAAAAAAGAAAGAAAGGGAACCCCCAAACCAACAACTCGCGAACAAACACGTCTCACTACACAGCTCCGCAGCCGTCGAGGCGTCGCTTCCCGCTCCATCCCGGCCCGTTTTCTTGGGGGTTTCCACCTCCCACCCCCGCCCAAAGAGGGGCCCAGGCGGTACCTGTGTGTAGAAGCAGCCCCAGGCTGAAAAGGACGAGGAGGGCAGGCGGGGGGCGGCGCTGCTGCTGCTCAGCCCTGGCGGCGTTGGCGGCGGCGATGGCGCAGAGAGGGGCCGCTCTCCCCATGCCCGTCCATGCAGCTCGACGGGACTCCAACGGTGGGGCGGCGGCGGCGGCGATGGGGCTGCTGCATGAGCAGGCGATCGGGCCTCCGCGCTTCCTCTTCTTCCTCCTTCGGATCAACCCCACGGCGGAAAGAGGCCGCCAGGCCACACGGGAGCAGACGCGGAGGCCAGCGAGGGCGGCATCGCGGAGAGGCGGCGGTTGGTTGGAGGAAGGGAGGAGGAAGAGGGGAGAAAGAAGAGAGACACAAAGCGGGTGAGTGGAAAGCCACCGAGCAGCCCCGGAGATGGTCGGCCCCGTCCTCACGCCGAGCGGAGCGAGACCTGGCAGCAGAAAAGCAGACCGACACCCTTCCCACTGGAAGCAATCTCGGCTCTGCACACACACTCACACCAGGCTCGCCCGCCCGCCCCACTCCTCCCGGCGCGCTCCCATTGGCTCCGAGAGCCCGTTCAGCCAAACAAAGGCAACCCTCATAGGAGGCCGGAACTTACCTCCTCCTCCTCCTTCTCCCTCCTCCACCTAACTAAACCAATTTCTGGAGTAGATTTTTCTTCTTCTTCTCCAAGGAGCCTGTACTACTGCTTAGGTGTTTACTGTTTGCAATGGCTGGCTGTCGATATTATTATTTTTGCTCTGGCCAATTGCACAAAAAAGCGGAAAGCAGGCTGCAGATCTAGTGCAGAGTCTCCTTACACTAGGAGGGAAACGACCCGCCTGGAAGAGACTTTTTTGTTTTTACTGCGGAGCCCTCACACTCCAGTGATTCCCACCCCCTCGCTGCCGGGAAGTCTGCGCTTTTACGCACCACCCCCGGGCCGCGTCTCCTTCCTCCCAGCGCACACATTCCTGCCGAGACTATACTAGAGATCCGGCCGGTGAGCGCTGGCTTGATGTAATCTAAGCTGTTCTTTCGAGGGGAGGGGGTCCCCCCACGTGATTCAACTTTTTTTTTCTTTTTAAACGGCCAATCACGTTCCCGGCCCAGCGCAGCCCCGTACTCTTAAGACTGGAACGTTGACTAGACAAACCTTCCAAATTAGAATCCTGGAACAAGGTTGAAGGCTGCTTGTTTTCAGCAACACGTTTGGAAAGTAGGGGTGGGGTTTGCCCGTAGGATTCTGCCTGAAGGGGTCGAGAGAGCGCTGTGTCTTCTCCCCAGTAGAGATTCAGCTTCAAGTTAAATTTCCTGTTAACTTTTTGCCTCCTCGATTTAGCAGCGAAGTTATTTGTTAGACGGGGAAAGTGGGGCGTACGACTTCCCTAGGCATCCCTAAAGAAAGGGCTGGATTTTATTGTTGCCATCCTAAGCAAGCATGCTTTGAAATTAGTCATCATTAGGACTGAGGCGTCCTCCAATTGGTCACTTCCAGTTCTCATTTTAAAAGGGTGTTGTTTTGTTTGAACTGGTATAATTAATCCGTAACAACCACCCTTCTCTAGTGAATTGTAAAGAACAACAAGGAGACCGGAAGCTCCACTTATATACGGTGTATTATCATGCGGGGGGGGGTGTCTATAATTAGCAACCTGCCTATTCTTAGGTCGAATGTATTTTCTAGAAAGAAAGATCGGGGGAGAGAGGGCTACACACACCCCCCAAGCAATTGGTGTACGGTTGGTGCATTAAAGCGGCTTAAGCGAAACAGGGCAATTTAAAGAGCAACTAATCCGCGTTACGCTACCTTGACTAAGCATCTATAGAATAATCACTTATTGGCAGGAGGGCAGCTCTTATTGAAATACCGGTAGTTTATGGATTGTGATGTAAACGTTAGCAGCACTGATCTCGTACTGAGCTGCTGCTGCTTCTGTCTCTCCCCTATCCAGAGGCTGAAGGCAGTGTACTAAATTGCTGCCAGGCACGCGGACAAGGAGTCTGCCGGAGAGGGGCGGGATATACACAACGTGGAAGCGAGGGGGGTGGTGGTGTCTAACAGCATCCAGTTTCCTTATCTGTAAGTGTGAAGTGGAATCTAATCTTCACGAATTGCTTTAACACTTGAATACACTTTCCTTTTCATCAGCTCGCACGCATATCTCCTTGGGGCAGTCAGAAGGGCTCCTTTTTTAAAAAAAAATTAACCCTCTTTCCTCCAACCTGGATAGAGGCTGTTTCTTGGAAGAATTGTTATGCAAAAATGAGAGGCCTGGAATTGAGCCAGAGGAAATGTTGACGATCCTACTTTAACCTAATCCTGAAGTCATTTAGGCAAGAACTTGCTATTAGTTGCAGCCACAGCATCCCTGTACCCCCCACTGAGTTCAAGGGGAGTGACTCTCTAGCAAGGGCACAAGGGCCTTGTTAAACAGGTGCCCTCAACCCCCAAAATATGTATTTGGAAGTCCCACCAAGGTCACAAAAACTAACTTGAAATACCACCATCATTCTAAAGCCTTTGGAATGATTTGAGGGAGTGTTTCAGGTTTCACTTATAAACAACAGTATAGTCACACATTTCAAGCAAGCAATCCAGGCAGTTTATTTTGCAATTGTTTTAACCAATGCTGCTCCTGTGCCTTTGGCAAAAGTCTGAACTGCACAAGTTGATCAGATGAAGTCACCCAACCCCCCCCCCCATGGATTATATCCATGACAATAAGAGAATGCAAACCTACCTATACAGTGGTACCTCTGGTTAAGAACTTAATTTGTTCCGGAGGTCCGTTCTTAACCTGAAACTGTTCTTAACCTGAAGCACCACTTTAGCTAATGGGGCCTCCCGCTGCCGCCGCGTGATTTCTGTTCTCATCCTGAAGCAAAGTTCTTAACCCAAGGTACTATTTCTGGGTTAGCAGAGTCTGTAACCTGAACTGTGTGTAACCTGAAGCGTATGTAACCCGAGGCACCACTGTACAGGCAGAGAGTCGTGAACAGTGGTGGCTGGTTCATTGGGGCAAGTGGGGCAGTGCCTTGCCAACCAGCCCCCACCTGCCCGCCTTATTTCTTACGACTAGTGCAGTGAGTAGTGGGAGAACCCATCAACTTCTTCCTTAGTCCCAGAGTTGCCCTTGTATAATTTAGCAGGAAAGAGGATGATGGGGAAACTAAAATTAGTTGACTCTGTCTGGTACTGGCTCAAGCGCCACCTACTGTTTGGGATCCCTGCATTCTGCCCTTCCAACCTCAATGGGCACCAGCCATCTCTGTTCACACAAACATGGGCCAGCAGTCAACACTCAGTTGGTTTATATAACAGCTGGTGGTCTAGCAAGATCTGAAGCGGGGATGGGGAACCTCCACAACCGGGCCATTTTCTCTGCTGACTGGGTCTGTTGGTAACTGCAGTCTGACAACATCTAGTGGACCACAAGTTCCAGATCCCTAATCTAGTTTTGAGGACAGTACACACTGCACATCCATCAAGTTATAATGACTAGCAAAAGTGGCTTTTGAGATGCATGAACTCCCACAGAGAACCTGTTGTTTCAGTTCTTTACCACTTATGTGGAAGTAAGCTCAATTGAACCCAGGACTTCCTTCCTGAGTAAATATGTACCAAACTGTACTAAATAGAGTGTATTTAATTACTGCCTCAAAACCAAGTGCTTCTCAACAAAGTCATCGCATTCATTGGATACATTTGTGAGGCAAAGTAAACCACTTAAGGTGTACAAATTTCTAGTATCACCATAAAATCTTATAAAACCACTGTGTGATTTTAGCTAGTTTACAGCCCATCTGTTTCATTCCAAGTCCCACAGACTTCAGTAGAACTGAGTCTGCAGTTATATACACATCTACTTTTGACTCACTCCTTTTAAATTCAGTGACATACTTCTGAATAAATATGCATAGGAGTGCACTTTGCCTAAATAGTAAAATATCTGTTTTGCCAGAGATTCACAAACCATTTGTCTCTGGTAATTTTTTTAAACAATAAAGAGACACCAGTCACGACTTGTGCTACACCTCCACCTGCATTAAGACAATTATGCATTTCTGAAGTATGACCACTGGAAGAGTTGGGGCCCTGCCCTCTTTAAAGCTCTGTTAACGGCTGTAACCTGTACTAGATTCAGGGTATATAGAGAAAATGAATTGAAGTTGGAAAAAAATCAATATGTCAGCTTATATAAGTATATAAAATGCAAGTGGTTTTTTTTCAGGGCAGTTGACTCTTCAGCATAGATTACAGGAAGACCATCACTGAATGCAGAAAATTACTTTTTTAAAAAAAAGAAACGCTGGAGGAAAAGGCTCTCTCTGCTCTCGTTCTACTGCATGGCAGCCCTTCACACTGTAGAGGGCGCTCTTGAGTTATTGTAAACACACAGGTCATGAAATGTTACAGCTTTCATTAAAAGAAGCTACATTTCACCAAAGGGGGCTTGATTGTTCAGTTGTAGAGAGGCTGGGAAATGATGCTTTTCAGTTGCATCTTTTGCAATGATATAAATGCCACTGTTAAGAGATGTGCTACATATACATTCTCTTTATTTATTTATTAAATATGCTGATGCCGACATAATACCCCTGAATTAGAACGGTTACTCCCCCCACTTAAAAAAAAAAAGATGTCCACTAATGAAGTCTTATTTAGATCTGTTGTGACCAAAAAGTTTGGTGTTTGAAGTGCTGGCATGTGTTTGCAAAGTTCCAACAAAACCATCAACTGGAAATAAACCACTGAGCAGTTCAGTTTCTCCTTATGCTGACGGAGGACCCCCTTAAGTTTGGACCACATGTGTTCCACATGTTACCAGCTGCAATAGTAGATGTTGTCTGTCATCCACTGACCATGTTCCTATGGCAGGAGCCTTTTGAAGGAAATGCCACGGTCACCTTGATTGCTAACTCACTAGTTGGCCCTACTTAATTCAGTGTGACATAGTTTCAAGCCTAAATACGGCTACTCAGAAGAATGTGTGTGTGTTTTAAGACAGGGATGTGGAACCTGCGGCCTTCCAGATATTACTGGACTCCAGCTCCCATCAGCCTCAACCAACATGGCCAATGGTGAGGGATGATAGGAGTTGGCCTCCGTTTGAGGGCGACTCCATCCCTTGCCGGGACTTTGAGAAAGCAAGAAAACGCTGCCATCCACTGGCGGAGGAAGAGGAGTGTGGGGGGAGCGCACCACCCCCAGCAGCACGATCCCGGTGAGGTGCCATCATGGCTGCCCCCCCCCCGCCCATGCTGGGTACCACGCCCCCGCAGGCAGCATGCCATGCCCCCAGGACGTGCGTCACGCCCCTGCGGGAGGCACACCACGTCCCCGGGACGCGTGCCAGCCCCCCCCCCGATGGCCACTGCTGCCATCAACAAGACAGATCCACACACGGTTTTAGCTTAAATCCACACAAAGCACCAGAGCACTTCAGACTCCTCCTAAATCCATTAAACTGTAACAAGAACACTCGGTTTTTTTACCTCTCATCCTTAACCGCCTTACTTGATGGAAGTCAAACGGCAAGAGCCGTGAGTACCATAATCTTGTTTATTTGCAAGTTTATTGGCAAGTACCCCTCAGATGTACTTACAAGTAAAGAGGCATTAAGGTCCCAGTTTTGAGCACTTTTCCTTGGGAACAGATTCCCTTGAAAGCAGACGGTTTTAGATAAAGTATCTAGGGGTGAAATCTTTCCACCTGAAAGTGGCTCGCAGCCACTGACACCTGCCTGGTTTGCCCAGCTAGGCTGGGAGACCCTATATGAATGAACACCTAACTGGGGATCCAGTCAGCTTTCCTTCACACTTAGGATCCAGCAGTTACTGTCCAGGAAGGAGGCATCAGCATGTAAACAGAAAACCCGAGGTAAGGGGAAAGTGAAACTGAAGGATCGTGTAGCTGGCCATGTGTCAAGCATATGCTAGGAACGTTAGTGAAAGAAACTGTGGCTTCTCCTTCAAACAGCACTAGTCCCCAGAAGGGACGTGAGCTGCTTGAACTGCCCCCCTGTGGATGCGATTTCCGTTTGCAGAACTGTTTTTGCCAGCACACCATTCTTAATCCTGGAAACTTGGTGGATGGGGTCTGTGTGTGGACAGATTCAGTCCGCCAGGGGGTTAGTTGTAAAACTCGAACCCAGAACTCCCGGGGTCCCATTCCAGCTCCCTCCATCGCTTCTCTCCTCCGGCCATCTGGGGAAGTCTGGGCACAAACGCGCCCGCGCGCGCACCCACCACGGAGCGCTTAATAAATCCGCTTCGGGGGAAGAAGAAGAAGAAAAAAAAAATACTTGGCTACTTACATCATCTTTAACCCTTGCGGCGCCGAGCGAACCGAGGGCGTCGTCAAACCTGCATCTCCGAGGATGGGACGCCGGGTAGTTCAGGACCTGATCAGCAGCGAAAACAACAACAGCAATCGTAAATAAATAAATAAAAAATCAAGGTAGCGGCGAGACGGTCCCTCTTCCCGGGGCCGGGGGAAAGGGGCTTTCTGCTTGAGCCAGGCTGGAAGGAAGTGATGCGATCGCGCGGGGGGAGGTTTTTTTTTTTTTTTTTTGCAGCGCCGAACTGCAAAAATGCAGAGTAGCAGGTGCAAAAAGCATTTGGGAGCCGCTGGCCAGAGAGCAGGGGAAGCAATTTGCTTCCTGCCCATTTATCTCAGGAAACCAGCACGCTCGTCCCTCCGAAACAAAGTTTAACCTCTTGCTTTCCAGCAAGGAAGACAGAGCCCTTTCATGTGTTTTTCAAGCTCTTTGCTTTCCTAAAAACGCGGGTTATTACGGCTGTCAGGAAGACTGGGGGTGGGGCTCCCCGCACTTTCTTTTTTAAGGTAGGGTCCGACATTGCAGATTAGCTGCCCTGAAATTGAGAAGGACACATCAGACGCAACTTACTCCGCGAAGCTCAGTTAGCTCCTGGCTTCCTTCCTTCCAGCGTCAAGTGCGGGCAAAACCAGTTTCCCTCCCAGTTTGGTGAAACCGCGGAAATGGGCACGCTTTACTTGGAAGAAAGATATCTCAGAAAACTCTTAGAATCCCAGAACTGTAGAGTTGGAAGGGACCACGAGGGTCATCTAGTCCAACCCCTGCGATACAGGAATCTGTCGCCCAACGTGCGGCTCGAACTCACGACCCTAAGATTAAGAGTCTCAGTGTCTCCCAAGTATATATTACATGCTAGGATTTTACCTGCCAATCGACCGAGGGTGTTACGGAACCAACCTCCCCCCACCCACCCCCCGCCTCCGGCTTTGCTTAGAAGTATGGAAGCCCACTGAAATCCTTGAGATCCTTGCAAGGAGGGGTATTTTAGGAGCGGACTGTGGGATCACCACGCTCTGAAAATTCAAAGATCGCAGCCTGATGCTCCGGAGCCTAGATTTTATTCCCAGGAAAACTGGATTTAAGGATAGCAAAAGCCTTGAGAATGACATTCCAGGGTAATGTACACGGGCAGCTTCCAAGGAAATCGTTTGAAAGCGAGGCAGTGTGGCATAGTGGTTAGAGGGCCAGACCAGGACTTCGGGTTTCACACTCGTGCGTTCAGCCACGAAGCTCGTTGGGTGGGCACTCCCTGCCTCTCTCAGCCGAGCCTACCTCTCAGGGTTGTTGCGAGGATAAAAACGGACAGGTGAGAACCAATGGGATGTGGTTGCTTCATTCTCCGCAGCAAGCTGGCTGCTCTCATCCCCGTTGCCTTCCCCACAATACAAAAAAGAAAATTCCTCCATGTGCTTTGGAAGGGGAGGGGGGGTAATCTCAGTTACTGATAACAAAAGATCGCTGCTCCTTATTGTTACAGCAGGTGCCGGTTGCTGGACTCAGGCAGGCACTGGAGATCGCTGGTTATAAAGAGATCCTTTTGCAACGACGATCTGGTCACTCAGTATAAAGGGATCCTGGTGTAGGCATGACCTGATCGCCCCAGTCGTCGAGATCCACCATCTCTTGACTGCTTACTGAGAAATCCCAATGTGTGTGCTGGGCTTGCTCCCGGGTAAAGCGCGTGGACGACACTAACGACCCCCCCACACACTTTGAAAGCAGTGTGGCTCAGGATCCGGCTGCGCGGCTCCTCGATCCTAAGTAGCTTTCTCTCCGCAGCCTTTCCCTGCCGCCGGATGAGGCTCAGACAGAGCCGGGCTGGCGCTCCGAGCCTCGCATGGACGGAGCACTTTTTCCCGCCGGCGCCTGCAAACTCCAGGTGTGAGGTTGGCCCGAGGCGAATTCCCTCCACAAGTGATTTCCCAGGTTCTATTTGGGGCGGGGGAGAGGCCGACCCCCCGCCGCAAAGGAGTGGGAGAGGCAGGGAAAGTCCATCTCCCTCCCGCTCCCTCCCTCCCCCGCGGGAAAAGAAACTCACCGCGAGCATCGCCTCGTCACTTGCATCGCTGACGCTCCCCGCGCTGCCAGCCAGCCAGCCAGCGAGGAGGTGCGGCTCCTCCGGGGTCTCCGGATCCGCCACCAGAAGCGCTCGCTCCGCTCCGGCCTCCTGCGCTCAGTAGCGTTGACACAAAGGGAGGGAGGAAGGGAGAGACAGAGGAGGGAGGGAGAAGGCGGGCAGGCGACGAGGTGCCTTTAACGACAGCGCCACGGTCTCGCCGCAAACAAATGAGGGAGGCAAAGGCAGCGCTGCTCCCAGGCTCGGCTCCCAGTCCCAGCCTCTCGCTCGCTGCCCCCTCCCTTCGCGGAAACCGCTGGAATGTACCTGAACATCTGGACCATCAGCTGGCTGCCCCTCCTGGTCTCTGCCATGAGACAGGAAGCGACTTTCTTGCCTACCTTTTGCAACTCACTCTTTCTTTACTCTGCTCACAGTGCCTGCCACTTTTTTCTTTTATTATTAATCTCCAGGTTCCCTCTTTTATTTCCAGATGTTTCGTTATCCCCACGCCTCCTGCATCCCTTCCCTTTCTGATTGCCAGTCAGAGCAGTTGTTATTATCTGTTGTTGTAGTAGTTCATTTCTGGAGCCGGATTGCATTTGGAATGAATGAATGAATAAGTAAACGATATTTCCCCAAGGCAGAATCAGAAGGAAAAGGAAAGTCCATGGTCCCTTTGTTAGCACAACACCATTGCTTAGGTAGCTTTCCTGAATTCACTAGGGCTGTTGGAGTAAACTTTCTTTTTTTATTTTTCAGAGAGCATCCTCACCCTCCTGGGAAAGTCAGGCAGAAACTTTGCCCTCCACACGTTCTTTGAATCAGAGGTCATTCCTGAATTTCACAGCAAGTATTAGTTCTCCTGTGCCCCCTCTGGGACAAACAGAGAAATCAAGAAGTGAAGTTACAGTAAAAAAAATAAATAACAAATTAAAAGCAATTTCGTATGTAAAAACAATTTTATGTGTACAAGTAACAAAAAGCATTCCATATGCTTAAAAGCATTTTCATATGTAAAAATAATTTTGAGATGGGTGCAGACTGGGTTAAAGAGCCCAGTTATCTTATTCCAGACTTGGCTTTGGTTTATTTATATGCTTACACCTAAATGGCTTCCTCAATGCAGCTCACATGGGTGATCTCAGTGGCCCTTCTTCCAGATATTAATCAGCCTTAGCACCCCCAGTGCAGCAGATTACCTAAGGGGGCAGATCACTCACCAGTTCACCTGTGCCCTATCCCAAGACTTGCCAGCTACCAGCAGGCAAAGACTGGTAGCTGGATATGTGGAATAAGATGCCAGGCATGCAAATTATCCATAGCTCTCTTTATGGTCTGGAAGACAAAACCGTAACATCTCTGAGACGTGATATAATAACTAGGAGTGCTGTGGGATGGGAATGCCTTCCGCAACTTCTACAATTTCAACCACAGAGGTGTCAGGGAGGTGCAGAGTACTGTATCCTCGGCCTTATTGTGTGCATCATAGAAACTATAAGTCCTGGTGCTGTTGATCTTTTGTTTTCTTTCTTTCTTTCTTTTTCTTAGCAGGGGACAGATGGGCATTATGAGCAGGATCCTGTATTCGAAGCATAGCTGTCAACTTTTCCCTTTTCTTGTGAGGAATCCTATTCGGAATAAGGGAATTTCCCTTTTAAAAAAGGGGAACGTTGACAGCTATGATTGCAAGTCAAGTAAAGCCGAACTTTGGCAATAACTTGCACCCAGCTCCTACATGTTTAACTAGTATTTCTCTCTTCGGCTTTGTGTTTTCATTTCAGTGAGTCCTCCTTTCCCCTCTGAATTGGATAGCTAGTATCCAGGAATTCTCCTAACTGCCCCACTGCCTTGAAGTGTGTTAATTGGCTTGCCAACTTGAAGTATCCAGATTTATGCCTTAAGTACCAAATTATGCCTTAAGGCACCTTTGATACAACATGAAATCTGTAGTGCTCACTTGTGTTTCTGCCAGGGTTTCGTAATCAGCTGCATGGCAGGCAGGCATTTAAGACCAGAAGCTCCCCATCACTTTGCCATCTTGCTAGGAAAAGCTTACTCAGTTGGCTTTCTGGTTTGCTATTGTTCAAAGCAAATTGTCCCACATTCAGGAAAAGGGCAAATAAGAGAAGGTTCCCGAACAACTAATAGTTCTTCAGTTCTTCCCATGGTGCTCATGCTTTAGGTTGCCAAAACCACATCAGTGACACACGAGAAAGAAATACTGACAAGACTCAGGGTAACCTCAAGGGATACACAAGCACAAGAAAACTAGGTGGGGGGAAAGAGCCCTAAAACAATCCCATGATAACTCAATGGCATGGAACACGGAGAGACTCTTGAATGGAGGGAGGAAATAGAGTGAAAAATACGGAAGAAAGAACCATCTCATTGTCTGGGTAAGTTATTTGCTGCTTCACACAAAGAAGCTGTTTTTAAATGTTCCCTGGGATGGAAGAAATGGCAGGCCATAGACATCCATGGATAAATTCGATAAATTTAATAAAGCTGGGATTGGACACAATTGTGTTCACCCCACCCTGAAAAACAACAACAACAACAATTTATTTCTACCCCGCCCATCTGACTGGGTTGCCCCAGCCACTCTGGGCAGCTTGCAGCATTTATAAAAACTTACTAAAACATTAGAAAAATGGAGGGAGGAAATGGAGAGTGATGGGAGGAATCCAGAAACAACAACAACAACAACAACAACAACAACAACAACAACTTATTATTTATACCCCTCCCATCTGGCTGGGTTTCCCCAGCCACTCTGGGCGGCTTCCAACAGAATATTCAAATACAGTCATACCTTGGGTTACAGCCACTTCAGGTTGCGTTTTTTGGGGTTACGCACCCGCTGAAACCCGGAAGTACTGGAACGGGTTACTTCCGGGTTTCGGTGGTTGCGCATGTGCAGAAGCGCCGAATCACAACCTGCACGTGCGCAGATGTGCCGCTGCAGGTTGCAAACGCTGCGGGTTGCGAACGTGCATCCCGCACGGATCATGTTCACAACCCGAGCGTCCACTGCACAATAGTCTATTAAACAGGGCTGCCTTCAGATGTCTTCTGAAAGTCTGGTAGTTGTTTTTCTCTTTGACATTGTGCAGTTTGGCTTTTAAAACAGACTTTTAATTAAGGCTCCAATCTTAACTATACTTACTTGGATGCAAAACTGTTGGAAATCAGCTTGGTCGATATTTTTAGTGTTATGGTGCTCATGTTTTCGGAAGTTCAGTATGAGGGATGGAGCTTGCCTGCTCAGAATCTACTTTTTGACTTATTTGTCTCCCTCCCTGTATAACGTGGTGCCACCATAGGTTTTAATAGGAACGTTCTTAGAAGTTTTGAATATGCTAAAGCGGAATGCCATTTTTCAGCACAATTGGAAAGGCCTGTATCTTTATTGCTGGTGTGCCAGGAGTTTTCATAAAAGTGGTTTAGTGCCTTTTGAAATGTTTCTGCCCCCTGATACAGAGGAGGTATAATTGGGGAGGGGGAGAAATGTCCTCTCAACAGGAGAGGAGGAGCTTCTGCCTTTTCAAGCAGAGCTGCTTGTTCAGTGTTCAAAGAAGAGAAGAACCTGGGCAGGGAAGACAGCAGGAGAGGGGCTAGCAATGATCTTTTGCTCTTTGTCGTGTGTGTATCCAAAGCCACTTGGGAGCCTAATAAAAGGCCTGAAACTCCAGGTTCAAAAATTGATCTGTTTGTAGGTCACTGAAGTTCTGCAGTTTGAGAAACCAGCAGTGATGGTGCTGTAAGAAACGGTCCTAAAAATGCAACACTACATTTCTCAACCGGGTAACAGCATTTTAGCTCTTTGGGGCTGCAATAAATATACCAAATGCCCAGAAATGTATCAATACTTTTTTCTCATTCTAGGAATCAAGTATAGATCTCCTTTTTTATTTGTGGAGCACAGTGCATAGACATAATTGTTGTATTTATCTCTTATAGTGATCTTTTATTTGATATTCTAATGAAACATAGTCAAATAATTGCCTGTGTTTCAATATTTTAATTCTCTGGTTCCATTTTCCTTTTAGAACGAAACAAATCTCAGTATAATCTATTGCGTTTATTGAGTTTATACTTTATTTCCCACGAAAAATAGTCCTAAAGCGATCAACATATATCTGAAGTAAAAAAAATAAAAATGCAAATAAATAACATTATTAAAAACAGATTTTATAGTGCAATAGCCTACTACTGATGCTGCTCAAATGTCTGGGAAATCAAAAAAGCATTTTCTGGGTGCCAAAATGATGATAATATGGGTACCAGGCAGTCTTCCCCAGGGACAGCATTCCTGAAAACATTGGTGGGGGGAGCATAGTATAGAGAAAGCCTGACTCTCACTGCCGCCCTTAAGGCTTACTCAGATATGGCATACAGAAAAGTGCCTCATGGTCAGGGCAGATTTATATGGGGAAATGTGGTCTTTTAGGCATAGTGGTCTTAAAATTGTATATTGCATTGCAATATATTAAATAAATACATCCTCTGATGGAACCACTTTGGCAGAAGATGCGGTGCTGGCCACTGCTCACTGAGCTGAGATACCGTTGTTTAACAACCTGCTTCCTGCTCCCCCAGATAACACCTTAATTATTGAAGGTACAGCTCAGAAAACCGTAAGCATCATTAACATCCCATTCTCCCTTTAGTACATTTGGAATGACCATCTTTCCGTAGTCCATAAGATGGTGTGTATGGCACACGCGTCCGAGTGACATCAGAAGATCAGATCAAATAAGAACAAAAACCTGTACTCCATTGTCAAGATGTGTGATTATCTTCCAGAAATAGGACAGCCATATCTGTTGTCTCTGATAAATCACTTGCAGGCCCAGTGGTGTTTGTAAAAAAAAAAAAGGTTGTCGTGTATAGGTCACCAGACTTGAATTTCCCTGACCGAAAACTCACTGCAGCAGGAATCAGCAAAGCAGCAGCTTTGATTTTAAAAATCCTGAAGGCAACTTTGGTTGTTCCTCTCTTCCTTCTCCCTCCCCTCTCATAAGCGTAAAAGCTCTCCTGTGCATGAAATAATGATGAGGAAGAGTTCAAAGCAATCCCAGGAAGCTTGCCTGTGAGGCTGTTTTGTCATGCTGTTCCAGCATCTTCCCCATTCCCCTTCCTGTATCATGTCATGAATGAGGGTTCTTTCTTTCTTTCTTTCTTTCTTTCTTTCTTTCTTTCTTTCTTTC